AACTCTGATGAGCCACGGCAACGAGCCTCTACAGCGTGACACCGGGACGACCCCTGCCCCGACCACTCCCGCTCCCACCGTGCCCTCTTCTGCCTTCCCCGGGCCCGACGGCACGTGCCTGTCCTCACCCGCTACCGCCAACCAGTGCTACAATTCGGACGGCTCCCAGTCCATCTGCTGCGCCGGCCAGGTACGTATGCCTTTCTCGAAAGACGCAAAGAGACTGAAGTTCCGAACGTCTGTCGAGCTTCCAGGTTGCGGGACTGAAGGCGGGCTTAGAAATCTGACGCGTGTGCGAGCGATTGCTGACGGCTCGAATGAGTATCCGGTCCCTGTGAATGGCTTTAATTAAGACTCGTCGAAGCACCGACAAACGACGAGAAACCGGCTCCGCGCACGTGGGCCGCGCGAGCAAGTAGAGTGATCTGAAGCAAGCGCCCCAAGCTCAGCGGCTAAGCCTTTTGTCACGTGCTTGTAGCTCAGCACTGCCAGGTGTCAGGCGGTCAGCTAGGATTTGCACTGGAGCCCCCCACGTCCTTCGGAACATTGCTAAAAGGCACCTGTTTAGGCCTTCGGGGCTTTTTTTCAAGACCGCTTCCAAGCAACTCGTCAGAGCCACTGCTCAAAAGCGTCGTGGCTGGGATCTTGATTAGGACAGTTCCGCTTTTGAGCTCGTTCCGCTCGTTCCGGTTTGACTCGATTCTTTGTTTCCGTTCAGTGCCCGACCCCCCCGGCTGTTGGCACCCCGAGCTGTACCCCGACCACTCCTTCCCCGGCCACCCTCGCCCCCGCAACTCCGGCGCCGACTAACCCCCGGGGCAACCACCCCGGCCCCGACCACCCTCGCCCCCATAACTCCGGCGCCGACCGCGACGGTACCGACCGTCTTCCCGGTCGGCACCACGTGCGACGCCTCATCATCGCTCCCGAATCAGGTGGGCTGGAAAGAGCCTTTCCTCCTTTCAAACTCGGACGGCTGCGTAGTTGAAAGGCTGAGTACCTCATTTTGGATCGTCAGAAACTGCTTTCCAAGCGAAAGCGTTTGTAATCGGCCAGATGATGTTACCTCTCTCAATCGGCTGGAGCCCTGTGTTGTCAAACGTCATTAGATGCTCGCTGAAGAGACGGCCATCGTTCAGTTTTGAGTGCGTTTGTTTTCTCGAAAGAGCTACAAGAGTTTAAAGATCTCATGGCGACATCGACCCCCTGGTACAACTATTGGATTCGTTGTCGCTCGAGTCTCCCGTTCTTTCTCACTCTTTGCTCCGTGAAATTTTCAACCGCGTGCGACCTTCATGCTCGGCGTCATTAACGGTAAATTGCAGGCCGTCAAGCTCGTTCGCTCTGTTTCAGCCCGTTCCAAGATTCCCACGCACATTCCTGACACCCATTAGTTTTTGCTTCTCCTGCCCTTCCTTGTCTTAAAAACCTCAAATGCCAAGGCCACAACACCCCCTCCAAAACCTGACAATATCAAACTTCCCGCGCTTGCAGTGCTTCGACGCGACCGGCTCATCCTACACGTGCTGTCCTGCCGGGGTGGGGTGCCCCGCTCCCCCCATGCCCACCCCCGCCTGCGCGACCGCTGACGTTCCCTCGGGCGCGCCCACCGTCGCCCCGACGAACGTTCCCACCGGAACGCCTAGGCCCACCGCGCCTCCGACGACGTGCAACCCGGCGTCTCCGCTTTCTAACCAGGCAAGTAAAAACCGGGTTAAGGTCAAGTGCAGGGCGTCTAGGCAGGATTCTGAGGCGGGTCCTGTTGTCAGTTGATCACGTCGGGTGAAGCCTTCCTGGGTGATTTTGTTCCTCAGTCACCTTGTGCTTCGTTGATCAGATGGCATGAGATTGGATGTGGACGCTGCAGCTGAGGTTCGATCCCCCTTACTCTTGAATAGTTGAAATCACGGGGGCTTTACTTCGAGCCAGTTCATCCCTGAATCGGTACACCGATTATGTTAGTATGATTGAACAAGCATCGTTTCAGCGCTTTTTAGAGACCCCGCAGCACTGCGGCGCCGTGGCTACACAGACAAAACAGGAGCTGACGCTTCACTCTGCATCAGATTGCTGCACCGAGTTCCTTATCCGAACGAACTGTGGAACTATTTCGAAACTTTATAGATCTAAGTGCGCGGCTCATTCGTGGGACCGCTTTTGTGCGCGCAGTGCTTCAACTCTGACGGTTCTGCGTTTATCTGCTGCCCGGGGCTGTGCCCCGGTCTGCCGGGAGCCACACCAGTCTGTGCTTAAGGTACGTACGTTTCCCGCCATTCTCCCGATTCGATTCCCAGTCATCATCGGCTCTGATCACGGCGCTTTTAAGATCGACATGCTCGTCGACATCCTTATTTCCAGATCGTCTTTGCCGATGGAACACAACTTAAAGCAAGAACGAGGAGTTCTCACGCATCTACAAGACCAGATATTGGATCCTTCAAAGTTATGGCTATATCCAGCATCTTTTGCCATCAATCAAGTATGTTGAATTTGAAGCACCTGCAGGCTTAAATTTGCGTGTTTAAGACATCCTTCGTTGCGACACGGGGTACTTGCTCTCTTGCCGCCTTCTTAAGTGAACATGTGACAAGCAGTCATGCAGGTAAGAGAGAACCGCCCTCTGGGGAAAGGGCTCATCTCTTGCTTTGGTGTCTGAACACAGGAAATTGAGTATCGGCACGTGCGCAACAGGAGGCGCGTCTTCCTGCCCGGCTTGCCGGCCCTCCGAAGCGCGGTTGATCGTCCATCATCATTTGCATGTGTCAAGCCCGCCCAGCGGCAATTGTGGCACATCTGGAGGCATACTGAAATCAGCCACGTGTTGCAGTTTGAGAGGCAGTGGTTAACTCGGCCATCCGGAGCCTAGGAAACCAGCGCGCGCGTGTTGAGGCCTCCGCAGCTATCTGAGACGGTTTGTGCTCACCGTGTAGAAGAGTTGTCGGTCATTTTTGCATAGACATGTTGCAGTGTTATTTTGCCAGTGAATGGGAGGTAGCAGCTTGGTCGAATTGAAACGAAATAGACAAAGAAGCATATTCTGTAGTTTTTTGATCTCTACTTCTAGGAGGTCGAGACCTGGTTGATACCGAGGAATAATTTATGAGAATAAAAAGTGAAGCTGAGCAACATCAGGCTACCGGCGAAGGTTGCTGGCGCCAATGAAAGCCAATAAGTAGCGTACGGGCAGCGCAGAGACAAAAGCCTGTGTCGGGACTCCTAAGTAAGCGCAGGGCGCTGCACAGATGCATTGAGTGATTCGCTTGTGCTTTGACTTCAGAGTCATCATTGTATGCGCATTTGGCAAGTTGCAGACGGTTAGATAATCTCCATATGATGATCGGCGACATGATTCACTTTACCGGTAATGAGATTTGCGGAGGCAACTGGATTAGGGGCCAATATTCGCTTCGTCTGCTGTTTGGTTACATACGCAAAGCAGAGCTTTTAAAACCCTATGATCCTTCGTGCGTCAGGAAGATTAAATCAAGCTCCACGTCACCCACACTAAATATGGACTCCTCAATTGGCATGTGATCTTGCCGGTGACCTGATCCCTGACCCCGATGCACCTGCGGCGTGCATGGTGATCCGTCTCAAAACTACCGCGAATATAAGCATTGATGTTTTCACAAAGCCGCGATGTATCTCGTGCGATAAGAGTAAACGACTCCAAATCAGCGCCTGACCAGCTTTGCACACCTTTTCACCTGCTTGATCCGTCTCAACACCATGAAATGCCCCATACTAGTCTGTGTGTCAACCCAGTTATATAACTTGAAACCAGTAATCGTGAAACTGCCTGCGCCCTTTCTCAGCTCGAGTCATCGCCAGCCGCCCGAAGCGGTCCTCCTTCAGCTCAATCGTGTTAAAACGAAGTGACCATCGTCCACGCCGGCGTGGAAAAGAACTAGAAGAGGCGCATAAAGATACAGTCGAAAGATGCGGCAGCCGCTGTCGGAGCACGTACCGCTCACCGTCCGTCCAAGTCTGCATGGTCTAACGCGGCCGCGTGCTGCGTACAGGCGCGCCGCGAGCGCCAGAGAGCGGGTAGGCAGACACGCGATCGCTGATCGAACTCACTTTCTCACACGCTGAGACTGGGCCTTCATGTGGAATACGTCTCGAGTGTGGCATCAGAAGAATAATCTGAATTCTGGACTTCATCCTCGGAATGATCAAACAACGGTACATGGTTTCTGGTAGATTTCACGCGACGCGAATGATTGAGGGGGAAATCGCGATCGCTGAGTGCCTTGCAAGAGCGTCAAGTTTCAAGGCATGAAAGGCATGCTCGAAGCTGAGCTTGGATCCTTGTTGATCAAGGTAATCCGAGTGCTGCCAGGAATTCAGAGTCAGCCTTTAGTGGCTTTGGACAATTCTGCAGCAAGGGCCTGTTGCTTGAGCCGTCATAGCAAGAAGCAAGACAGTGTGTTCCTGATCGGACCTGCAGCTCAATTCTGACATCTTTGAGAGATCAGCTGAAGCGGCAAAGTCTCTCTGTTCCATCTTTTTCAGGATTCATGAGCACGAATGCGACGAATGCTGACGAACAGGCATGGAGACCAATCATTTACTGGCCTTCATCTACCAATGACAATTGTCGAGTATAGCTACTTGTATTCCTGCATACAAAGGTAAGCTTTCACATCACTCCTATCTTTCTTGCTTGCTGGGACTCGTCCCTTGGTTGCTCATTCTGTATGTTTACCCTTTCGACTGTTGCAGCTGCAGCGATGGAGATATCATCCGAAGCATCACTGCTCAAAATGCTGTGATTCCAGTCCAAATCAACATCTCAGAACCATTTCTAAAAGTGAGAGTGCTCCGAGAATTATTAGGGATTCCGAACGAGACGGCCTGCGAAGCAGAGAAGGCCGTAGTATCCTTGTGGTCTTTCCTAGGAAGTTGTTGACCAGGGTCGTATTCCCATGTGCAGCCTCTTCCAACTTGTTAAACGGAAGGATTGGAAGCGTCTTACACAGAAGCAATGCACATATGTATTAACGTCCGTCCCCCCCCGTTCTCTGCTCCAGCAGGTAAGCACTTTACGAAAACGTGATCTTTTCTTGACTCTACGATAGCTATCACTCCACCTGACTCCATTTTCTCAGAGCTCTGCATTCTTGTGTCTTGTGTCAGCTCGCACCGAGGCGACTATCGGAGAGCAGAATCCAAATCCAAGTTGATTAACTCTATGGGTTATCAACGTGGAAGCCCCTTGTTCCTTCTTGTCTTCTCTTGTCTTAAGAACGTATCAAAAGTGCTGATGTCTTTCGCAGATGCTCAAGGTGAATCAGATACAAACGACCCCGGCAGCAACGCCAAAATTTGGCCTCAAGTACAGACAAGTTATCCAGCTTTTGCTCACTAGATACGAAAATGGATCCCTCGGTAAGTAAGAAGTTGCTGGCACAAAAGGTCTGTTTGCTTTACCAGATGCCTACTACAGGAAACATCCTTGATGAGAAATTCTACTCCCATTATTGATGTGCTGTAGACAGATGTTCAGCAACAGAGCTCTGACGGAATGCGGACTTGACCAGGTCTTTGGTGCTAGAATTGTTTGGCAGGCTGGCAAAGCAAGAGTGGGACAGTCCGCTATCCACCTGCGCAAGTGACCGATTGAACTCGGTCACCAGCTGTTTCGAGACTGACAGACTTCTCCTATATTGCGCAGCTCCTCCGAGCACCTTGGATTCTACCATTCTTTGCAAAGAATCTCAAGTCTGGTCCACCTACAACGCTCAAAACTGGTCAGCAGCAAAGCAGCGTCAAGATCAAGTACTGGGAAACGTTGCGACGACTGCCTGTACTTCTCAAGCCCCTGAGGAGTGCCCTGTTTTCGGATTGGTTTCAAGGGCTCCCGTTTCACCGAACGATGGTGTAGCTTCGCGAGACCTTGTGACCGTCCAGACCTTTGCGGCTATCCGCTTGAAAAGCGGCTCAAAGCTTCAGGTTCCTGCTATCCGCGAGAAAGCGAAGCCCCGACCTTTCGCAAACAAAGGGACTGCAAAAATGGCAAAGTCGAAAGCCAGTCAGTCGCAGGCAAAGCCAAGGGCAAAGAAAGCAGCGGTCAAAGGCAAGTCATGTCGAGAAGTTCCTTCCCCAAAGATCAGCTCCAGTGATTCGACCCCTGTAAGATCCTTGCCAAAAGTAGCAAGCGCTGCAGAAACGAGTGCAACGGAGAAAGAGCCGCGAGAGCTGGCGGCGAAAGGAAAACGTCAGAAGAGAGACGCTGACAAAGAGTCAGAGAGGAAAGACGAGCCAAAGGCGAAATTTGTTAGCTTGAAACTGCCTCCTTCCACCGCAAGGCCGTCGGCGGGCGGAAAAGACAGAGTGGCACCGCTGGAGCAAGCCAAGACCTCCACCGCCGTGCACGCGCAGCAAATGGAGAGAAGCGAGGCCCGGAAAAGCGCTGCGTCACTGGCGACAATCGACGGACGAGAAAAGGATGCTGGAAATGTCTTGGAAAACAAAGGGACGTCTGATGGAAAGTTGGCCTCAAAAGTAGGCCAAGCTTCCGATACGTTGTCAAAGGCAGTCACCGCTGCTGTGGGCACGCAGAGTGGAGCAACCAAATCAAAACGCTCCACTGTCGAGGTGACGTTAGAAGAAGAGCGCAACATGGACGCGCAAGGTGGGAAAAGAGGTCGTCCGGGAAGGGATGAGATTGTCTCCCGGAAGGGCTCCGAGACCTTGGAAGGTAGAGAAGACGAGCAAAGGCGTCCAAAGAACGTCAAAGTGGCGCCAAACGAAGAGCGTGAAAAGCTTCAGGCGGCAAAGAGCATGGAAAGTGCGGAGGACGGAGCGACGAAGAGCGGACGTTCTGAAGAGGTCAACGTGACGTCAAATGGGGACCTAGTGACTGTGGAGGCCACGCAAAGCGGGCCAAGAAAGCGAGGACGTCCAAAAAAGGTCAGAGTTGCACCAGGAGAGGGGCTTGGAAAGGTGGAGAACGTCAAGACCGATGAAGGCGGCGAGGTGCAGGTTTTCGGACACGAGATGATCGAGCCCAGCAGCTGTAGAGATCCTTCGGAAAAGGTTTTGGAAGGCGAAACGGATGTAGCTTCGAAGAGAGAGGAAGAACCATCGGAGGGATCCAAGACACCGAACGGGAACAAAGACGGGTTGTCTGGCCAGACGACTCAACCACCTCAACCCGAGGAGGCGCAAGGTAGCACGCCAACGAAGATGTCATCCACAGCGAAAGGGCAGCCCAAGGTCGGCCCTGGAAAGTTGAAACGAGAGCTGGCGAACTTGGGAATTCTGGCGGGAGGTCGTCATGTAAAGCGTGTGAAGGACTCCAAAACCAGATTGCGGCATCCTTGCCATTGACTTTGCAGCCAGAAGGTTCCGTAGAACCTCAGCTTGAAACAAGTAGCTCAGTGCTTTGTTCAGAGTACTGATCGTGCGGTAATTCTGGACGAAACTTTGGTTATGTGCGCAAGTGCATAGAAGATTTGTTGCATGAGTGTTAGTGGAAACAATCACCTCACGTATAAGAACTAAAAGCGTTTCGACGCATGCAGTTGCTTCACATCACAGAGTAGGTACATAATCTTCTGCTACAAGATCACCATGGCTAGCATGCATGTAGAAGGCATGATGCACTCAGGGACCCGAATGGAGAATTGGGTGAGCGTAGTTGGCCACCAATGACCGTCGGGCAGATATCAGTATACATTTGAATCGAGTGTCCGAGCTTACGGAGCTCTATAGCTGAAAGATGACGTGGCATGGCGCCGCAAGTGAAAAGCACGGGACTCACAAAACGAGTATACCGCATAATAATCTTAATCAAGATTGATGCTTGTCAGTCAATCGGACAGCCAAATGTTGTACAGCTAGCACCCACTGACGTAGCTGACATCCGGATCACTTTTCTGCCGCGGGCCGTCATTGCAAGGAATGGCCCGCGGCTCAGGGACCATATCGACGTCGGGATCATGCACACTAGTAGGCTTTTAAGGTTTAATTCTTGCAGATCTAGGCATCCGGGAAATCAGTCGGCTCGAAGAACGGGCGGCCGATGCACACTAGATCGAGCCCCAGTCCATGTTAGAGTGTTCTGACGGCGTTCAATTGCGCATACCAATGATTCACCAAGCAATTGATTCCAATCTGCACAGGTCAAAGAATCACAACTCGAGTCCTTCAAGGCAATCATGGGAATATCTTGTTCAACTTCTATGTAAGACTGTGCAATCATGGGAATATCTTGTTCAACTTCTATGTAAGACTGTGCGTGCTTAGCAAACAATGTTTTAAACGCAACTCGTATCAGGTCACGTGAATCTACTTATGCAATCGAGATATCATGGATCGCATACTTATCATTTATGTCTACCATGCTTGAGACTCTCAAAAGATCATTTGGTGAGCCGTGTCTCAAAAGCTTATTCTTGCATAAGCTGCAATTGAACGTGACGTCTTATAACGTCCCCTCCAAGCGCTGCCTCTCTTCACCTACCGCCCTAAGTTGCATCCGACTGTCTCCAGCCGTACGTTCTGGTAAGGCGGATCTGCGAAGGTGACAGCGAAGAGCCTCACGCACGGAAGGCATGGTTGCGACCGCAGAAAGATGTCGGGTACGCATGAATGAGGCCTCTCATTGAGCGATACAGGGGACGTCACAGGTCCTCAAGTACAACCAAGCGAGAGAGAAAGTAGCTTTGTAAATGGTGCACATCGGCGAAACTGTTTAGCAGCTTTGTTCGAGTATCGAATCAGAACATCAGCACGTTCAACTGTCAAACGAAGACCGGGCGCACTTTTTCCAGCAACTCTGTGAGAAGTTCGTCTGACCCCATCAGGAAGCGATACACTGCAGATCTTCGCCCACACGACCGCTGATCGCAGCTAACCAGATCCACAATGTTTAAGGCCCGAAAACCCTAACTATATCCAACAAAGTGCAATATGAGAGCTCTTATGTTCGACATTTAAACGTATCTCCGAGATCGGCCCAACGCATTCCAGAGGTTAGCTGTCGCCATCACTCACCTGGGCCAGCGCAAAGATCACCCGCACAACACGTCCGTAGTCCGTACCCACCGCCTGAAGCACCACGTCCGCCATGAACGCCCCCCACATGCTGCAAGGGAAGCATATGCCGCAATCAGGACCTCAGCATTCTCAACTGACCACGTTCGACGTCAGCAAAAACAGTAAAACTTCAAATCATCGCTTCGCTTTGTTGTGACGAACTTACTGTTTTGCATTCGTTTCGCACAGCCGAGACCAGAAAACCACATATGCATCCCACGAGGTCCAGGCAATCGCGAGAAGCCCGCTACAAGAATCAGGGCAGGTCGAATCATCGAGCAATGAAAAATCATTGGAACGAAGGGTCGAGGAGTTGAGCCGAGGTCCCTTACACTGGCCCAAGCAATGTCATCGTGCTTCTGAGGATGGCATAACGCGCAGATGCGCCAGCAAGGGCCTGCATTGCGGGGAGCCATGTTAGCTTCCATTACAACATATCAACTCGTCTCCAGGCAATCTTCTTGCGGTTCATCAAGGTTTGAGCTTATGCAACATAGGGCCAGGAGCAGATCTGTTCCCGGCTCAAGCCCAGAATAACCACCGCTATGAAACGGAACCGTCCACGAGCAAAGTTTTTTGCCCTTGTTCCAAACGACAAGACTGCTGAAGTGCGCAAGAGCAGTATTGCACCGTCAGACGTCGCAGAACGTTGTTCGACGAGGGAATCCAGAGACTGGAGAAGATCGGAAAGAAAGAGGCCGAGTCGACTTACAAAGCTGTGGATTGTCACGAAAGAAGGGAAGAAGGCGCACCTGCTTAGCCGCCAGAACGGCGTAGTGACTTTGAATCCGGTTGGCCACTGCTGCACCACCCTACAAGCAGCGAGGAGCAAAGCTTTGTCAAAGTTGCAGATCATGACTAACAAAAAAGCCCCACACGAACCCGCTTCTCAAGCGGTGAAACAAAGGACTTAAAGCTGAAAGGCACTTTGTATCGCATACGCTCCTTTTTCGACTTTAGGCGTAAAGCTGCACAGAACTTTGGTCAGCATTCGTCGCGATGCAAGCTCTCCGCTAAGTATTTGCTGTGTACAAGCGCAACAGGAGAGTTTTTGAGAACAAACCCAAAGCAAAGAGGTGGGACAATGCCAGACCGGTGTACCACTTTCTTGCTGCCTACCGTTTCTTGAAAGCAAAGCACGGATAGCTCCAATTTCGCGGCAGAGTCAGTGAAATCCACAAAACAAAGATCTCAACGATGTCGAGTATGTAGAGTAGCACTTTTAACATGGCTATTGCCAAGAAGGCCGCGGCTCGATAAGTCTCGTTACAATAACACCACTCTTGTGCTCGCCTTGCCTGGGATTCTTCCCAGGTTCAGCAGACCTAAGTCGAGCCTTGCCACTGCCGGACTGCGAGCACCTCGACATTTGCGGACAGTATTGATGGAAGGGAAAAATCATACCTTCTTGAGGGCTTCAGTCGCGACCTGATACTTGGCCCTTTCCAACAACATGCGCCCTGACAACCGGCCAAGAGCCTGCAAAACGAACGAGATTCTCATGGTTAACTTGCAGAACGAGAGACACATTCCTCTCACGAACCCACCGGAAAAGGATAGGTCTTTGAGGTGACTGACGTCACCATGACCATCCTTCGGGACCTCCAGCCCAGAATGGTAGGTCAGAGTGCCAAACTAGTGGTCAAATTTCCCCATCCTGCTGCAGCGTTCGTCTCCTGCCTCAGCCTAGAAATCACAGCCGCTGCTCTTGAAAGAGCACGCAGGAAGTGCACGTGCTTTCCAGACCGAGACCTCATCAAGTTGACGTCCAAAATCCTGACCGTTAAAAATCTCCCGCCGTTAGCGATCACTGCTGACGTCCATCACACGTCGATGCATACTTGAGAATAGCCAGGAACCCCGGCGCCTCAGATGGTGTCACTCACCATGTTTTGCAGCGTGGTCACGCCCAGCGCACTGCTTCCCTGCAAGAAATAGACGAGATGCTCTCAGCTAGAGGATAAGCGGTGCGTCTTCCAACTGAATCCGCAAAGTTGGCTGTGATGCAGAACTGCATAGCCTGGTGACAGAGAAAATGCGACTTTACAAGACAACATCGTAAAGCCGGAGCCCCAGGTCAGCAGAACCCACGCTGTGTAAATCGAACAGATAGTCGGCTTTTCAGGATATAACCCGAAATTTGCAAATGCGGCTGCGGCTAATCGTTTCCTACAGCAAGGGCGGCTACTTTGGCCTCGTGCAAAGGCCCCACTGCAGGTTAAACAATCGAACAATCTGACCCACTGATCTTACGCGGAAAACCCTCCGCTCAAGGTGGGCAACCCAATGAATGCTTCCAGCTGATTTCAGTTCCGTACTTTTCACAGCCGACTTAAAACGACGGCAATGCAATTTCTCGACACGTACTACTCTTCAAGCCATGTGTTGACATTATGGAATCCGGCAGAAGGTATCTGACCCCTGGCGGATATTGGAAACGTTGACATCAAGCAGCTTCGTTAGTTCATTTTCCCAGACTCTTCCTCTGAGGTCAAACTTATCTATTTCACCAACGCCGTTTCGAGGGGCTCACCTTGGCTAGTATTGACAGCACCTCCTCCCCCCCGATCTTGACCGGCGCCAGCAGCTTCCCTAGCTGATGCCACCGCTTGCCTTGCACGTGCCTCGGGTCGTTCACCATCACAACGCCCTGCTCGTGTTCCTTCTGTTTAGACGGTGCGCTGCAAGACGGAAAACGGAACCAGGACACGTCACTGTCTGGCGGCTACTGAAAGAGCAGGCTGTGGTCGATGACGTCATGCCGAGGTCATCGCCGTTGTGGCCAGCAGTACCCATTCTGTGATTTAGTAGGCCCAGGTGGTCGCAATTGGTGCATCGCTGGAAAGCAGCGCATGCCCCTTGAGTGTTCATATCCAACGTGGCGGCGAGGTGGCACTTGGATGGGGCTTCCGACCGAGCGCTTGGAACACAAAGCCGTTGCATGAAGCTGAGAAGAAAGGATTGCCTCGGGTACCTGGAATACTCTTGCAGTAAGTGCAAGAAGATCTCCGCTTCAAGGTCCGCAGTCGACAGCACATTGGAGCATGGGACGCGTAGCTTCTGACGCACGCACAGCAGCACCTGGCGGTAGCTCGGTCGTTTGCCCCTGCGCAGATATATTCGAATATCTCTTCAGGCGACTCTGTACAGGACTTCAAATATTCTGGGCAGTCGATTGGAGGCGTTCGCTTTAAAAAGGCGGAATGCAGAGCAGGAAGTACCTGATGGAGTTCTGGGACGAATGTTACCATCCAATCACATGGGGTCCTGTCATTACAGGGCTTTGAACGTAAGAGTGTCCAGATAGTAGCCGAAGAGAATAAGATCTGTATTAGCGTGCTTCTGAGGACAGGGCAGATACAAGGGGGATAAAGTGACCAATCGCAGGGAACCGAATGGTTTGGGGTCCGCTTGTGTCAGGGGCCGCTCTATTGAGGTCACCCTGTCGGTCAGCCTTTTCCTTGATAGATCCAGCGCAAACCAATCCGTAAACATGAAATTCATGCGTTGAGCATAAGTAGTAGGGGCCTTAAAGCTGCAAAAGGCCCAAGTCAGATTCGCCAAATCTTGTGATTCCTTCACGGGCCCCCGCAATTCGCCATCTTCATCAACATTTCCACCTTTGGGGTCCTCCCACATACAGCATGACCAACTCTGCTCACACTTGTTCAAGCCAGCTCACTTTCCAAGCAAGCCAACTCACGTCATGGTCGCCTTGGCATCGGCAGCCAGGAAGAAGAACCGCGCCTCCAGCCTGCGGAGAAGTGTCTCTCTCTCGCTCAGCATGTCCCGGAAGTCCCTCCGGGGGTGACCCGCTCCGCCATCCTCGCCGTCAGAGGAGGAACCATCCCCGGTGGCAATGGACTTCAGAATGGGACTGAGGGGGCTGCACGCAAGGATAGACATTGGTCAGAGGGACAGACTAGTAGGTGGCTTGATTTGCTTGACGCAATATGATTGTAATCGCTAATCTGCTATATGGTGCTGGCACAGGCTGAATCAGGTTGTGGACTAATGCAGACTTGAATGATCAAACTGTTCTTTGGAGATTGGTGGTCAAACGGTTTCCAGTCATCCAGGAGATGTTGTGATTGCCCTCTCCGTCACCACTGCTTGGATTCCCAAAGCTGATCTCAGAATCCGAAGCGAAAGGAGCCTCTGAAGCAATTTGCAAACACTGCACTCCGGACAAATAAGGAGTCTGAATCTGAAAGGTTTCTGGACCAAAGATACCAGGTTGATACGCCAGCTTACCTTCTCCCATACAAGATATTGACAATCTCATGCAACTCCTCATCGCTGGCCAAGTCAAGCGCACCCCTCAACTCAGAATCAGACCCTGCAAAAACAATGGCATCAGTGTCTTCTCCAGGTTATGCCTTTCATAGAACCATTTCACTACATGTTGACAAATGTGCAAATCTGCACTTCAGCTCCATCCTCGCATTCACTTCTACATTGCAATCATCTTCGTTTCCATCTTGTGGTGGTAGAAGGGAATTGAATGGCTACTGACCTCCTGGTAGGCTGGCTTGGGAGACGGCGTTAACAGGCTTTGCCGTAAACCTCAAAGGGGCATCAACGGGTTGTCCAAATGGTTGAATATAGAAGTCCTGCCACGCAGAAGAAACTTTTCGACATAGAGTTCCATTCTCCGGTTGGCTCAGAGATGTAGACAGGAAACCTTTTGCCGCAAAGCTATCATCGTCGCTACATGGGCATTGCTACTCAGAATGCAACGAAGTTGCTAGCCATCAGGATGGAGCTTGGCAAACTCGCATTAATCACAACCTACGGCCAATGAGTTCAGGACCTTGTATACAGAATGAAAAGTCTGAAAACCAGAATGACGCACTTTTCCTGCGGTGGTAGGTCTTCCTGGCAATTGCCTCCATGCGACCTTGCTTGAGCGATGCAGAGTCGCTCTGATTTCGCGCCTCCTTGGGTTGAGCGTGCTCTTCCGATGTGGGGTGTAGGTCTGTTCTTGACATTGCAAGGTTGACCATCTTTGGGCCCGCTCAAGAGAGCTGGCGCAGCGTGCCGAACTCATGGCTCCTTCATTCAATTGTGGACAGTGCTCAACAGCTTCATGCAAATTGAATGCATCCAACCAGCTAGTTTATGAGACAATTGAAACCGCCGCTGGAAATGGAACCGGCTTCATTCAACCTAGTAAACTGTCTTGCAGAGACAATGACAAAGCCCTTTGGCGCTAACTTGACAATTGGTAGGGAGCCATCTTCTTCGATCCGCATTTGAAATGAACGTTTGCTGCTGCATGGGGTATCCATTGGCAAATTGGAGAGCTGTGCAAATGATGAAGGGAGTTGGGTTCAACTGCAGCCAACCCACCCGGAGGTTATATTTCTAAACCGGTTTTCGGACGCCCCAGGATGGTCCAAATGACAACTTGGCGGGCCGGGAGGCGGGCGGTGCGCAGTCCCCGAGCAAAGTAAAAGGGGCGACGTAGGTAAAGTCAGCCCCCGGTTCCAGTTCATTTAGCCTTCCCGGTTTGCGACTGTTCGCAAAAAGCTTTCGGACGGTGCGAACCGTATCGCGACCGTCCGCAGCCTAGGGTGACCATCCGACAACGACGAATGCGAACCCTTGTCCTGGAATTCCGAGTTCGCCACTTCAGCAGCGCCTGCAATTTGCAAACACATGCTGTCCCACTTGCTCTGGACAGCAGCTCAGCGCGCACAGGGGCCAATGCTGCTTTGTGTCCGCTCTGTAGCCCGACGTCAGTCGCTGGCTACCACCGATCCCTCATCCCTCTTGCGGGATCGCAACACCACCTTCACACGCAGTTTCTGCTCACCAGCTTCTGCGATTGTGCTGCTCCGGGGGCAATTGAGTTTGTTGACTGCAAACAGAGTGCTTCTTAGTCCATTGTGCAACGGCGCAAAACCTCATAGGACCTTGTCCTCAAAACTCTTGCATCGTAAGCAGATGGCAGGATTCGGCGAGCCGCTAGATGGCGCCACTTTCCCAGCGCTTGGGGCCGCGAGCGTGCAGCTCACACCTGCTGGCCAGTCTGATGATCGACGCACTGCAGCAGGTACCTTTGCTGGCAGTCTGCACGAAAGCATGGCCAGCACTTCGATTTCAGAACAGGGTTCGCTGTCCGGGGGTGTACGCCACGGCCGGGGGAATGCTCCCGGCACGAGCGCGACTTACATCGCGTCTCGTAGAACCACTCCTGGGACCAGTCATTTAGAATCAGGTTCTGGTGGGTTAGTGTCTGGGTTAGAGAAAACGGGCGCCCCGGCAGCCACAGGAAAAGGCTGGGACAGGAAAGGGAAAGACGCTTTGGTGGCAGATGAGGGGGAACTAGAGGCGGCAGGATTTTCTGGCGGCAGGCGCGGTGCTGGGGCCAGGGGGAGAGGCGAGGGGCGGGGGGGGTCAGGAGGGGGCCGCGGCAGGGGCGGAGACCAGATCGAGAACCTGGGGCGAAGCTTGTAAGTAGAAAACTTCAAGAGCCACCATCAGCATCAACTGTGATACTGCTGATTGTCTTCTTTGTAGAATCAGGTGATTTGATAACCCGTACTTCAGACCTTTTCAAAACAAGGCGCACACCAGGAGAAGCTTTTGATCGCTCTGTCTGAAGCAGTTCGCCCCAGGAAACCTTCGTTGGCTTGCTTCTCGAACGTCTCAACTTGAATCCCGGACCAACATCCTTTCTGTGACCTCAAAATCTGTGATCAACTGTCCCACTGATCGGGTGTCCTTGAAGTCAGTTGGGACGCTTTTAAACCAAGTCGCGATTTCTTACTCATCACAGAACCCAGATCCTGCGGCACAGCGCGCTCGAGCACGGGTTGGCGATGCGGCCCGACGCCTTTGTTCAAGTCTCTGAGATCCTGCATTTGCAGAAAAAGACGCGCAGTGGCCGCTCGCTGAGCAGTCACTCCGAAGATGACGTGAGGCAGGTGCGCTGGCCAGCTACTTTGAAAAGTTTGTGTTCAAAGGAATTGTTTGACAAGTTCCAGTGTTGATGGAGTCCTTGTCTGATAATCGGCAAAATGAATCTGGTTCAAACTTGGTGAAATCCGACGTCACGAAGTTTCACCTTTCTGTTCTGCGATTTTTAGATTTCGTATGCCGATCCCCACGGAATCACCTTCCCACCTCAGCTCATGATGATTGCCTGACTTCTGTCAATGGACTATGGGCAGTAAGTTTCAGTCGCAGTCATCAACCTTCATCTATCGTGACGTTAATAAAGAGGAGGACACAAGTTGATGTGGAGCCCTCTTTCTTGTTCAGATCAGTCACGCTTGCTACTCTTTTGAAGTTTTTCCGAGACCGGTCAAGATTAAGATTCTGGTCCGAGCTTCGCAGGCGGCAGCACTGGATAAGAAGGGTCGGATGGAGCTGCGGGAAGAAGGAGGGGAGCTGTGGATCCGTGCAACCCAGGGCCACTCCATAAAGGTGACTATTGCTTTTTCTCGGCTCTAGCTTGACGCTTGGAAGCCCCACGAGAAGCCCGGAAATCTCATTGAAGACAGTGACTCCTCAGCATGGTCGCGTTGCTTCGAATATGACGGGTATGTTCCTTTTGGGGCCGATTCAGACCCTCCGATCAGAAGGCTCAGATCGAGCTACATGTGCGTACGATTGAAACTCTTGCTTCAGCTGGGGCCAAGGCTCCCGAAATGCACCCCTTGCGCGGCAGTCTGACTGGCAGCCCCACAAAGCTTTTCACATCTGCTACTTCACATCCAACTTGACCTTCTGCATCTTCTCCGTAAAAAAACCGTTTCTGAAAGCAGGTGAACGGGTTTGTAAGGCCCCGCAGCTATTTTAGTCGATCAATCTTCGGCGTTCCGCTCTGTTATCGTACTCATAGTTCGTAACCGTTCACGCAGATCATCGAATCCGAGGCACTGCTTCGCTCGGTCACTTCTGCATCTGAAGTTCCAGGTAAGGACTAACGAAAACAGCACCGATCGCATCACCGAAGCCGAGTCCTAGCAACACTCCCGGTTGGTATTTCTGCTTGCAAACCAGTGTCGCACGAACGCCGCAGACGGAAGGATCATCTTCTTGGCAACGGGTGCGCGCGCATGAGATCGTTTCAACCTCGTCGTTCGCTTCAGATTGCTCCGTACGACTGGATTGCATTTGTCACCTTTTCGACTATCTTAGGATGAAAGTCAGGACCCCGGGGAACGGGAATATCAGAACTGCAGAAAACGTATCAGTTCGTTCATGGGGACCAGCGTCGCTTTCAGTCGAGCCAAACTGAGGGCTCACTGGGGCTTCGTTACAAATGGGTTTGCTTTTTCTATGTCATCTTGCAGTATGTGTTCACGGAACATACACCCGGTACCTGGACGCAATCTTCCGGGAGGGGCTCAAGACCATGAAACGTAATCACGTCCACTTTGCGAGCGGGCTTCCGAAGGAGGATGGCGTCATCAGCGGTACGTACCTCCTCTTTTTGTTCTCATTGTGCGCTTGAATCAAACGTGCATGACATCAAGACAACGATGGTCACACTAGTCGAGTGTAAAGCCAGGCGTTGCTTACGAGCTGGCTTGACTTCAAGCGCTTGCTGTGAGGAAGGATGGGTACGCTTTTCTCTTGCTTTTATCCTGGGAAGTAATCGTTGTACCCGTGTTGTGACTAGATGCTTACTCCATTGATTCACAGTCTAGACGATTTGAGCCTCCTCATGCCTAAGTGTCCGTTCCGGATTGGTCATGCACCGTGCATCAATGTCGGAGTTGTAGCAGACTATCAATATTCTTGGAGGACAAGCGGGTGTGAAGATGGCCCGCTTCTCTGATGTCGACGTAGTCCGAAACGCTCTTGGTTTTGAGTCCTCAAGATTCTGACGGGCGAAATGACCACTCCTGACACTGTGTCCTGTTCAAAGACAATAAGAGTAATATGACAGTCCACATCCGCCAGTTTGTAGTTGCGGCCGCAGATTCTTATCTTCGGGGCGGGACAGGTCGCAGTAGGATTCCTTCCGAAATTATTGTCTCTAACTTTCACTTTCGGCCTGAGCAGAAGTGACAAAATGGTAGGAAGGTCTTTTGAGAACAATCAGGGCAATCCTGCTGTGGTTGGATATCGAACCTGGCATCATCGAGCAGGATCAAACCAATTTTGCACACGTTATATGTTAGGGAAAGTCCGTGTTCATACTGATAAAATAAGGAAATGGCAATTGTGCTTTGTGTCACAGGAATGCGGACGACGTGCGAGGTGCTAATTTTTTTGGACGTGGAAAAGGCCTTACAAGGTAAGACTTGTTTGTCTACCTCTGCATCCGCTATGGTTCATGTTAAGATGGCACAAGTTGGATTTATAGTGGCTGTGTCGTTCGAGAGCAGGCATGGAACAACAAAAGGCTTCTCCGCAGCAACTTCGCTCACGCCACGTTCTGTTTTGTAGATGGCATGAAACTCTGGGTGTCGACCAACGGTGTCATCTTGACGGAGGGGCTCGACGGAACCGTGCCAAAGCAATATTTCAAGGAAGTGTGCACAGTGAGGGGGAGGCAGAATATCCCGATTCCCCCTTAACAATGTAAAAGCCCGTCAGGCAATGTAGATTGACAGGGTACTGGAACATTGAGGACGTAAAGCTCTCTATCCAGATACAAGCGCATGAACGTCGGGGCGGCTCCGTATCCATGTCTATCTCCTTCCCCGGGACCCCGGCTCATGAGATTTTGAGAAGTACTATTCAAATTGAAGCTCTGAATGTTCATTATGAACTAATGTTGTCGAGTTTATATGTTCGAGCTGCAGTAGCATGTTGGGGCCATGGCATTGATCCCAATCTGCACCCAAAATGTTTGAATTTCAACCCCAGAAATCACATGATCTGACTCTGTAGACGTCCATCATAGTTCGACAGATAGGCATGTTGATCACATCGAAGCAACGCATGGGCTTCGTTGCTGATACGACCAAGTTATAACACGCCTCACATGATCAGTGTTCTGGAAAAGCAACCGGTGGTAGCCGGGACATGCAGATCATTGCTGGGAACTGGTTGGACAAAACTCTCCACACGTACATGCCGCATGAGCGACGGCGGCTATTAGATGAATGATCAATGCACAATCATTGGAGTTAAGCGACTTTCCTTTGGGCGTTGCATGTGAGCGATTGAGGGAAATGGTCGACTATTTTATGTCCATTGAATCAGGGCACATTGCACCAATCTCGATTTGCACCAGTGGATCAACAATGACCAGTCCAAGTAACCATCCTTGCAATGGACATGTGTGTTGGTCTTTTGTCAAATACGGCATAGCCAACAGGCCATTATGGCTTCTCCTGGTTCATCAATGTTAGTGAGTTGGTGCATTGGTCTCTTTTCGTAACGCCGTAGCCAAAGCAATGTTCCCTTTTACACGCCGTAGCCACTGCTCTAGCTTGCCCATATCATACCGTTGAACGCCCATAATAGCGACATCGCTCCTATCGGCGGCCCTGACTCCTGCAGGCTGCAGCCTGCCACGGTGCCACGGTGGCATACCTAAACCATGTATCAAAATGCAGAAGGAATACCTACTGCTAAATTCGCCATTTGTCGTGCAGGATTTGTGGGATCCTGGCGTTTCTTGCCCAATGGGCTTGCCGAGGCTTCCAAGTTCCCAGCATCCTAGTCAGCCTTGAACCTTCTGATTTTATACACCAGTCAGCTGACAAATTACCTCCCCCCGTGTTGCAGCGTGCAGGCAAACGAATAATTTTCCAGCATTTGTGGCAATGATTGTGACAGCTGGATTTACCGACGAGCCTGAGCCGCATGTCGGGCGCGGCCCACGATATTGATCACGTGAAGGCTGCCAGCGTGGCACTGAAATATCGTCCGATCCTCCAGCCAATCATTCTCGGGCCGTCGATGGTCAGTTCAACGTGAAGCTGACCTGGCTGGACCAATCGCACAACGCTGGAACTCGCATATCTCCTCTACCGGAAAGTTTCGTCAGCCCGCTGCCCGCGTGATGTTCAAAATGATTGGGAGGCTTTTAGAGGACGCGGTCCTCGATCAATTTCTCGACGCTGATTGGTTGCGAGCCACCAGCAATTCACATGATGCCAAGTGCAGCCTCCAAGTGCGAACCTTCCATGCCAAGTCCATGTGGGCCGCGTTATTCAAGACCGCGCAATTTGCCACCCGGGAACCTTTTTCCAACTTTTGCGGAGATGTCCGGGCACAAAGCGCTGCCAAAAAGTGCCCCACACGAGCCCCGGTTCCACGAACCGGCATGCGGCTTGGCCAACCAGTATTGTTTACGCGTGCCCGCCCACATGTACTCACTGTGACGCGGGGCCTTTCGCTATGACTGACTTTATCCGGTTCAGATAAAGTGCACGAAACGTCACTTCGACGCGTTTCGAACGCCTATGAGTCCACTAGTCGACGAATTAAGGGCTTGTGTAATATGTAAGTGCAACCAGAGGACAGCTAGCGAGGAAAAGTGCACGCTTCCTTGCAAGTCTTGATGTTCAGTTCAAGAAGAGAGGTTGCCTCACCACAGGGTGACTTCCAAGATCCACCTGGAGGGGCTGCCGCAGGGCTGCGTCAAAAGGGCTGCCAGCTCCCATTCTTTCCATTCTTTCCCTCATTGTTCGAAGGTTCTCAGGATTGATTGCAAAGGGACGCCTATTTAACATTAGAAGTGACAAAACGCAGCTGAAGTTGAACAACTACCACATTCCAAGGATCTCGAACAGCTCAGAACTTCTGGCGCTTCTGCCATGATGATGTTTGAAGAGCCGATGGCGTACCCGTCTGCGTCGGACGCATCCCGATACCACGCTCTGCGGTTGGAGGAGAACAGAGACCAGCAGGGGCGCAATATTGCCAGCCCGAGACAGGTCTCTTCTCTCCAGAACTATGCGGCCGATCTGATGGCTGCGGCCGCTGCGATCCAGGCGCACAGGGACTCTTCCAAGTACCTGGATGCAGAAGTAGAGAGGGCCATGTCTGCTTTTGGTCCGAGGAAGGACACTGACGATGAGCAGTGGGGGCATGAGAAGGGCGAGGGCGGTCTCGACATCTACTCATGTGATCAGTTTCGGATGTACGAGTTTAAGGTGCGGCGCTGCATGAGGGGACGCAGCCATGACTGGACCGAGTGTCCCTTTGCGCACCCTGGGGAGAAGGCAAGAAGGTGAGGTTAGCTCAGTTCAGCTCGGTTTAGAAGCTGGAGCCAGCATCAAGCAGTCTACTGTGCCAGCTCATGATTTTACCTTGAGCCAGATTCCAACCTTTATGCGTGCAATGATGAGCATATTGAAGGTTTCTGGAACATCTCAGCTCGAATGTCACCCCCCTTACCTGGCTTGTCCAGAAGGCGGCACATTCTGCTTCCGCCTGTCAGCAGGTTTATCTGGTGATAGGCCTCTTGATGCAACTTGGATTGCCAGCAAAGGAAATGGGGAGAAGTTCTTTGTTCCAGATTGAGTCTAGCTTTCACTGTCGGAGGTTGAGCTGTTCAGAGTTACTCTTCATTGGACACTCCAACAAGAAAGCCTGGTATTTGAAGTAGCCATCATTTTGGTGACTACTGCATGCTGGGTCTTTTGCAGACCCTTATCAAGCTCCCAGTAGATGTTCTCAGCTGCTCCGGATGCTTTCCTAGCTCAAACTGCCTGCCACCTCTCATGGCACAGTAAGCTTGCAATTCAGTTGTCCTGGCCATTATTGGACAAAACAGCTCTAAACAAAGTTATTTGTCTCGGTTTGCAGAAGGGACCCCCGGAAGTATCATTACAGTGGAACCGCCTGCCCAGACTTCCGGAAAGGGACCTGCAGAAGGGGAGATGCCTGCGAATTTGCTGTAAGCTCAATCTGCTTCTTGTCTATTATGTGCAAGAAGACACGGAAGCCAGGCCCAGTTCCTCAGTGTTGGGCTTGTATTACATAACCCTCACTTTGAATTGCCTTCCATTGAATTTCCTGGTTCAAGTAAGATGCTTCAGAGCATTCTTTATACATTTTGGCATGAATGCCATCGGGGTTGACATCTGCTTCTTGAGTTGGGTTTCCTCTAGTGTGATTTATGCAAGCTGCTCCTGACTTCCGACAGGATCCAGAAATGTTTTCTGGTTCCGTCTGATTCAAGTCCAAGGGAGCAAACAGCATGGGTTTATGTTGACAAACCAAGTTACAAGCCATACTGACACTCCTACATCTGTTTCCAGCACGGCGTCTTTGAGTGTTGGCTCCACCCCGCCCGCTACCACACCCAGCCCTGCAAAGACGGCCTCAAGTGCCGCCGCAGGGTCTGCTTCTTTGCGCACACCCCCGAGCAATTGCGCCTCCTCCCCGCCGCCGCCGCCGCCGCAAACCACGCCGACAAACCCCACCAAAAGCAGGGCTCTCCCACCAAGCGCCAAATGACGTCCCCCACGTCCATTCTCATCGGCCACAACGCAATTTCCCCGCCCCCGTTACCCCCCCCTCATCCCCCCCCTGCAGCCCTGACAATGCGTACTCGCCAATCCAGCCGGGGTCCCCCGCTTCCGCACAGCCGTACTACAACTCGAATCCTTCTCTGGGGGGGGGTCAGCAGGTCCCTCCCATGTCCCCCCTGGGACACACGGCACCGTTCAGCCCGCGCCAATCATACAGAGCCTCAAACTACCCCAACAATCAGATGCCCCCCCGCAGCCAGGCCCCGACGGGAACCCCCCGTTTGGAACGTCCCTCATCCCTCCCCCCCCGTTTGCAACTGCCCAGCATCGAGGAGCAGATTCAGCAGGCTCAGCTGGCGGCTGCTCTGGTCGCAGCATCCCAGAGTCCCGCCTCGTCTCCCATCCCCATTTCAGGGGGGTCCGGCAGGCACTACGACGAGTCGCAGCAGCGGATGGCTGAGATTCTGGCCGCGCATTTGTGCCAGCTGGAGATCCGGGGGGCGTCGACCCCCGGCGCGAATTGGCCCCAGTACCCCCCCCCCTCGCCGCAGAGCCAGCGCTCGTCCATGGACCTCCCCCCCTCGCAGCGCTCTTCGTTCGACATGGGCGGCTTTTCGCAGCGCTCGTCATTCGACTTGGGTTACTCGGATAACCGCGGGGGCTCGATTGATCTGAGGTCCTCGCACCGGGAGTCGATGGACTACGGCTCGCGCCGCTCCTCGTTCGACTATGCAAACTTCCAAATGAACTCGCCAGCTGTCAGGAGGACGATCAGCGTGCCGGCCTCCCCCGCAACCCGCCAGAGCAATCCTTGGGAAGCAGCAAACGAGGCGGAGTTTCAGCTCCCCCAGAGAGTGGAGTCGGGGAAGGATTTGAGGGCCGCGATTTACGGCAGGCTGGGGGCCAACGGGCAGGGCAGATCGGAGGGGGGGAACAGCCGGATTTGCAGTGGGTGAACGACTTGGTGCAGGAAGGGGGGGATGGGCCGTGGAGGAGATGAATGCAGTGAAGGGCAGATTCACAGGTGAGGGGTTTGGGTTTGTTCAAGGTATAAGCATCGGGAATCTGTTGAATGGAGAGGAATGGTTGCAGTGGTCAATCTCTGGGGATACAGCACATTCGACAAGCGGGGGAGAAGTGTTGCAATTGGCAGTGCACTGGTTTAGCTAGCCACAACAGATGACGGTGCCTTGCTATGGTCTGTTTGGGGAGGTTCTGTGCAGACCCTGCATTAGTGAATGCTGCTGAGTAGGTGCAATCCATTCAGGTGTCTCGTTTATGCCAAGGCTGTAGTTTATTTTCAGGGTCTCTCGAATGCTCGCCCTTCAGCTTAGCGTTGTCCAGCAGTGAATGATAATTCTGACTCGATGTGTCACCTCTGGTGCAGACGCATTGCCAAATGGCAGATTGATCCAAGCCAGCAAAGAATAAACGGAGGCAGCAGGGAGGAGACAAAGGGACCTCTTTTTGCCGTGAACAAATCTGTCGGCGAGGTTCTGATAGGTGTCGGGTTTTTGTAGGTAGCCCAAGGTGGTTTTGGGTGGCACATTGTCTAAGGGTTTTGCCACGTGGCGCTTCTTGTTTTTGGAGACAGAGGTATAGGGTTCTCAAAAGCGGGAAGGGCAGGTAGAGGCGCGCCAGGAGTCCCCATGGTTTGTATAGGAATACTTGATCTGCCAAGACACCGGGGGGGCCGAGGGCGGCTTCTCTCATTCTTTGAGTATCGCATTCATCTCGCTGAAACGTCTAGGCCAGCAAAGACAAAAAGGATAATAGGTGCTACAGAGCTTTGTAGACTCGTTTGGGCATATTGAGGACTAACAAGAGGGTCGCAAATCGATTCTTGGAACTGAACAGGCATTGCCAAATACCGCGCATTGGAGTGGATGCAGGTTGTGACAGGCTAGGCTAGGTACTCTTTGTATAATAAGCACGGTGCTAGCATAACTAGCCCTCGTCGATTGAACAACAACCTGCTGCTGGCCCCCTTGAAAGACATGTGTGTGGCCAAGGCAATTCAGCTGTGTAATTACCATAGCAACAAGTGTCTCTCTAGGGTTGGATTCGTGAAACTAAAGTTCATAAGCACTTTTCGGAGTGAGTACAGTCTATGTATTGTCATTGTATTTGTGATGCTTGCATGACCTTTCATTGAGCGTGGTGATGCATGATGTATATCCGTAATGAGTTCAACAAAACACACACAAATTCTGTCAGATCTGATTCATTGGCCATGGAGGCACTGTACATGACAGCTTAGTTGCTGAGCATTTCAACTTACGCTCAGCTTCCCGACCGGCATCATTTTCATGGCATTGCATCTTCTTCATGTATCCGTTTGCAAACGACTCATACGAAGCCATCAACAGGAGCTATTAGGATGCACCGCCTATACACTATTATCAGTATTATAGCTAATATCTACATCAGCGCTGCTAGATGGCTTATTCACACGGCGGCCCTGCATTTATGCACGAGATCCGGCCCCCAAATGAGCGTCACCGCCGCCCTATATACTAGCTAATTGCCACATGTATATTTACAATCGCGCAGCTAGATGGCTTACTACATGGCCGGCGTGGGGCTATGCATATTTATGCGCGAGATTCTGAGTCTAGATGCTCTTCACTAGCTTCTGCCGCGCATCAAAGGCCATAGTATAAGCTCTTGTTTGGAACTATTCTCTACATGTACCCTCATTAGTTGCAGAAGGGCTCCATGCTATGTTGGAAGCCGGCCTGGCCAGGCTCAGTCGCGTAGAAGTCACTGACAAAACCTAGGCCGAGCATCGTGCATTTGGACATTGAGCACATTCGATTGCATACCCAAGCAACGGATGCATCATCGTTCCAACTCACACTGCATTCAAAACTTCCGCAAGTAAGCCTGTGGCATGTCGCCGGTTGCGACTTAGACCGATGCTGTCAGGATTGCAATCCTTGCGCGTATTGCTATCATGCAGGAGGCCCGCAGGCTGGACTTGGCTTGCTCAGTGGAGCGATGTATGTGATATTGCTTGAATTCAAATGGGCTTATGGACCTTAGACCCATTTCATGGGTGTCATTTCGATCCGCTCGCATAATCCTCTAGGAGGGACTGACCCAATGACATCATTAGCGGGTAGATCGGCGAGAACTCCTTGTCCCCTCTCGCCTTGACCAGTTGCGCATAGGCGTCGAGGGACGCCTTGATCCGCTTCCAGATGTCCTCTTCGCTGCGGTCGTCCATGTACGACGAATACTGCAAGGCCAAGATTTGTGCAGCTCAGTCGTCTCGTAGCACCTTTGGGGCTCAAACCAAGCCTTGGATTTGCAGTCAAAAGCGACGCTACAAGCACGAAATTGAAAGCAGACCGGCGAAGGGCTGGCCGCCCACGCACATAATCGAGTCTACTTTTACCTTTTCAAGACACAAGGAGCTGGAGAATCAGCAGGGTCGATCAAGTACATGATGGCAGCGAATCAGAATCGCAGCCCCTCGGGAAGAAAGTGTCATTCAAATCCTGGGTGGGTCCTTTTTGAGATACTCGGTTTGCTAGCGGCATCTATGGGGAGAAGTGAGAGGAGGCACATTGCTTTTTAACAGAATGCATCAGTGTTTGGAGACTTCATACGTGCATCGACGAACTCAATGCTGCAAGGAACATTTGGTGACATTATACCTATAGACTTCCAAGTCAGTAGCGGACCAGGGCGCTGCTGAAGAGAACGTACCGAAGCAGGGGTGGCGTTGGCCCGTGCGTGGGGGGATCGCAGCTCCTCCGGCGCTCGGGAGAAGAGGTGATGGAGCACGGTGCTCGGGAGCAACTCCTGGAAACGATGAATTCCGTGATTAGAAATGTGTACGAAAAGAAACTGGGCACGAGGAAAGAGCGCTCAACGAACAGCGGGCATTTGAGGGGGTGCACTTTGCTTGTCAATGGCATGCATGCGAACACTGTCTGTCAGTGGCCGATGCAGATGACACCGTAGTTCGACTCAACTTCTCATCGACCAAACGGTCACGAGTTTGGAGTTGGTGCCAACTCAGGTTCCGTAGTGCCCATATTGTTCAAGTTTCACCGACCAATCAATCAAGAATCTCGGAATCCCGGCCAAAATTTCCGGCTTCCATCGACCAACCAGTCACAAGTCTTGAGATGCCGACGCACGCCTCGAAGCGCCTGTACGTTTCGGCGTTCATCGACCAATCAGATCACGCATTACGGAACGCCACCCAATTGGTTCAGCTTTCATCGACCAATCATTCCAATCCTCGAGATACCAAATTTCCGCTTCGTCACGCCCAGACTTTTCAGCTTTTATTGGTTAGCCAGTGACGCAATCCGAAATCCTGACTCACATGTAACAGGGGGCTGGTGGGGAACTGATCCGTTTCCAAAAACAGCAGCGGCCGAAAGGCGCGGACCGCCCGATATGGCGCCCCGAGCTGTTCCACCGGGTACAGCTTCTCGCCGACCGCAAACTCGAGCACCGAGATGTCGCGCACCAGGCGCAGCTTGCCGGCCTCACTCAGGGGTCGCACCTAAATGGTGGTGTCAAGCGGGTTAGGGACTAGGTTAAGTACGCGGAATGTATTGGATTAGGGATCGCACCAGGCGAGCTTGCTGAACTCGATCAGGGGGCGCCCCTGGGTGGTGGTGTCAAGTGGGTTAGGGACTGGGTTAAGTACGTGGTGACGATTGGGTTAGGAATCCAACCAGGCGCAGCTTGCCGGCCTCGATCAGGGGGCGGACTTGAGCGGCGGTGTCAAGCGGGTTAGGGTTGGGTTTAGTTCGCGCTCAGGATCGACTTTCGAAATTTCCTGAACGTGGGTCCAAGATCTGGGCAGATAGTGGGTCGAATATCCAATGAATGGTGTGGGTTGAGATTGAAGGGCCGTATTGAGGCCTCGATCTCGTGAGATGGGCGCTCGAAGCTGTTCCAAAAGAATGCTCTGCAACTTCGCCAAAATCCTTTGCGAACTTCTCCGAGTGGTTCTTCTCGTGGAAGGACGGCCCGGACTTTCGTGGCACCTAGACTGGCCGAAAATACAACAACCAGCTTCCTCACTTTTCTCTTGGAAGGGAGCGTGACGTCTCGGGTTTCGTAGGCAACATCAACACGTGTGCCGTTCAGCATGCCCGCCCTTATTCCCTCGTCTCGACAGAAGCAGACTCCAGATTACCCGTCTCGCTCTGAGCGGTAGGTTCCTAAGGGGTCAACGGTCATTGCGTGTGCTCTGAGTGCCTCAAACCGATGAGAGGGCGTCATCGGGTTCAAAGCCTGATGAAAGAAAAGTCGTTCCAGACCCTCCGTCTTTTCAAGGCATTCTCCAACTTTTCCCTATTCACGCTTGCAAGAAAAGAGGGGTTTCCGGCTTACCAGCGCTGCATGCCGCACAAACACGAGGAGGATGCGGCTGGCCATTCGCTTGGTCAGCCCCAATACGATGTTCTCCTCGGCGCCGAGCGTATTCACACCACCCGCCTTAGCGGGCCCCATGCCCACCTGTGGACGGGGGGAATAAGTTCAGGGGCACGTGCTTCGGAGCAGGCACAAGCACTATAAGCCAGGCAAAACTCAGCGCCCTGGGGATCCATTCTAAATCACGCAGAGACCTTTTGATTCTGACGTCCCGTAAAGCGTCGGAATGTTGATTGTCCAGCCTCATAAGCAGGACGAGGCCGCAGCTCGCTGACGCCCCGTTGACGTCCACCGAAAGCCAGGAAATGGCCAACGGCAGGAAAGCGGAAATCAGACTCCTGAATTCCTGGAATCAGCACCTTGGAAAGGAATTCTTGAGGGAAATTTTAGCACCGCACGCTCCACGCTCAACCCTACATTCGCTAGCCCTCCGCGGACGTCATCAACCCCTAGAAAAGCTGAAACTCTAGAGTCCAGATGAATTCGTGAACACGCTCCACCTCCTCCATATATCTGCTTCAGCTTGCCGGCCCGCAACTGAAGTCATCAAAACCCTCGAGACGCTGCCTTCCTGCAGTCCAATGTAGTTTTCAACATTGCATCCTCACCAGCAGCTTGGACAGGAACTCCAAAAATGGAAAATGGACCACCGCGCCCTCCACCTCTTCCACTCATTTGCTACAGTCGCGTTGACATCTTCAAGACTTTAAAACCCTAGACTCCAAATCGAAGTCCATCATTGCTGATCCTTACCAGCAGTTTGGACAGGAACTCTTGTCGGAAGTGCAGCACCGCGCGCTCGACCTCCTCCATGTACCTGCTGCAGTTCGCCGGCGCGCCGCCGACGTCATCCGCCAGCACATCGGCGCCCCACGCCTGGTCGTGGATTTGCAGCAAAAGCGCCTCGATGCGCTCAACCATCGCCCGGAAGAGCGGTGTTACCGCCTCCGAGGCCACGGTGTGAATGGCCCCCAGGGCGGCGCCCAGCGCGGCCTGGGTGGCCGCGGACGGGAGCGCGGGGATCGCCGCCGCCAGCTTGGCGTGCAGCTCCTGCAGACGGGGGAATTGGTGACGTCAGCCGTCAGCATATGACGTCAAGACAGATTGATGATCAAGGATTACGGATGGGAGAGCGGAAATCGACGCCGCCACCTTGGCGTGCAGCTCCTGCAGTCGGGGGCGGTGGTGACGTCAGACTTCAGCATATGGCGTCAGGGCAGAAGAAGGTGAAGACATAGGGAGGGGAGCGCGGGGATCGCCGCCGCCAGCTTGGCGTGCAGCTCCTGCAGCCGGGGAGGGGGAGCTGACGTCAGACGTCAGCATATGACGTCAGGACAGATTTGAAACCAAGGAACACGGAGAAGAGTGCGAATGTGTCCGCCGCCAGCTCGGCGTGCAGCTCCAGTGAACGGATTGGGGGAATGTGACGTCAGCACAGACACAGGCCCCGGGGCACGAAGGGAGGGGTTCGAGCATATACTGTGAGCAAAGCCGCCAGCTTGGCATGCAGACCTACAAAGGGGGTGAGAGCCAGCGACGTTCAGCATCGTGTGCGTCCCAGAACCTCCTGTATTTGCAAAGCAGTTCGAAAGCGTCTTTCCAACCACTTCAAAAGATGTCATTTGTGAAACGAGTACCTCACACTCTCCTCACCAGAAGACCCGAACAAACCCGGAACGAATCAAGAAGCGCTCGCGAACTGGACTTACGGAAATGTATTGAAGGTTCAAACTCTCATGAGAGTCTGCTCACATCAAGCTCTCCTTGAATGGTTTGAGGGCGCCCGCAGAAGGCTACGCCATTCTTACCTGTAGATGATGACAGATGGCAAAGTTGCGCAGCTGGGCTGCAGTCGCGGGCCCCGTGACCTGGCGCGCGTCGGGCCCTGTCGCGACCTGGTACTCGGCCCGCTCAGCCAAAAGCTGCAGCGCAGTTCCGACGCCCCGCATGACAAGGCCCGTCAAAGTGGGGTCTGGCTGCACGGCCCCCAGCTCCTCCAACAGCCCAGAGGCGAGGCGAGACATCTGAAGAAAGAAGAGATGGTTGATTAACGGTTCGCTTTGTTCTGAAACCTTCGAATGCTCACGAGCTACGTTTTGCTGGTGATTGTGTCTCCTATGCAGTCGGCTTTGGAAGTCATCCAGCGGGACTGCTTCGCCTTCTTGAAAATTGTGACTGTCAAGATGCAGCTATAAGCGATGACGTTGAAGCACGAAGTGAAAGCATTACAGGAGAGAGGATAACGTTCTTCGAAAATCAGTAAAGCCCGGCAGGATTAAGTGAACAGCTGTGAGCATCGATTCATCAGAAACACCGACCGAGAGACTACTCCAAAACGATGAAGCTTTCGGGCAGCAACACTGAAGGAGGCCGACTTAGACGCAAACCCTGAGTACAACGTGCAGTGGAAGAGATAGAAACATTAGCACAGCGAGTCGTGCGTTCCCAATTATCTGCTGGCACCTCTAGCGCTAGATTTGGCAGATTGAATCCATGCAACGTCGGCTGTGACGGTCATAGTCGGCTACATGGCCTCTACACGCGTCAACCATTCTGCGCCGAGTCAAAGTGATCAACCCCGCACTATGACCCGCCCTCTGACTCGCAAGTTAACCGACCTGGTCGGAGTTGGGTATGCTGGCGCGCATCCCCTGCGGAAACAGGGTGTTAACCGCCTCTTGCATTCGCTTAAGCGACTGCGCCAGGTACGCGTTCTGGAACGGCTCCACTGCCAATGACAAACTCGCCTTGTCCTCGGGCTTCACAGCCGGCGCAACGCCCTGCACCGAATCGAGCATCGACAATCAGGTTGGAAAGCCGAGAAAGCAGAGTGATGCTTTGAAAAGGGAATCGAAGGTTCGAAAAGCAGATTGCTTGCCCCAAAGAGTGTGTCGTTCCTAGCTCGATTACCGCCAAGAGGTGGCGTGTCTTGTGGTTGAGCTTCATAGCAGCGCAACGCTCTGCCGTTTGGTGCGAGCTCGCAGGTTCAACGTGAGCATAATCCTCAAGGTTTTAGTTTTGAGGCACACAATGAGCAGCAAACTGAACATATTGTTAGATTTGCGGACTGACGAAACGCCCTGCATCCAAGCATGGTTTGATTGTGGTTTTCAATGGTAGAAGCGAATGTTAATTAGAACGGGACCGAATCTTTACCAGATGTCGTAGCAACGCAAAGTGGCAAATCCATTGAAGCTCCACAATGGAATTGCTGCACCGAAGCAGACTGGAGGAAGGATTAATCGAGCGAGGGAACAGAAGTTTCCACATGAACAACCGCTGGAAGATATACTCCATGACGGGCAAGAGAATCATTAAGCACAAATTCAAGAAGGGCAATCGTAGTGACGTCACCTTGACGTCAGTGTCCCTTGCGAGCCGCTCGAGGAGCGCGTCGAGCATGCCGGCCAGCTTGGGGTACCCGTTGACGAAGGTCTCCTTGCAGAAACTAGACGCGGAGAACGCGCTCTTCATCTGGTTGGCCAGGACTTTCGTGAACGACTCCCACATGCGCTCGGTCGGCCGGGGATCCCCCTCGGGGACGGCCTCCGTGAGGAAGCACACGTGGGTGATGGGGTCGCGTTTCTTGGCCAAAACGCGCTGCAGAGGAGAGTCGCATGGGATTTGGTCTGATCGTTGCGTATCAATCACTGTTTTTGTGTGAGGCATCAGCCTGTGGATCTGGACGAGCGTAGAAGAGAAAGAGGAGGACGGAAAGAGTCTGCTGACAGGGGATTCGATGATTGCAACGCAATTTGTGGTATATGTTCTACCGGGAACTGCTTTTCGGCAGTATTTTCGACGCGACTGCAAAACAACGTGATCAAGCAGGGACTCAAAGCAAGAACGCAAAGCTGACCATGATAGAAGGCCCACCAGACTCCATCAACGGGACCGACACGACACTTCGCACGATAGTCACTGCATTGAATCCCCACCTGCAAGTGCCATACGGCCACCATGACCCCGTGCACCGCCTCGAAGCATGACGTCATCCTCTGCCAGAGCGCCTCCCTGGCCTTGGGGGCCGTCCCTAGGCCCGGCGTCCCTGCACGGGCCACCCCCCCTGGGCCGGGGGCCGCTCTCTGGTCCGCGGAGATGGCCTTCATGTCGAGCGCGGCGGAGATGGCCTTGGTTAGCTGGACCCGGTATTTGCCCATCAGCTGTTCCACCGTTTGGCGCAGCTCGCCCATGTTGTAGTAGACCTGGAGGACGCTGCCCACCTCCGCCTGCGCCGGGGTAAGGGACATGTATCAGCTCTCCGGTCTCAAGACGGGCCACCAGCCCCCTTGAGTCTCAACCTTCGGTGCCTGATCTTAGACCACTGAATCGGCCCATTTATTGATCGAACCGTCCAAGATACGTACTCCAATAGAATTCGGCTTTCAAGAGCGGTAGAGTTGAGGCAAGGAGCAGTGCTTAAGCGGCTCCGGAGTTACAAGGATTCGAAGATGCGAGGGGTCCAGGGGTTTGGGGGTTAGAGGTTGCTCCAAAACGACAAAATGAGAGAGCGTAAAAGGTGTTTCTGACCATTACGGAGGAGTCAACAGACTTGTCTGCGCTTACGTGCAAATTTTCTTTAATCGGAAGCATTACGATCGATCAGGAGCGGGTTGCTCAAGGACGAACTAACTTCAATCGTTATAAGTGGTCAAAGTCGGCCTCAACAATCTAAGATGGAAAACGAAACAGCATTCAACCAACAACTCCCGAAAAGAGCAACCCAAAGTCTTGCATCGACCAAACGCAGAAGTTCTAGGGACATTTTTGAGTTGCGACTCTCCGTACCTGGTTCAGTGACTCCATCCCCGCCTCCAGGCTCTTCATCGCCTCCGTCCGGATCCTCTGGCTCACTTCCGACAGCCACCCCATCTCGGCTTCCACTGCCTCCAATCCCCCCAGATCCGCCTCTTTCCTTATCCCGTCAATCTCACTGTACAGCTGCGCAGCCTTCGCCAAGTCGAGCCTCCCGCTCTTGCTCTCGACTTGCTCCCGCAGTTTCCCCGTCAGTTTCAGCACCCGGATCACGTACCGGAGAAGCTCGACGGTGCCGTGTAAGGCTGCCAGCTGGCGCGTCTTCAGCTTGATCTGCTTGTACGGGTCCGCGATCTCGTTTCGGACGCGTTGGACGCTGGAGCGTAGGGACTCCACCTCGGCGCGGACGACGGCTAGGACGTTCTCAGTGTCCTTGAGACTAGATACCTGGAGATAGACAAGGATGAGGAGTGTTCAAGGATCAGGTAAAGCGTTTCTGCATGGCACCAACGGATTCCTTGTCTATCGTTTCTGATGGGCCTCAAGGTCTTCATCAAAATCCCAGCCGAGCTCATGACCAGGAGGAAGAGCGAAAAGAACCTACGAAGGCAAAGGACAGTCAAAAATTGCAACTATCACATAGGACAGACACCCGCTAGATGGTCTTTTCAGATGGGCCAGGATTTTGGGGCATGTAATGCTTAAAAAACGGTGATGCGTTGGGCACGCAATATTGCACGGCGGCTTGTCACGTCAAGAGCGTTATGCAAGCACAAATTTCAGTAATACTACAACCTTGTGTTAAACGAGCTCTTTCGTCCTGCGGCAGCAGGTAGTGATGGTGGTTGATTAATTTCATTGACGCTATCATCAAGTGTCCAAAGGTATGTGAACTTTCACTGACCATTCAGATGGGACAGCTGATATGGTCAAATTTTCCATGGCGATACCATCATCCAGCGATGATGATCGATCATCTCTTTCTGTACAAGAAGTTGTTCACCGTTGCTCCATATGCAGGAACAGAGCAATGAAGCCCTCAGCTGCAATAGCAGTGGTCCTCTTCAAGCCCCACGTCTGTGTGTTAATCAGGCCTGTACAATCTTGATCAGAACTGTACAGCTTAATCAGACGTGCAGACTGTTTGCCCCCCTCCTCGCCCTAAACTGTCTCCCACGATTTCCCTTACCTGCGCCAGCAACTCATCGTGCCGGTTCACCACCTCGGTCCGCAGCTGCTTCTCCAGCAGCAGGATCCCCTCCTGCAGCTTACGGGAACTGCTGGCGGCGCTCCCGCTGTGCAGCGCCTGGCTCGCAAAGTCGGTGGCGTTGAACTCATCCTCCAGGAACTTGGCAAACGTCTCGTCCTTCTTGATGTCCTCAAGTGAGGTCTGCGCAAAGGGGCATACAAAGTGGTGAAGCAGGGGCCACAGATGAGGAGCGAGATCTCCCCTAAGGGACAGAAAGAGTGGTTTGCAGAGATTTGAGGACCATGAGAGGATTGACAATTGTTGGGGCACATCGATGCGTCAGAGGAAGGAACTTCAGCAATTGTGTAGCAGCCTACTCGTCAGATGCCTCATGATTGGACTTTTGCGCATCTGAGTGGAGTCAGCGTGGATAAAGGGTGTCACCAATGCAAACAGGTCTGGGCATGCAATTTCAAACGCGCATATTGTCAACCAACCTCCAGAATGTTTGTGCACAACGTAGTCAAGGGTGGTGGAAATCTGCAAATGTCAAAGTTTCAAGGTCAGTCTCAAAGTGGAATTCAGGCATTGTATTTCTCACCTGTGCCTGTGCGGGTTTCTCCACAAGCGAACCCGACGATCCTGCCCTGGGAGACTCTGAGATGGAGGCCCTCCGGCCAAGGGCAGTGCTGCCATAGCGCTGGAGGCTTTTTGGGGAGTTGTAACCACCAGAACTCAACGAGCTACCTGCTCGTTGCAGTAGAGGTGAAGTCATTGTTGGGGAGGGCTGTCAATGGAATGGCATACCATCCTTAGATCAGACAATCATGCGATCCCGCCACTAATGCTGGTTCCTCATTGACTGAAATTTCATGTTGAGGACTAATCAAAGGGCACTATGCTTGGTCGTCTTTAACTGCATAATGGACTACCCAGCCTCTTGATTGCGGCGAATGCACTCCTCTAGCTCACATTTCGCATCCGCACACTGCCTCTTTTTGGCCTTGGTTCCTTGCGAACCGCAAAGATCTGTCACACGCTCAAGCTCCGGCCCACAGACAATCTTCAGCAGGCACTCTGCAACGCTGTGGTTCAGCTGCCTGCAGACGATCCCCTGCTCGACGTGGTTGCGGTGTTTCCGGTTGCAATCGTCGAGCGCTCTGATCAGTCTTGCACACTTTGGAAACTGTCTAGAGAGCGTCTCTGCTGATCTAAACGCCACATCCATTCAACACCTTGAATTCTTGGCGCCTGATCCAGCCAGAAAGTTGCTCATCTGAAAACAATCTCCTGAAGACACCACCTTGGCAAGGGCCTGCAATTTCAAGCACTTTGGCATTCAACAGTGAACACAGACAGAATTGGGTCCACGTTCTGCGACCATCATGGCTTGTTTTAGAAAGCACCCCAGAATGCAGATTTATCATTTAGTCTCCTCGGGGCCCCAAGCAAACCCCCTCGTCAAGGCCCCAATTGGATCTGTGGAACGGCAAATTTGTATATCGAAGTGAAGAGTGGAAACTTTCAATCAGGTTCCACCACCCGCGGTATTTAATCGGCCGAAGTGGTCGGGAGTCTCGCCAACGGTCACCGGAATACGAATTTCGGTCGAGGGCGCACGATCTGAATCCCATCAAAATTGACCGTATTCAAGGGCAAAACAGACGCATTTCTTCGACTTTTTCGGCGGTTTCACTTCGCATAGCTCAGGTGCAGTCATCCAAGCAAGGTCAGATCGAAACCGCCGTTCGAAACGATGCAAAATGACTCATTTTGAGGGTGGTCTTGGCATTTCTCGTATACATGCGCCATCGCGAAATTTCAAGTTCCGAAACTTGACTTTGGCAATCCTGACACCCAGGAGTATTTATACCGCGGGTGGTGGTTTAACCACTTATTTAACCTGTAAGCTCAACTAAGTTCCAGCGGCCTCGGGACATCTGATCGAGCAACATGGATTCTCTCATTGTCGACGGACAATTGAAGTATGAAGTTGGCTATTGACTCTTGAGGAGACGTGGGTACGTAAGTTTGCTAGTCTTACTATTTGCGTCACTGATGATGTCACACAGGGTTAACGCCCTAACACACACTAAGACCATAAGGGTAAGCATTGAGCAAACCCTAAGGCGTTCCGCCAGAGCCCACCCGTACCCACCCTAACCCCCCAGCTAACCCCACCAAGATCAGTGTTATCCCTGTTTGTAACCCGCAATTGCCCCGAGCACCTACCGCACCCGGTTGAACCAGACGGTACCGACCACATCCTAAAAGTACCGTACCGTACCACCGGTATCGCTGATGTCATCGATGACGTATTTTCTAGACTAGCAAAGTTACCTAGTCTGCTGATTGAGGATGTCACTGTTGGCAGACCTCGCAGGTCTCGGGCTACCTACTCGAATCTCACAGGAAAGCAGCGACCTGAAGGGCGCTATCCATTTTCAATGCACGGGCAGCTTCAAGGGGTTTGGCATTGGCGCCTCAGTCAGCGCAAGTCTGTTCATTTGCATCCATCTGGGGAATGTTTTGGGGCAGCAGCGTCGACTCCCGCTTTCAAAAGCTGCTCCGTGTTCTGGACGTTATCTCACGGTATTGATACTGACCATTGCTCTCTTTTCTCGTGTGACCACTCTCACTTGCTCATTGCTCAGCATTCAGGAACAGTTGACTGTTCTCCATGTATATGTTTTCAGCTCTGTTGTTCTTGCCTGCAGGAATTCACTGCAATTAATGGTTGCTTACTTGAACGGATAGCTTGAACACTGACCTTCCTCTGCTTGCATCTTCGTGAAAGCTTTTGCAGGTGGTGGCTGCTAGCTTATTCGTCTAGATTATTGTGTGTATTCATAGCAACAAGCCTACTGAAAGGGCGGACTGCCAGCTGACCCCTCAACCCCTCTTTGTCTCTCTGTTGTCCTCATCTGTAACAGGTACCATTACCCCCTTTTCTCTCCCCTCATTTCTAACCCCACTGCTAGTTAGTGCTACATGTGACAAATTTACCGGGGGCACGTCTGGTAGGGAAGTGTTGTGCGGTAAGTGCAGGACACATCGTGCTCGACTTTATTAGATTCGATCAACAGAGTGTCCGTCAACAGTGTCGGTCTATCAAAGTCGTGGAGGTTGCTTTTAAGATTAAGGGAAAACAGAGCAGCCAGGTTTAGCAAACAAGCAAGCAAGTACAGCAAAGTTTGGTAGCTTGTAGAAAAGTAGTAAATGGATCCAGGCGCCCAAGCGGCCGCCTTCCTGGAGCAGCTGCAAAACCAGACGGGGGGAAACGGCACTGGCTGGGGGGGTCAGGAGCAGCAGCCGTACCAACCGGAGCACCAATTGCCGCCTCCACCGCCACCGATGTACCCCCCTCCTCCTCCTCAGTACCCCCCCGAGCAGGGCAACCAAGCCTGGCAGCAGCCACCTCCTCCAGAGCCGTCTGAGCAGCATGCAAACGGCCAGAGCAACGGGGGGAGTAATCCGGAGACGCCGTCGAGCGACGGGGGAGGCAGGAAGCGGCGCAGCCGGTGGGGCCCGGACCCGGCCGAGGCGGCAAACCAATCAGACGGGGGTACGAAGAAGAGGAAGAGCCGGTGGGAGCCAGCGGACGAGCCCAAGATCACGATCCCTGGGCTGCCTCCGATCCAGTTGCCGGCGTTTGTGAAGGAGCTTATGGGGGGAGAGGATTTGAATCCGGAGGTGCAGGCGCTGAATGCGGAACTGAATGAAATCAACCGCAAGCTGCAAACGGGGGAGGTGGTCGATGTGTATGTGCCGCCCGAGCAGCGATCGCCGTCGCCGGAGCCGATGTACGACAACCTGGGGCACAGGGTCAATACGCGGGAGGTCCGAATGCGCGAGAAGCTCATGAAGCGCCGATCGGTGAGTTGGGTTTGCGCAGGCGCTCGTGGTGCTCTTGTTGTCGCAAGGATGGCATAAGCACTGGGAATCGGTTGCTGGTCATCAACAAAGATAGTGTGCCACCATGAGAGCGGTTCTGCCAGCCCTTCTTTCTGCAGTACCTTGTCCACTTTCTGTATTCTTTCTGCAGTAACTGTCAACTTCCTGTTGAAGGTGGTTGTTCGCTTGCACATTGGAGTTGATTTGTTTTTTGTGATTTTTGACCTTGCGTTGTCCTTAGCCCCTGATTTGCGCATAGGACGATGGCTCTGAGCAATAACAATCACAGTTGCTGCTCTGCACCAAGTCCACAAAGGGTGCTTTCGTGGATCGTAGCAATCTGCTTGCTTTCCTTGTTACAGGACGTCATTGCTGAGCTCATACGCAAGAGCCCAACCTACAAGCCCCCGGCCGATTACAAGCCCGAGAAGAAGACGCGCAAGCTGTTCATTCCTCTGAAGGAATACCCTGGGTACAACTTCATTGGCCTCATCATCGGTCCCCGCGGGAATACGCAGAAGCGCATGGAGAAGGAGACCGGATGCAAGATTGCGATCCGAGGAAAGGGGTCGGTGAAGGAAGGACGCTCGCAGGTACGGGCTTTGTCTGTGCGGCTTCCATCTGCGTTCGGTTGCAACCTTCTGGTGCTTTCTAGTCGATCTGTTCCCGTTCGTGTGAAACGGCTTGCCAAATTGTGATGATTGTGCAGTCTAGAGGGAATTCTACTACACATCATTCTTGTCCTTTTTCATGGTACAGTTCAGATGAGCACTGCGATTCCTATTTTAACCCTGTGCGGGTTCCCTCCTAACCCTTTCGATTTTGAAACCCTTGCAGAACCTGCGCAAGGATGCCAAGCCGGATCCGTCGGAGAACGAGGATCTGCACGTGTTCATCCAGGCGGATGATGACGACTCCCTTGAAAGAGCGGCTAATATGGTGCAAAAGCTGCTGACACCTGTCGAGGAGGGCGCCAACGAGCACAAGCGCACACAGCTGCTCGAGCTGGCGGCGCTCAATGGTAAGAGACGACATTGCAGGTTTTGTTTGCCATGTCCACTTAATTGTCCATATCTGAGCAGAAAGTCTGGTTTTGCTTTGAGGGGTTTGATATTGGGGTATCAAAGGAATTCTGATTAAGGGGAAGCGTGGGAGTGCTCGATTGAGGAACGGGTGCATGAGCTTGTGCGAATAGGCTCTTCAGTTGCCGTCTCGTGGCTCTTGTTTTTAATCCCTGCAGAGGGCAATCCCTCTTGTAACTCTTCCCATGGGTATTTTCGGAACTCATTTCAATGCTGTGGGCCAGGGCGTATGTGACTGTTGCTCGGGCCCAGCTTGGTCGCAGCGGCGGCAGCAGTAACTCGATGTCGTACCTTGCTCAGCTTGTCCCCCTGGTTCACTCCCACTGCTGGCTCGCCCAATCGAGCAGATTTGTCGTCATTTGCCCTTTCACCTAGTATGTAGACTGCCCAGGCTCGGACGCATGGTTTCCCGCAATTGTCCTTAGATTCCCAGGCCCACAAGAGCATCTTCCAGCATTTCGATTTCGCACTGCGTGACTTTTATTAATTCTGTTGCGGACCTGTTTATGTAAGCTTTCACCCGAAAGCTGACGCCTTCCGACTTTCTATACAGGAACGCTGCGCGATGACGAGTACTGCCGGCTGTGTGGCGAGCCAGGTCACCGGCAGTATGACTGCCCGACCCGCAACTCGACGTACAAGGCCGAGGGAGTGACCTGCCGCATTTGCGGAGATGGAGGCCATCCCACCATCGATTGTCCGATGAAGGTAAGCTACCGTCAACATTTCGCTCGTTGCACGCTCAACTCAAAACACTTCTTCTGTGAGTTAGGGTCTGTGAGTCCTGTGTCCTGGGTCAGCTGGTGCTGCGGGACAGCAAGTCCGTTGTATGTCACATCCCGCTTGAGCTTCGAGTTGGCGGCATGACACACTGAGAAATTGTTCTGCTCGTCAGAGGTCCCTCGAGTGGAGGCCAAACGTTGCTTGCAACTCTACCATCAGGGATCAGGGGCTCTCGTTCTTTTGATGAACACGAACCCAGAGTCAAACCTCTCTGCGCTTGTACCTACCCTCGATCCCCAAAGCTACTCCACCCGTCCCCCTTACAGTCACCCCTTTTAACATAATGCATGTTTTTTTTAGCGTACTTTCAGTGCGATCTCGAAACATTCTACTCTTCTTTACAGGACACTAAGGTCGGCCACCAAATGGACAACGAGTACCAGAGCTTCCTGGCGGAGCTCGGCGGCAACCCCGCTGACGCCGCCGGCCGCGACGGGCGCCCCGCGATGCCAGGTGGCGCTCCGCCATTCGGCGATCGCGGCCCAAGGGTCACGGGCTTCAGCAACGGCCCGCCGAGAGAGGGGCTGGGCTTCTCGGGGCCGCCGAGAGATAGCAGGTGCGTCAGAATGCATAATAGCTAGTGGTTTCTCTCGGACTTCGTGATTGATAATTGTGCAGCATAAAGTTAGGTGTTGCAGACGTGGGGCGGGTTGGGGTTCGCACGCCAGCTGTTGCTTGTCACTTCTTGACGTGCAAGCTTCTGCTCTTAGAGGAAGGCAGATCAAACCAATATGGCAACGGAGGTCTTGCAAAACGGTTAAGAGGCGACGCCCACTCATTCGCTTTGTCCTCTCGTTGCCTTTTCTCTAAGCATCTCCGCACTCACCTGCTGCCTCATCAAGCCAAACACGTTTGTGTCAAATGACAGCGAGCTTCATCCAGGGCTCAGCATCTGTGGAACCCAGTTTCGCTTGTCCCTGCCTTCTGTTCGCTGTTTAAATCGGTCAAATGCTAGTTTGTGGTCAATTCTGAGTTTCCTCCGACCATCCTTCTTGTTGTAATGCCCGCCCTCTCTGCAGGGCCCCCCCGTTTTCCAGTGGCGGCAGACCCCCCAGCCGCGATGAGAACGACGACTCGAACCTTTACATCGGCTACCTGCCCGCCAACATCACCGAGGACGAGCTGCGCCGCCTCTTCGACCCCTACGGCAGAATCGAAGAAGTGAAGGTCATTAAGGACCGCGCGACGGGGATTAGCAAGGGCTTTGGGTTTGTGAAGTTCTCGAGCGCAAGGGAAGCCCACGAGGTGAGCTTGACTGCAGAACTGCGAGGGGGGCGGGGGGGGATTTCTGAAGCGGCACCTTCGTTTGATGAGTCCGTCGTGTATCAGAAAGGACGTTCACCACTTCCTGTTTCAGAACCCGGTTATTCTCTCCTTAGGGGATCGCTGGATTGACAGCCGCGGCACACGCCGCAACACCACCTCTTGGACTCAGAGCAGGTTGTTAACGCCGGCGAAGTGAGGGTCAGGAACACCCGTCACAGAGTTGGCACTGATTTTGCCACCCGTGAGAACCCAGAAAGCTGCCTTTGAGCTTCGACGAGCTTGAGACAAAGCGGTGGGGCAGTCGCTGACTTGACCGCCGATCTACCAATCGCTCTCCCGCCTCTCTAGTAGCTCGGCAAGTAAAGCTTGTCTTTCTCCTTCCGCAGGCTATCACCGGAATGAACGGCTTCCGCGTCGAGGGCAAGAGTCTCGCTGTCCGCATTGCCGGCTCGAACACCGGCGGACCGTCCGACCGTCCCCCTCTCGGACGCCCCACCGGTTTCAGCGGACCCCCGTCCGGCTTCTCCGGTCCCCCTGGCCCACCCAGGGTATCAGGGTTTAGCGGACCCCCCGGCCAGACGGGATTCAGCGGCCCTCCGGCGGCGCAAGGGCCGCCCCCTCCCGGCACAGGGAGAGGTGAGGGTTGGAAAGTTGAAACTGTTTCGTGTTGTTTGAGACAGGGACGGTTGTTTTCACGACTGTGTGGTTCATGTGAACCGTTACACTTGGTATTCAGTTGGGAATTGCATTTGCGATGTCTGCCGAAAAAGGGATACCCTGCTTGATCGATCGACGAAGAGCAGATTTCAAGTGAGAGGATACTGGGATTTTTTTAAGCGGGTTCACTGATGAAGGCCAAATCGAGGCCACCATTACTGCCAGTTTTATGCTGCCAGTATAGCTTCAATTGCACCGGTATTTCATTGGTAGACTTCGTCCAGAGGAGTCTGCTGTTCCTTTTATTGTCGTACTCCGGCCTCGTAGACGTTGCCTTGAGTTTCTGATGTGGCCACCTCCGCTCTCGAGTCTTGGAAAGATGATCTTTTGAACCTCCTCATTATCTTGCAGGTCCCCCTTCAACGCCCTGGGGCCAGCCACCTTCTTCGCAGGGGGGCCCTCCAGCAGGCGCCCCGGCCCCCCCTTGGGGTGCCGCACCGCCAGCGCCAGGTGAGAGCTCTACTGCCTTCTTACATCTGCCGTGCGTTCTGATTGTGGAAGGCACACAATAAAAGTGTTACGGTGACGCCCCCTTTAGTATCTCGCACTGTGATGAAGCAAAGAGTTGGCCCCTTTTGCCTTTGCCTGTTTTGAAATACTGACTCTATTCGAGAGTCCCCATACGTAATCGCTGCCATGCTATCCGTTGGATGCCTGTGTACCGGGGTCGGAACCGTCAGATGATAAAATGAGAACACCTGCAGAACGTGTGTGTGTTTGGTGGATCCGTGCACTTCACAAATTCGCCGGCTCTCTTACAGTAACTTGATGTCTTTGGAGTGCTCAAGTAGATCAGCAGCTTTCATTGCCGCAGAATGACACCCTCATTTCTATTGCTCGCAGGCGCCCCACCTCCGGGTGCTCCCGCGCCCTACTACCCACCCCCTCCGTACTATGGGGCGCCCCCTCCGGGGGGTCAGTACCCCCCCTACCAGTACCCTTACTCATACCCCCCTGGTGCGCCGCCCTCTGGTTCTGCGGCTGCTCCTCCTGGCAGCTACCCCCAACCTTACCCGGGGTACTATGGTGCACCACCCCCCGGGCAGCCTCCGCTGCCGCCTAGCAGTGGGGGGGCACCCCCGCCTCCTCCTTCCGGGGGGGGTGCGACGCCGTGGGCGGGGGCAGCGACCCCGCCCCCCCCAGATGCTTCGAAAGTGGAGTCGGAGTATGAGAAGTTTATGCGTGAGATGGGCAAGTAGAATCAGGAGTTCCGTACTTGTTGGTCGGTCCTTGAGTTTAGCTAGAGTGTTTTAGAGAGGTGTCCATCTGTAGCGTGTTCCCTTGCGGTGAGCGAGTTTTGTGGTGGAAAGCAAGCAGTTCTGTATGCAGCGAACCACCCAAATGGTACATCTCCGGTCCAAACAAGGAGAGGAAATAAGTCCACTTGACTATTTCTATCAGACGTTGCTCACTAATCGAGCAGCAGCGATTGTGCTCACGCAGCAAGGATACTCGTGAACTCGGTCAACAACACGCAGACATGGATGCATTCGGGTTGTCTTTACTTACGTGTCTGTCTCGCTCAGGAAATCCTGTTTTGAAATACTGTGAGCAGTGGTTTTGCTTTCTTGCATGATCTGTACTGTCATCGTAAGGCGACCATTGACAGTCTGCATGTTACTAATATAAGAGCAAGGTATTAGTACCGCGTCAGACGAATTATGGCGTCAATGATGCCGGACAAATACGTGGACAACGAGCTGTACGGTACTCCTCTGCACTTAGCACACAGAATCGATCGAGAATTTGTATTTCTGCATGTGCCGCGGCCGGAAGTGATCATGCTTAACAACCAGGGATATGATGTTGGGGCCGGACGAGCAACGTCCGCCGTGGCTTCCATTCGGACCGTCGGCCTTTCAATTAAAGCAACTTGAGAAGGTTAATTGTAGATACTAACCAAAGTAGTTGTCCCATCATATCACATGCTAAGTGATTTAGGCTGCATGGGTGAGTCATACCTTCAAAATGCACCGTGCGTGATCGTACAAGATAGAGTTTGTTGTAGGTTTCATATTTGCGGATTGATCGAGTGCCACATTCCCATCGGACGACTGCAGACAGACATTCCGGACGATCAACCAAGGCAAATGTGACAATCGAGATATTCTCGAGGTTTATCCGACGACTCAAGCAGGACTCAAGCCCCTTCTTTCAAAGTTGTGGGGTCCTGGATGACTATGAGTGTGAAGTCTTTGTCCGGTGCTACCAGAATCTCGTGCTGCTTTGATCGGATCCGCAGAAACTGCAGGTCGTTCTGGGGGTCCAAGTCGCGGACGCATGATCGCGCCATAGCGGATAAGCTGGGGATCAGTGATGCACACTTGGCCGCCATATCAGGCTGTAGTAAGAAAAAGGAAGAGGTTTCAGACGAGATCAAGCGAGAACACCAGACCGGAGAACAAACGTTCAAAGCTAATCGCTTAAAGATAGCAGGTGACAGGCGGCCGTCTCGGATCCGGGTGCAGCGGACAGCAAACCCCGAAAAGCTCGACGGCTTCCTTCTCTGCGAAGGGCTGCTGTTAAAAGGATGACTGCGTCGCTTCTCCTGATATGGTAAACAAAGGGAATTGTATGGACAGTAGCGTTCTAAACTCGTCCTCATCATGCCAGGACTGACCCGCACTAGCACCGGACTCGAAGTTCTGCCGAATCGCCTCATTGATATTTCCGTCTAACCCTTGCAAACGGTTGCTTGGAACGTGGCTCATACAGTCTTTACAGAGGTTTCTGATCGTAAGGTGGAGCGCGAAGAACGCCGCAAGTTGGCACTGACAATAGTTAACTTTACAGCTGCGGGCAGCGTACGTGTGACCTTAGAGCAGGTTGCTTTACAGCTGTGGTTGAACCTGTTGAACCTTGTTGCAGGTACGGGGAGGCCGTTCTAGATCTATCCCTGTTTTATGTTGAAGGAACGAAACGAGGATGGCAAAGAAAGAGGGCGGCTGAGGCAGTCCGGCTTTGTCAGGAGAGTAGAATTGTACTGGCATTTTATCCAATTTTCGAGGCAGCTTGTCAAGAATCAGCCGGCACGGCTCATCTGATTGCGGAACAATCGTCAGAAAGGAGAAAAATCTCTCAAATGTTTGCCTTTGAAGTCAGGAAAAGGGTTGGGTCTGCAGCACGGCCACAAATGCGTACCTGAAGGACTGTGGACCGCAGGACCGTCCCCTCAGCATCAACGATTATGGTGCCCAGGACTCCCTGCATCCACAGCACCAGGTGGTTCCAAGCTTGATTTAGCAGCACCACTCGTCTTGATAAATTGGAAGTGACATATGCAGTATCGGTGCTTTGCGCAAAGAAGGTGAGCTCTACAATGGCTGAGAAGACGTATAATTGGTGCCAAGCTACGGGCCAAGGTTGAGGAAGATGGCCCAATGTGCCAACTCAAGTATTTCAGTACGCATTTCCAGTTTGGAATGGGAGTTGCAACTAGCACTTTTTGCTGCCAGAATTGCACAGGTCTCTGCTGCCAATAGCATCTTGCCAAATTCTGATTTATGTCATGATCCTGAATGGTGGTATCCTTTCATCTATTGCTTAAAATGAAAGAGAGACCAGGCACTGTCATGTCACCTTGTGGCCGTTTATCCTTTGTAGTGTGGCCTCAACTTCAGACTGCAGGATCAACAAAGGAACTTCGTTTACAACCCGGGCACTTTATCGACATTGACGCATGACCAGCCGGTTTGATCCAGCCTTACACCACAGCTAGCGATAGGAAGCATGCAAGGACGCCCTATTTTGCCTGAACTTCAGAGCATGAGTTACGGGTCAACACTTTCTTGCTGCTTCTTTCAACCTGCTGTTGAGCTCAAGCTGAACAATTTCTCAAACTATGTCAATGACCAGAAGCTGCAAAGTTGGGTTGGAGAAAGCTGGCATGGCATGCATCATTTACAGAAGATGGCTCACCATTGTCACCCCTTTGCAGCTGCTTCTGACTGTGTAGCAGTTTACAAATACTGCGGGTATGTCTGGAACCTGAGAACTTGTGGTAAAAGCCTTCCTTGCAGTCCTTGTAAGCGGATTCTACAAGAGCATAGTGCCAAAAAGGTCCTGCGCTTATCCGCTTCACCAGGAATTACCAAGTTGCAACTTTGATGCTAATCAAAGCTGACTTTCATTCCAGGAAAAGAACCTTCGACTAGTCAGGGACTCAGGGATAGAGTATGCTGAGCTGGGTGATCCGACGCCGCCAGGTACTTCAAACTGAACGTGCATCTTCGAATTGCTCTTTCCATTGCATCTTGGAACGAGCTGGCAGCTACAGCAGCTAATCGCGAGGGTCCGCAGAACGGCGCGCGCGGCGCTGCATGGCGAGTCGTGACTCAACCCTCGAGTCTGACCCGTTCGAGCCTCTGACCCTGAGTCTAGGCTATCCTCTTATTAGCCTACAGTTCAAATTTGTTGATCGTGCTTCATTCGAAGTCGATCAATCAGATTTCAGTTACGGATCCATTGGCTGACATCCAACTTGGTTTCGGCCGTCCGTGTTCTACGATTTTGGCTCTATCGGACGGTTCAGAACCACTTTTGGCCGGTGCTGACTAAACCGCGAGGCCACCTGTTCAATGATTGAACGTTCGATGGGATCCTCGGGGAGCTCCACCACAATAAGAAATGCACAGAACAGAAGACCTGTACTAGTATCATACTACGGTACTAGTAGCTACCGGTACTGCAGTCCTCTACTGAGATCAAGGCTGATGTCACCCGGCGCATTTCAGCATTTTACAGATGTCGTTTCTCCCAATGCACACCGTCTGCAAAGCACATCGACTTTATTGGCGAAAATGCCCCGTAAGCTTGCCAACTTCAGCAAATTAGCACGCTTCTGTGGGTTTTTCTGCAGCAGATCACAGCTTTCTAGAACAGGTTATAAGGACAGCACTCGCGATTACTCATGGCAATCGACACTAGGAACGCCGTTGTTCTCGGTGCGCGACACGGGCGCGACACCACCACTGGCTGGCATTAGCTGTGAGCTGCGTCGTATATTGCTTTTTGGTCATGCAAGTCCCCTCTCGGTTCTGCTCTGCTCTGCTACCAAGACCCGGCTCTCTGCCGCTTCGAGCTGGCCCTACAGTCCCACATTCATTTCGGAGGATGGCACAGAGCTTTTCTGCAACAAAGGTGAGGGATTTTTGCCCAGTGATTTGCTCTGCCTATATTGAGTATTTGCCTAGCCACTTTGCTGGAGCCCATAAAGTGTCGCAATTCACGCCAATCCTTGTCATCAGAGGTCGGCATCGCTCTTTGAGTGTACCATCTCAAAGCACGAATTCAATGAGCTTTCAGTGACTACAGTAACAGGAAGCACGACCGAGAACATCTGATATGCCTTACGCGAGTGCGATGCCAAAAAGCATACATCTCATTTTAACCGTCTACAGCTGCGACTGTCGACTGCACCGTACAAGCGGGACTCCACACACTGGTTGTTTATCCTAGCAAGCAGATTGTTGAGCATGCACGTAGCCTGAGAAATGGCATTTCGCGAGCATTTCGCATGTTCGAAGTTCTTCACCATAAACCAAACATTCTATCATAATAGTACTCTGCTTTGTGTTTTACCTCGAAGTTTGTACGTCACGCTCCTCGATCACCAGACGAAAGGAGAATCAGGATGTGAAAAGTGCTGTAGACTACATAAGGACGATTCGTCGAAGCAGACAGCCTTCCAACGTAGCAATCCTTTGGATTCGACCGCACCGTCAACCTGGCTTTCCTGCAGATATACCTCAGCACCTACACCTACTTCCAGTTCTCGATGACATCCACGATCCTTTGAGATCCAAATTGCCCAACCCCTTCATCGGAACCTCTCAAAGGCCTGTTGGCGATCCTGGCCCCACTTGGGAACGGAAACAAGCATGGCCGCCGCGCAGTAGAAGTAGTTGACACAGCACTCGTTTCCATATGCCGGCGTAAATCTGCCAACGTCCCAGAATCGGGTGTCGCCAATACACCAGTGGATGTCCTTCTGGCGCTCCATTTCCATCGAAGTAAAGCACCTTCTGAACTCGCTCGTCTTGCACAGATTCGTCCAGCTCTCAACGTAGTTGACTCCGGTCAGTGGCGTCAGGACGTCTACCAGAGCACGGTCGTCGTAACTCGGGCCAACGTGTCCTTGGGTGAACCGCTCCCGCGTCACCGCCCCGCTCATCTCGCTGACGGGTTTGAAGCCGTCCGCTTGGAAGTGCGGATCATCAGCTCGGACGACTTCCTTTCTTGGCACGTCATGATCGTCAAAATCCGGTCCGGAAACTGAGAGGGGTGCCATCTTGTCTTCCTCTTCGTTCGACCCGGCCTCCAGCTTGTACAGGTGTACGAATCGGACGTGCAAACCGAGCGCCTTCGCGACCGCAAACAGGACGGCGTCCGCGCCCTTCAGGAGCGGCGCGGGGCGCTCGGCAAAGGCGTGGCTCGTATGCGGGTAGCGGTGCTGGAAGAAGCATCAGGAAATATTTTAGCTGAGTGACTGCTTGTTAGAGGGTTGGGCCGCGTGATTTCGACTGCTGCAAAGTGGGGTGAAGACAGGGTGTCATCCAGACCAAGGACTGCATAAGACGAGATGGAGAACCGGCTCTCACGTGGTAGGCTCATAATGGGACGGGACGTGGCGGGAACCGATGCCTCAATGCTAATCAACTTCCAGTAAACTCTGAGGCCCTCCGGTCCAACTTCAGGAGAAACAACATAGCACTCAATCGAGGACCTTCGTTCCAAGGGACGATCGCGGACGGGAACCGCGCAAGACGGAAAGAGATACCTGGCACATGAAGCCGAGCCGGCCACCGTCGTACATAAAGCTCTGCTGGCCGAGCGCATCTACGAGTGTCTGGTACAGGGGCACGTGGCGCACATCCGACGATGTTCCAAACGGCCTCTCGGGTTTGGGGGAATTGATGTCCGCGTAGAGATTGTACGTCAGCGTGACGCGATAGTTGCGCGTCACCTCTTTGACCTGACACAAGGCCGAAGACTCCGTTAGGATCCGAGTCTGGACCTTTGAGAAGTTGCAAACTAGACCTTGAGAAAGCTTTGTGAAGACACGTTTTTCCCTCGGCCGCTTGAGCATGTCATAAGAAATTGTTATGAAACCTCCACCTGCTCAGTCTTTGCCAGATACACGGATGTCGAAGCCATCAGTGAGGAAGTAGCGTCTTTTAGATCAGAAGCACGTGCTCTGAGGAGCCGAAGAAGTGTCCTAGAAGTGTATGATTCACGCGCGCACATCTGCGTGTACTCAAGCGACCCCTCTGAATCCGAGACTAACAAAATTCTTACTTCGTGTTCACAGTCGGAGTAGAGCGCGACCCACTGGATGGCGCTTCCCGACTTGCTGCTCCAGTCAATGACTGACGTCACGCTGCCGTGGCGGATGTGCAGCTCCCCCCCTTCGTGCTCAAACGGCAGGCACACCACCAGCGAGCCAAACATGTCTTCGCGGCGCGGGGTGTCCACGTGGCTCTTGAAGAAGTCCCCGGTTCTGCAAGAAGCAGAAGACAGGCGGTCGATAGAAGGGCGCTCGATCTGAGAGAGGGCTGTCATAGATGCTGGTTATGCTGCTCAGGGTGTGAAACAAACGCTGCGTGTCCTTAACTCGAGTGTAGAATATCTCTGATAAAGGCTTGCAATGACCTTGGAGGACTTTGCAGCATGCTTTTAAGAAAGATTGGCACAGATTATTACTTCCAGAAAGCAGCGACCCAAAACGTTGCCAAGAATGCTCATATTATATCAGATCTTACTGATCGGTTAGACAGGAGGTGGCAATTGAGATAATCAAGGAAGACCTTTGTCTAGCCTTGATTTCGGACGAGGATTGTGCTGCTGTCTTGCCTGTACACGTTGAGTTTGTGAAGCTCCGCTCTGATGCCAAGCGCGTCCGGCGCCATGACCCGCTGAACTTCGGACAGGATGCTGTACTCAGAAAGGTTGAAGGTACAAGAGTAGTCCTTGCCGAGCTTGAGGGCCTTCCTGCACAGGTACCATCTGGCTGTGAGTCAGAAACGGAACTGGGATTCTGATTCCAACCACAGTGAAGAGCTCTGCGATGGCCAGTAATGAGCAGAGTGAGTCAAAGTTTGTTGACAAAAGCATTGCAGAAGTTGCGTTGCTTTCATTTTCAGAAACAGGGGACCAGAAGAACAAGTTCTGCATGAAGATAGTCTGAAGATCTTTCCGAACAAATGCAGACCAACAAAGCGCTGTTTGATTTCACTTGTTGATCCAGAAATTGCCCAAAGCTGTGAGGCAGATGCAGATCCGCGTGCAAGATATGGAATCTACTTTTGCTTCTGCCCTAGTTTTGAAGTACGTCCAGGAAGAGCACATGTCAAAGATAAGGTTGAAATTTATGATCAGAGTGGTAATAATTCCAAACGAGGAACATAAGAATGTTTTGGATTACCTATACGAAGGGTCCAGGACATCCTCCTTTCTCCTTCCAAAAGTGGCTACCTCACAAGCGCTCAACAAATCCAGGAAGTCTTCCTCCCGACCTCTTTGCACAGGGATGTCAAGAATCTTCGCCTGGTTTTGGTCGTTCTTGGTCTGCACCAAGTACAGGATACCTCATTGACATGATTCTTCCAGAGATAACAAGGAGCATCCGTTTGCAAGCGCTGCAGAGACTATGCAATCGTGCTTTTCTCTTATTCGTGCCTTATCATGTAGAGTAGCAAACGTTTACTTACAACGTCACGTCTCACCAGCATCCAAAACCTTGCTGGAAGAATCTAGAATGCATACTGCATTCTGAATGATTCTCTTGATCATACAAAAGTTGTCAGCTCTATGGTTGAGATCAGAAGCCTGCAATGATCGTAGTAGCAGGACCTTCTGATCTCCAAGTAAGTTGCAAGAGTGAACAAAGCATCTGCACATGACTGTGTCTTACCTGCATGTAGAACAGCTTCAGACCATCTAACGGGATGTCCACAGCGCCACCATAGCAGAAGGTCGCCGTAAGCTTGTCAGCGTTGGCGCCAATTTTCTTTAAGAGCGCGCCAGAGCACAGGTCTACAAGCTTCGTTTGGCCTTCCCCTCCAGCCGCCTGCGCTTGGGCTCGGTGTGCAGCCATGTTGCCCCTGTAGTACTTCAAACAGATGCAATTTGAGTCTACCAAAGGCTTTGATGAGGCGCACAAACTCTACTTCTCCCAGTAGCCCCCGGGCGAAAAGGGTTGCTACAGCACGCCTCCGGCCTCGACTGTATACTAGTAGGACTGTTGAAAATTTTTGCCTAGCCTGGCTGCCGTGCCCCAGCCCGGCCGCGTGCTCGACAACTGAGCCCGAGGGTTTCGAGGGTTTGGTATGGAGGGTTTGCAAAACCTGAGAAATGATCATTTAAAATAACATTTTGCATTGACTCGAAAAATCACAAGCTTGCCGAGGAAGGCTTTCTTTAAGTTTAATTCGCTGCTGTCTTCCTTGGTTGCTGGCCTACCTGTTGTCCCTTTCATCACTTCTTTAGTCATTTAAAACACCTGTAGTACTGTGGTGGAGAGTACTGGCGCAAGCGGGCGAAGACGATGGAGAAAAGTACTTGTATCTTGCTGCTGGTGGTACGATACTTGTTGAAAGTTTGGAGTTGTCGCCTGTGTTGGAGAGTAGGCAATTAGGTTTTGGTGCTTGAGGTGTAGTGGCGCACCGTAGGAAGCATTCCTGGGCGGACCCTCCATGCAATGGCTGGCGTACTCTATAGAGTGCAACTTCTGAGAAAATAAGTAACATTAGAACACTTCTCTGCAGGTGTTGGTGGGTTGTGGGGTTGCAGCAGGCAAGCCAGATTCTCCAATCGTAGACGATGGGCACATGTTCAGGTTTGGCGCTCCAGCCTCTCTAGACCATATCTGCGATGAAAGATGCATGGTGGTGCATTCTGACGCACCTTCGCGCGTCACAAATAGCTTAAGCCTTCTTCATGCATCCAATTGCGATCAAGGTGACGCACTTTTGAGCGCATCTGGATTTTCAGGAGCCCTGACTTTTGCAGGAGAGTCAACAACAGATTGCTCTCCTGGGAAGACTTTATGGGCAAAACATTGATCGTGTGACAGAGAGGCCTTTCAAGTCAAGCTGGCCGCTGCTGAGATATTGAATTTGAAGTTGGTTGCGTCTGTGATTGCAGTGGCAGTCCGGTTCACCAGAAGGGCATTTGCGCCATGTACGATATTTGTGGTGCCAGAGAAGACGGGAAGCAACTAAACTGTCCAAAGAATCACCCGGCGGTTGAGGTAGGTAGTTCTCCCTTCTCCCCGCTCGACTTCAGAGTTGATTCGACGCCTGACATACATTGTGCTAAGCAAGAAAGCATTGATTCGTATTCGACGTTGACAAAGATGAGATCCTTCCACAGTAAGGAGATGAAGGTCAATCATTGCAAGTACGGTTTGGTCTCCAGCCATTTAGGCTCCTCTAAAAAGACGTTCCAGCCTCTTCATGGCAGTGGAATCAACATATTGACCGTTGGCAGACTAGACGTTCATCAATTGCCTTTCCATTGTCTTTGCAGCCAAGTCCAGAATTCTCCTACAAGGTCCAGGGGCTGTGTCCAGCCCTCACAGGGGACCTTTGCTGCTCTGAAGCGCAGTTCAATGTGCTTCTGAACCAGATCAAGCAGGTAAGACGAACTTGCACCATTGATGAGACTTGTTTCAAGGGGAACAAGGGATTGAGGAAGTCTGCTCATGGATTTCTCTACTGAGTAGGAGATCATTGGTCCTGACTCTTGAGCGATCTTTCTGTGCTGTGCTCAGCGAAGATTCTTTCCTCTTCACAAGGAGAGGTGTGTTCAAAATGATGCACTTTTTCCTCTTTTGTTGAAGTCCTCCTGATCATCGCTTGTTATTGACAACTTTTTCAGATCAGATTCGTACCTAGAGGTCTGCTTGTGCACTGATATCTTACTTCACTGCTCTCGTTCGATCCTAGAGAGCTGAGAACATGCACATCAGAGAAGACGACTTAGAGTATCATTTCGCTAGTATCATATCGTCAGAAGGCAGCCGCAACCTACTATCGGGCCATCATCCTAGTAGGATAACCGAGTTCGCTCCACCTTTCTAGAGGATTTGCCTACGGAAGACATAGCAGCTTCTAAACCACCTTCTTTGGGACCTCGATCGCGCCATCCTAGAGATAATTTTCAATATTGTCTCTCGAGCCTCAAGGGGTTCCATAACAGGGGCCAACTGAGCTGTTGATTGGCTATCTGTGCAGGCAGTCACCTTTCTGGCTGGTTGTCCTGCCTGCCTCCGCAACTTTCTCAACTTCTTCTGCGAGCTGGCGTGCTCTCCTGACCAGAGCCTCTTTGTCAACGTCACCGAAACTGCGCCGGTGAGTTAGAGCCTTTCCAATTCATCCTCCTGTCGAGACAGCGCTTGCTCTGGTCTTCTTTTCTGTTTGCCGTTTGTTTGAGAAGACGGCTACCTCTCGACTTTCCAACTTGTCTTTTGGCCGTCACATAGTTCACTCCGCCGCCTGTCGAGCTGCCAATTCTCGCCTTATTGCTAGTACACGTCAACAATTGTGCAGAATTACCACAGCTCAATTGGAGGTTAATCTCTTTCCAAGAGTCGGCTTGCTTGATTATCTTCTTTTTTATCTTCTTTTTTCGCTTCTGTTCCCGCTGCTCGAGCAGAAGAGGCGAATGCGGGCCTTTGTAACCTTCTGATGACGCTTTGCAGGCCTTCTCCACAAACCGGACCAGCGTTGCAGCAATCGACTTCTTCGTGTCCGACGATGTCGGCACTCGTATGTACAACTCCTGTGCTGACGTCAAGTTTGCAGCGATGAACACGCGGGCCATGGATTTTATCGGTGGAGGGGCCACGGACTACCATGGTAGGTACAGCTTCCGCTGTCAGAGTTAGCGCAAAGGGGGCGTCACGGATGCGTCCGAACGACGACAAAGCAGGAATGTCCTTAACATCGTCTTCAGCTGGCCCTGAAGAATTGACTGAGCAGTGTCTGGCTCTAGCCCATCACTGTCGAGGGTCTTCAGGTTGCAATATTGATTTTACGTGCCTTTCGACCCGTCGATTACGAACATCCCCGAAGGCTTTTCAAAACGTGGCGTTCTCCCTCTCAAAAGTTGCTTCCGTCAGCTCACCCGAAGCCCTCGAAAGAAGATCTCACAAGCACGCTCTTGGCTTCGTGAATCATTTTGCGAGACTTTCGGCAAACGCAGTCTTCCCTCCTGCAGAATGGTTCGCTTTTCTTGGGAACAAGGCGGACCTGTACCTGCCCGGCTCGCCTTTCGCCATCACATTTCCAGACGATCCTCCCCCTCACTCCGGTCTGACGGCGCTCGACATGCCCGTCATTGCCTGCTCCGATCCTGCGTTTGCCTGCTCGTGCGGCGACTGCCCGTCCGCTGATGGATGTGCTCCGCCGGAACCGTCCGGAGGTAACGAGACTAGGCACGGGTGCGAGGTGCAGCTACTTGGGCAGAAGGTGAGGCTCTTGGTGGCGTAAGAAAAGCAGCCTGTTGCTCGAAAGTGGTTATCGAAGATTGCATGCGCGCTCTGGGATCGAAGAACATGCGTTTGCTGTCTCCAAAGATTGTCCGCTTCTCAATGAGCTGTTGACAATACTTACTCGAGGTTAAATCATCTGAGATGGTTTTCCGTTCGAGATTCTCAAGTATCAGTCAGCCCACAGTCACTGGCTGACCAGTTCGGGATGTCTTCAGTTGCCTGCGCCCAACTTATTCCCTAAAACGAAGTGGTGGTTCTTGCAGTTCGCCTGCCTCGACGTCGGTCTTGCCGTCGCTTTCCTCGCCTACCTAGTTCTCGTGGCAGTCATCTGGGCATCCATGTTGCGGAGGCCCGCCAGACAAAGCGTTGAGGAGCCGTTGCTTGCTCACGGGGGAGACGGCCCGACTGCTTCAGAGAGGGGACTTCAACCCCCTCAAGTGGAGGTGACCTTGGCTCCATGCTTTTCCCCTCCCGCTCTAAAGTCTGCGGCTCTTAGCACTTGTTACGTGCCAAAACGAACAAGCCGGAGAAAGGTGCCCTCTCGATGATGCTGCCAACGCTGCCTTTGGAGACTGATAGTATTCGTCTAGATTCCGAGCATGCAATGTTGTGCGGCCCGCATTCTTGGGTTCCTACTCGACCCTCTTCTAACTCCATGTAACGACAGACAACCCGCTTCGAAGTGGCAGCAATTTGTATTCGCCACTGTTTATGACAGAGAACGACACTCTGAAAGGTGGTCACGAAAATGTCTTGACCTGAAATTTAGCAAACTTGACCTTCTGCAGACCCCACCGTCTCGACGAAAGCTTGACGAAGAAACGGAGGACTTGCCGGAGGCCAGCTTTATGCACACGTGGTATAGGTGAGCCTCTTTAGTAAGCACTCGTATGTGCGCGCTCTGATTATTACATCTCGATCGGGTCGATGTTGATCGTCCGAAAGTTTCTTGTGGAATCTAGTTTCACCTTCAGGACAAGGCTTGCTCAGATCCAGACTCATCCAGTCGTTCCCTAAATGCGCAGCGACTGTGCGTTTTGTTGATAGAACGAAAGTCTCAATCCAGACTCTACCTTTTCCAAGGACACCATGTCCAGACTGAGTCCAGACCAATCATTTTAAATATGCAAACTCAAATTTCCTGGCTGAATACTTAAGCGGTTCATAACGGACGGCGATAAGAGTCAGCCGTCCGAGCTGTTGACCAAGTGCGGCTTTTGACAGGTGGCAAGGGGAGTGGATCGCCGAGCGACCAGTGCTCGTCCTGTGCGTTGCCACGCTCGTGTGCCTCGCCCTCATTGCGGGCATGCTCAGATTCTCCGTCGAGACGCGGCCGGAAAAGGTAGGTTTGCCTTCGACATTTGTCCTGCGTCTGCAGTCTAGGTGCGACGTGTCAAAAAGACAGCCCGTTTCAACCTGCGCTTTAGAAGAAGAAAAGGTCGTCCAACTTCCGTTTGCATTCATCAGCATAAGGCGCTCAGAACCAGGTGGACTCCTCACTTCGCTCAAGGTCTGACAGAAGCATTTCATCATTCCGCAACACTTCTTATTCAGAGGCCTTACACTTTATGCGCCTTTTTTGGCACCACTCCATCCACCATCTCAGCCCATGACCTTCGCTCCAAGCGTCCATAACGCGACGGATGTAAAGATTCCTTCCCGCCTTTCCTCTTCGATCCAAAGCGTGGTCTAAAAAGCACCTATTCCTCGCAGCTTTGGGTGCGGCCTGATAGCCTCGCTGCCCAACAGAAGGCCTTCTACGACGAGCATCTAGGGCCATTCTATCGGATCGAACAAGTAAGAAGTCCGCGCTTTGAAGCCCTATCCTTCCATGCTTATGAGTCTGCGTCCGATGTCACGTGGGCGAGCCACTAGGTTAGACGAAAACTGGACACAGTAAATGTAATCATCTGAAGGCATCTGTCTCGTGCCTTTTACACCGCTGTTGCTACAACGTACCGTACCATCCTTCTACCGTATGTTTGCTCTGCCTTAGCTAATTGATGAGAGTTGCTGCCAAGCCGAAACGCAGCTGCCACGGTTGCTTACTAAGAAGCGCTGCATAGCTGTCGGGGATTCTAGAAACTCTCTAGACACACTCGTCGAAGCAATCTCAAACACGCTCGGGCCGCCGTCGTCCGTCTCAACGAAGTCAGAGCGCTGCACGAGCTTCTGTCCCTCTTAATTCGGTCCGTCGATTGCACCCTGCCTATGTTGAGATGCTAACACAAGTTCCTCTGCAGCTTATACTGGCCACCTCTCCATCCGAAGACGGGGCTCCCGCACCAAGTATTGTGACTGAGGACAACATCGCGCTCCTGTTTCGCATCCATGAGGAGGTGAGCCTGCCCTGCGACGTTTTGCATGTTTCAAAGTAAGACTAATTGGGTTTTTGGTGTCGTCTACGCCGGACTTCTCGCTCGAAAGTGAGCAAGTTGGACATAAATGCGGGATGCCTCCTGCCCAGAGAGGTATTGTTTTTGGAAGATTCGCATCAATCACTTCAGGTCTATATCTACTTGGTAGAGGCCAACGGATCGCTCTATTATTGAATTCTCCCAACATGGCTCCCCCGCTATCTAAGGCTACCTTTAGCATTCCAGACTTTGGTCTCCACGATCCTGCTATTCTTCTTTCCGGACAGATACAGGATCTTCGCATAGAGGTTGTCTATGGTGCAGCTATGCAAGCACCTTCAGTTGCTTAGCCCCATATTTCAGGGAGAAGGCTTTTCTGGTTTGCGGAACCGACAGATTCCCTCCCTTCTCAGGTTGACGCTGTGACGGCGAACGACGGGGGGGCTGACGTCAGGCTGACGGACATTTGCTTCAAGCCGATGGGCGAGGCGTGCGCGACGCAGAGCGTGCTCCAGTACTGGAAGATGGACCAAGACAACCTGGACATGTACGGGGGCGTGGAGCACGCGGAGTTCTGCTTTGAGGTAGGCGGAGTGCTGGAAAAGGAGAGTTCTTACCATCCCATCTAAGCACGACAAGAGCAGCACGTCCTGAAGAAATTCTTTGAAAAGCTGGGGCAGCCATGAGTTATACTTGATCGGGGTCTTGAAGCAGGGGGATCTCTGTTTCCAAAGTGGCCGCTTCATCCTAGTCCGCAAAGTTGTGTGACGTTTTCAAGTCGTCTGAAGTGATTGAGACACGTTCGATGCGGTGACAACCAGCCCCACTGCACATATGGGGTCGGTCAAAAGTCCTGGCGGATCGGAACTTTTTGGACAAACTTCCGCAAGGGTGCTATTCTCCCGCATGCGGGCTACGCTGAAACAGCAGGCCAAGCTCGACATGACCTTTTGGTAGTCGCAACACTAGTTGACGTCAGCACCATGCCTGATTTCCCTCAGAATTGGAGTCCTGAGCGGATCGGAGTTTACAGTAGGCGTCCTGTGGACCCGTAACTCCTGACGTCAAAAAGCGACATCAGAGTGAAACTCTCGAGCTTACTATCGCTGCAAAATACGTCAGCAAATCGTACCGCGGCTGACTGCAAAGCAGATCTGGCACTGGTTGTGTCGCTGCACTTCGCGGCGGCTTGACGACCTCTTTAAGGCCCCTCTCAAAGTGTGCGCTCCCGCTGCCAGCACTACTCCTCGTCAGCGCCGTGCTTGAGCGCCTTCAAGGCGCCCATGGACCCCCACGTGGTCCTCGGCGGCTTCCCGGGCAACAACTACTCCGATGCCACGGCTTTCGTTATCACCTTCCCGGTTGTCAACTCGGTCAACTCGTCGAGCGAGCAGATTCAGGCAGCGCAGGCCTGGGAGGCTGCCTTTGTCAACCTCACGGAGGTGAGCTTGTCTGCGGGGTTTGGACGGCAGTCCAATTGAGTTGGCACTATTGTGGTTCTGTTTCAAAATGATTTTGGAGATAGATAGAATTGAGCTGAGTGTCTACCTGGGCCCACGTTGCTGAATGTAGATTTATGCAACCAGCTAAGGAGGTACCGACGTTGTATTGGGCAGCAAAAGGCTCTACATAGGCCCGGACGTGTTCGTACGACTTTGTTGTGATTTCACAGATTAGCCAGTGGCAACTTCTATCCAAACTGACGTCAGCGTGACAGCACGTTTGCGGCTGCGGCTGCGGCTACGCGCAATTTATCCTTTTGAAGCTGGCGGACTTGGACGGAATGATATCCCTATGGGGGCGCCAGATAGGGCGAACAGTGTCACACCGAATCCAACGCGTCTGTTCCTGCAGGCTTGTGATTAAAATTACGTGAAGAAAACGTTGGTGAAATGTCCGCCTAGAAAAAAGGACGTAAGGATGACGTAAGCATTGTATCTTGCAGTCCAAGCTGGTGAAGCTGGCGGCCGACGCGGGCCTCACGCTGGCCTACTCTTCCGAAAGCTCCATCGAAGCGGAGCTGACTCGGGAGAGCACCGCCGACATTGTTACCGTCGTGGTGAGTGCTAAAACTCAATGGTCTTTGAGTTGTCACGTTTCTTTAGAAGATAAAACGCCTTTATGAGTTACTCGTGCAATTGCCCGTTCGCTGATGAGCGAGCTCGCAACTGTCCAAGCCGCACGATCTTGACCGTTCATTCTTGCTGCAACTTGGGCCCCCCTTGATTTTGGCCTATAGTAATACTCGGCCACATACTCGGCCACGAAGAGTTTTCGGCTTCGTACCTACGTCATCTCCGGCCGGAGTATGTAAGCGCTCTGGAAGGGTTGGCTGCTTGCTCCAAATACGATGACGACTCTGCTATGCTTTGCCGTTCTTCTGATGCGAGACGCATTTTGTTGGTGCAGTTGAGCTACCTCGTCATGTTTGTGTACATCTCCTTCACGCTGGGCGACCGCGCCCCGGGCGTCGCCCCTTTCTACGTGACCTCCAAGGTAAGAAAGTTGGTGCTTGCGATGAAGCAACACCCCGTTTTTCGCCCCACGTCCCTTGCAGAGATCGAAGAGCGGAGAAAGCGCCAGGTCTGATGACAAGCTTGAGAAAGCTTTGCTTTGCCCAACTTTAAGCGTGCGGAGTGAGCAGATGTTTCGTGTTCAGTGAGCCGTCCATTCGTCTATAAGCAAGGTGACCGATGCGAAGCAACAAAATATCTGTCTGACAAACGCTGTGATTGCAGGTCGTGTTGGGCTTGAGCGGTGTCCTCATCGTGGTGGCGTCAGTACTGGGCGCCGTGGGCCTGTGCAGCGCACTCGGCGTCAAGTCCACCCTCATCATCGTCGAAGTCATCCCCTTCCTCGTACTGGCGGTGAGCTACCTTCCCTCTCTTAGATGAGATCCCACCTTTTGTCGACATTTTTCCGTTCCTGAGGGTTTCAGCGCAACAACTTACCTGCTGTCACGCAGTGACAGCAGGCGTTTCTTCGTATTGCTGGTCGTGGAGGAGATACAATGTTATTGAAACTCTCCAATTTCGGGGTTGATCACGCTCACTTCTTGGAAGGTGGCAATCTTTGCGCAAGTCATTCTTGCGGAATTGTGAGGTTGCGAAAGACGATGATAGCACACCAACATTGGGCGGCTTGTTATGCCCACCATTGGAGTTAACAGCCACATGCCCCTTTCTCATTAAATCTTTACTTTTGCTGCCACATTGAAAGTCCTCCGTTGCATGTAGCCACCTGTCGCACCCGTCAAATGGAATTCAAATGGATTAGCTTTCCTTACGTCATCTGAAAGAGCGCCCGAATTGTGTGCTGGAATCATGATAGCAGTCAGGGCTTGACATGTTCCTGATGCAAGCACGGAGTTTGCGCCCTGCCGGGTATGGCATTTTAACGGCAGATTTGTTTCGGCTTTTCGGAGTTTTTGGGGACGGTTAAGACGAACTCTCAGTGGGCACCTTGCCAGTTGGACCTCTGGAAACCGATGCCACGCCCCAGCTTCTTTAGTTTCACAAGCATGGTGGTCATGATGTTTCAGTGCACCTTTCATTGCTTGTTCTGAAACACTAATCGGAACAAAAGCATCCACACATTACCGGTGCAAGTCTCGACAAGCACAAGTCCGCAAGCACTACCTCATTCCTTGATCCTTCGTTGTGAGCTTCTTGCCTCCCGTGAGCAACACCGATTGAAGGCAAAGTTGGATGCAAGTCTTTTGATTCCCCCATCAAGCGACAAGCGGGTCCGAGTGCGCACGTTGACGCCTTGTGAGCGACGGGATGACACCTACCGGCTTTACCTGCTTGATTCTTCTCCAATAGGTATCTGTTTTCAACTTGAGTTGTACCCAGGTTTCCGTGGCTTTCGTTTCGTTTTTTTGGTCGTCTGCACAAGCCAGTTACACATCTTGTATCGTTCTTCATGATTGGTTGTTCGTTACGAGACACTGCGCAGCAATGACGAGCTGTACTGTGAGCGATTGTCAAGCTCACGAAACAGTGTATCAGGACAGGCCCCCCACAACGTGGTTTCATCATGAAATATCCATCCTTGTCTTCATGCCTCCATTATGCAGCTGCACTGGACACTGTTTGTTTAGCGGTGATGACATAGGGAGGTGATTGAAATTATTGCTCAAGCTTAGAAGGACCGCTTGACGAGGCACGGAGCCTTCTTTTGTGAACAGCGTTCCCTTGGTTTCGTCTTCGTACCATCGGATAATTTTGCAGGATTGCAACTTCGAAGCCATGGATCGCGCTTTGCTTGTATAACATAGACGGTGGAGCTGCATGGTAAGCGATTTTGGAAGCCCTTTTTCACTGCCAACACTTGAAGGGCTTCTATTTGGAAACGAGCTACTCAATTCCAAGGCCAGGATGGACTGCGCTCTGACTTTCTTTGCTCACTAGTGCTGGTTAGTGACGCTGCAAGTTGATGTAGCTTCTTGCGTCCAGCCGAGAAAAGGCTCACCTTGACCCATTCACTCTGCTTGTTTGCTTGTTTCCTGTCTGTTCTGTTCTCGTTCGTTTCGAAGTTAGTTTCTTGATTTCTTTCTCGTATACACTGCCTGCTTCATTTGCGTAAGTCAGGAAGAAAGCCAAGCCTCTGCGCTTGGAACAATGTTCCTTTGGATGAAAGGAATTGTGAATTGTGTGGCGCTTATAAAGGTATTGGAGTTGGCTTCAAACCTTTGTAAAATGCGGCGCCCAAGTCTTTGATAGTAGGCCTCTTCGCAATTCGCTCAAGCGTGTGAGCCCAACAAGACTGAAACTGATTCTCATGCTCAAACCAGCTTTGCCGTTGCTCTTCTGCTTGCTTGAGCAACACAATTGTATCGAGCACCTTCGGCAGCACCGTCAAGTCGTATGCACGTTCTCATGTTGAGCGCTTCTTTGAGTTCGTCAAGGTTGCTGTCAGACTGTTGCATAAACAACCACAGTCTGGGCCCTTCAAAGGCGGGTGTCGCCATTGCTATCTCCGACGTTATCTCATCAGCCTCCAGATTTTCGTCTGCGCTTGTCTTGGTCGGAAAGGTTGGAAACAATTGCAGAGATGAGGCTGCTAGCTTTATATTTTTCTGGGGCTCAGGCACGTCCTTCAAGAGTACTTAAACTTTCCTTACTGTCCTTGCATCTGTGCACGTTGGCTGCCATACGAAAAGCTGATGCAAGTCTGCTTGTGGTTCCCGTCTCTTTGAGGCGAGGCCAGCTACCTCTACTGTTGCTTTCAGTGGCGGGTGTTTTCAAGAGTGGGCAATGATCTGCAGGGCTGTGGCGCTAGCATTCGTGTGCTAGCCCCAAAATCCTGAAGGCCTACCTACTACAACCTTTCATGCTCATGAGGCTTGTTTCTCTGGTCCTTTGCCGGTGTTTTCCTTCAAGTATTTCTTCAGTTACTTTCAGATGCCTTTGTGACGGCCTTGGGCAGACCGCAAACGATGCTGTTTTTGCCACGTGTTATCCACAGACGTGGTCTCTCCTCATTCAGCAAATACTCTTAGAAGGCAGTGAAGTTATAGGCAAGGTGGGTCCTCCAAGTGGTTCCAATCCTGCTGCTGTGTGCAATACGAGGCCACATTCTTCTTTGGTCCCCTTTCGTACTTGACATGCTTCACATCCTTCTTAGCCGGGTGACCGTATGGATGTTTTCCGGTGTGCACGTTGGCAGCCTATGATTGGCAATCAGAACGTGAGAGTGTGCTTGCAAAGATGCCGCGACGAGCTGCATCGTCGTATCCTGCAACGACACTCTGTACTCGCCCATCATATCCTCAGAAGAAGGTCCGGTCGGGCTTAGTTAAAGCTTGTCAATTGCAAGTTGCGGCAAGGAAAGTTTACGTTGGGCTCTTCGAGCCCATATATAGCAGGTACTTGTTGAAGCTGCATTGTGAAATTCGCTTCTTGCGCCCTTCGAGGAATACCGTCTCAATAACGGGGCTATGGGTTACCCACAAAGGGCGGGCTATTGACAGCTTGCTAGCGAATATGTCGGTCAACGCTTCTGCAAACCTTTGCGGGGGGCTTCTCCTACAGGAAGCCGAGCCCATTGGAGTCTCTCTGATCGTACCAGCGTCACTTCTCGAAGCCTTCTCCTTTGTCGAGGCTGTCTTTGGGCAGCTTGCGCCATTTCAACAAGAATAAGATTGAAACGGTTGAAGTGCTTTCATTGTCATTAGTTGCGCAGTCGATTTCTCGATATCGTATCTCATCGGAAGCGAATAACCGGCGCTCACAGGAAGAATGGCCAAGACGACGCCTGCACTGGGCCGGCCCAGAGGTATGCCGCGATGGAGACTGATGCCAAAGTGTATTACTAGCCACCAGACCAGATTCTGACTTTTCGTGCAGTCTCAGGTCCAGGGAGCTGGCGTGGGTTTCATAGGCAGATTGTCAACCAATCACTGGATGTAACGTTGCCAACTTCCGTCAGATGGTCACTCGTTGAAGGGCGTATGAGCTGCAAATTTCCTTTCCGATTTGCTTTGCAGTCCTCATTCTATTGTCAACTGCGTCGCACGTTTTTTTGTGAAGTGGCCAAGGACCTGTGTTCCTGAGTTGAGCGTTGTACCACAGGACACCACCTCCGTTTGACTCTGGGTGTCCCTTTTTTCTTGAGAACTCCGTCAAGTCAAAGTCGCAAACGTGCGCTTGACAATCTAGACGACTACGTTAAATTCCTCTGTGCCGGGCTCAACATGGCTTGAGGATGCAAACCATTGCTCAGGCCACTCCACTAAGCTACGGACTCACTCTCACCTCTTATCTGTATGTGTGCTTGTCGTTCGAAGGGTTGTGCTTGCCGCCGGCACACCTATTTATTATCTGTTTGCTTCGAGTGTTGCGGCAAGGATGAGTCATCCAGAGGGTTCGCTACCCACAATCTCAATAGCTCAGAATGCTGCTTTTGGACTCCGATTGTCATGTGCTCGTCATATCTTCGGTGACGTATGCCTGGGGTGCTATCCTGGCACAATCCGGCTGTAGCTGGTGAACCTGCTCTCAAGGTACATCATGTCCTGCAATTCATCCTGAGTTTGTGCTCGCTGCCGAAACAGCCAAGCAGCAGAACCCTTGATGCAGATTGTGTCCTCAAATGGACATCTCGTTCTACACGTGACGCAGGGAAGAGCTCTGCTCTGTCGAGACCTTAGCCTTTTAAGAAACAGAATCATGAACGCAAAATCCTCTTCTCGGTGGGTGTTGCCAGAAGCTCTCTTGCATGGTTTGCTTGGCCGGACTCTGGTCGTACTCGAATGCGTCCAAAATACTAGGTTTGAAATGCAGCGAAGCCATCTATAAGACGACCGGACAAAGCAGAACAGATCTTTGCTTGCGGTTTCAGAGTTCATCACTGCACGTTCATCTTTACACCCAAGCTGGGTAAGGCTGAGCTGATTTGACGGCCCTAGCATCGGCTGTTTCGTAACTATTGTGGCTGTCCAACGCGCCATGCGTCTTTCAACCGCTTCGACCTCGTTCAAATGCTGAACCGAAAGCTACCAGCTCACCAACACTTTCAAAACTTGTTTCCCTGAATTGGACCACTGTTCCAGGGATGCCGGGGATTATTCCCCTAGTTCGTCAGGAACAACCTGTTTCTCGCGCAACATGCCAAGCTTGCTCTTTCATTTGGACGTTTTGCGGGTGGGTGGCTAGGACAAGGTTCGCATGGGCATTTCCCCATCTTGGTCTTTCTTTCTGATGCCGCTCCTTTTAGGTAAAGAGATTATCGCACAGCCGTTTCGCGACAAGTGCTGCATCTGACGATTGCTTCTCTCGTCGTCAGGCGAGAAAGGTGTCATCATTATTGACATAATCATGTTTGTAACAAGCACTTTTTTGTCCAGTTCTTGCCTGCCGACGAGGTCATGGAGAGCAGCTTTTGTGACGTGTTTCTCAAGCTATCGTACCGGTTCTTGTCAAAGTATCTGGTGTCGAGCAATGAAGCTGTGAGTCTGTTAAACTTGAACGCATTGTGCTAAGGGGTGTGCGGATGTAATCTTTGATCACTGAATTCTGCAAGTAGCAATCGACACTAGCTGATCTTAGTGGCAGTGATGGGGACATCCGCAAGTGCTTGCGAAAAACTGCGTCGTGGTCCACTGAAAGCCACCAGGATCTGCCATTTTACAAAGTGAGATCGGCCTCTCTCTGGCCAGCTTGACGGCCATTTGCTTCCGTCTTTCAATCGTAGACCTTGTCCACCTATATCACATCTACCGTGTCTCACCAGACACCCACTGCGAAGTGAGTTTGTCCTTTTTCTGGTTCGAGCAAGTTGCCAAGAATCATCTCCTTTGCACCACAAGAGATAGGCCGCCCTGTACCTTGCCACGAAGCTTCGCAAGCTCCGCCTTTCAAAATGAGAAGTTTGCAAACAAGCACAGCGCCCTTCTGCCCATACTCACGGGCAGTCAGTCTCCGATCCGAGGCCGTCAGAGCACCTGCTCACGTTACCTGGTCCACTTTGACCAAATCTCAGCGATTCTTATGTCGGTGAAGATAGCTCACAAATCATATCCCATTTGCAGGTCGGAGTAGATAACATGTGCATTCTGGTGCACGCCCTGAAGCGCCAGCCTTTGGATCTTCCCCTAGAGAAGCGCGCCGGGGGTGCGCTTGCCGAGGCGGGGCCTTCCATTACTTTGGCCAGTCTGGCGGAGGTCATGGCGTTCGGAGTCGGGACGCTGACGCCCATGCCGGCCTGCCAGGTCTTCTCGCTCTTTGCGGGTGAGCTTTACTTGATTACTCGTAGCTTGGGTTCTTTGTCAACGGCAGCAACTGGTCAACAAGCAGGCGCCCAGAATCAGAGGGATTCAAGAGTCTCTGTGGATGGTGTGGTTGTTGAGAGGTTGGGCCAGAGTTGGACGTTTGACGCACGATCTTTCTTGGGCGGACCCACGGCAAGCTTTCGTACGTCAGCTTCGGATCCCAAACAATCAAAGTTATGCATGTTTGCGAATCTCTCAAGCTTTTCGCCCAATGCTTCCGGGTGCTCTCCTGCACTCGCTTGTGCAAGCCCTACTAACCCTTTCTAGTCCTCGTAATGCTGTCGACCACAGCACAATCCTTTTCGCCACTTCAACTCTTTTAACAGACCCCTCGTCGAGCGCTTTCTTCGCCGACACCAGCACGACCTCGCCGTGGTTCTTCTGCAAACAAGCACAAGCCATTTCTACATATCTCAAGCAACTCTTTACCGCCTTTCCTTCGCTGCAGCGCTGGCGGTGTTTCTGGACTTTTTGCTCCAGGTGACGGCCTTTGTCGCCCTGGTTACGCTCGACTTCCGGCGAGCCGAGAGCGGCCGCGTCGACTGCCTGCCCTGCTTACGCATGGCGGGCAGGGAAGTGGCCACGGTGGAAGAGGCGCGGCCGCGGAGCCTGCTGGAGCGATACATGGAGGTAAGGAGCTTCCCTTTCAAAACAAGCTAAGATGCCAAGTCAGTAAGAAGGAGCGGTCAGAGTGAACATCCTGAAGTCTGATAGCGGATCGTTTAAGTAAGACTTACAAGGATGACACTTACGCGGCAGGCATCTGCTTCGCTGCCAGCAGTCCTTCTTATCAAGTAAATAGAGGAATCTGGTTTGAAACATGTGATGAGGTTCTGGACAGTCGCTGCGCTGGCATCTGAAAAGAGCGCTACAAAGGGTTTCCCTTTCCCAGAACACCAAAGCGCATCTGTCTAGGAGGCTCGTATTTGTTCGATGCCATCTAGTGCTGGACCAACTCGCAAACACACACAAAAGAATATCCAAGCTGGTCCACACAACCTCCTCGACTCACCAACGTTCCCTACGTCACTATCAACGGATGCTGACACACCATCTTATAATTCTTGCAGGACTTCCACGCCCCTGTGCTGAGCCTTCCCGCCGTCAAGGCCGCCGTTCTAGTATTTTTCGGTGCGCTGCTGTTCACCTCTATCGGCCTGGCCTCGCGCATTTCCCCGGGGCTCGAGCAGCAAGTGGCGCTGCCGAGAGATTCATATCTGCAGGTAAGAGCGATACGATCAATCTCCGGGTTCTTGGAACCTCAAGGGAAAGTTTTGGTTCTTGGAGCGAGACAACCATAGCGAAGCCGGCACAAGTGAGAGCGAAGAGACACCGATAGAAACGAAAGCGAACCTGTTTCTGTGACAAGCTCAAGCGCAAGTCGCAGCAAATTCGCGGAGTCTTCGTTTACAAAGGATGTTTGTAAAGCAGAATCCGTCCCACTTCGCCTTCTTTCCAAAGAACGAAACGCTTGATTAAATCTTTCGGCGACATTATGCGCTGCATTTATGTCGGTGCGCTTGCACTCGCTGGCCGGGACCCAAACCCCAGAAGCTGACGTTTGGAAATTCTACGTTCCACGATTGATTGCTCGTAACTGCTGACACTGAATATCTTGAACCCTGTTTCTCCAGGGCTACTTCAGCAACATCACGGAGTATCTGCGTGTTGGCCCGCCCATGTTCCTAATTGTCGAGGACTACAACTTCAGCACTGCCAGCAACCAGACCAACCGGCTTTGTTCCGTCAGCGGCTGTGATGCTGACTCGCTGCTCAACGAAGTGAGCGCTCTTAATTACCCGATCTCTGAGGGCCCCATACTTCGTTTGGTTTCGTTTTCTATGGTCTGCTTTTTCCATTTACTTGCGCAGAAACGCAGACTTCGGGAACAGACGACAGGGTAGGTTGTCTTCGTCCTTTTGAATGATAGCGTAGCTGCTCTCCAGCTTTTTCCCAAAACTGGGTCAAAGGGTTCAAGTGGTCCTGAATTGAAAACCAAGTCGTCTCAAAAGCGGCTTCTTTGACTTTTCCTCACCCCCCAGCACATGTCTGGGACCTACTTTTGCAATAATACACTTCAATCTTGGTCTCCACCTTGAAGTGCCGTTCTTCATAGGTCTTTAGGGTTTTAAGGTTTTGCATTTAAGGGTTTTCGCACTCATATCACCCCGCTTCTGCTATCCCAGGTGACCCGCGCGTCCCTCGATCCAACCGCCACATTCATTGCGCGGCCCGCAGCGTCGTGGCTGGACGACTTTCTGACGTGGCTCTCCCCGAACGCGTTCGGCTGCTGCCGCCAGTTTTCGGACGGGGACTACTGCCCGCCGGACGACCAGCCGCCGTGCTGTCCGGAAGGAGCGTTCGACTGCACGCAGTACACTGTGTGCGCAAACTGCACTACGGTAAGTTGCGGATTTTCAGAACTCGGCAATCCAGAGTCAGGATTCAGGAATTTTGGATTTCACAACTCTGAGATTGCGTTGTGGGGTTTCAGAGCCCTGAAAGTGCGTTGGAGGTTCTTGGAACCAGTGAACTCCTATTTGATGTTGATACAATGGCTTTCGATCGCACGCAGGACTCGGTGAAATCCTATTCTGACATGCTGAAATGCTGTTCTCATCAAACCTAGCGTACCTAACCGACGGCCGCCCCAGCGACGCGGCTTATCTTGCGGAACCTGAAATCATCGAAACCTCGAAGCTAGTCCCTAAGATTCTGAAGCCTGAAATACAAAAGCATCCACTTCTGTCCGCAGTGCTTCATTCCGGCGGATCTCACCGACGGCCGCCCCACCGACGCCGCTTTCCGCGAGAAGCTCCCCTGGTTCCTTGCGGCTGTGCCCTCCGCCGACTGCGCCAAAGGCGGCCACGGGGCCTACAGCCACAGCCTTGACGTCACGGGGCTCGAAGATGACGTCATCCGGGCGTCCGAGTTCCGCACGTACCACACGCCGATGCGGACGCAGACAGACTTCGTCGAGGCGCTGCGGGCGGCGCGCGAGTTTGTGGACAGGGCGTCGGAAAAGCTCAAGGTGGCAACAAGATTCCCTCTTTCCCTTTCTCGTATCAAATGGTTTTCAAGTCGCAGCGTTTTTGCATGTAACCAATCACTTCTGCTTTGTTAGGAGAAGATGGTGCTGATCACAAACGCTTCTGCACGGACATTGGGATAGAAGAGGGGACTCGTGTAGGATGGTGAGCTTGAGCGGAGGGTAGGGTTGTCCAATGCTTATCAACGGCGTTGGTGCATTGGCATAACGGTGAGCTATATGCGAGAGAAGCGCGCCAGAGGGAGAGGCGAGAAGCGTGGTCTCTGAAGCCGTTACATTATTGCGATTAGTTTGTACAAAGAGATACGCCCGACTACAAGCCCAAGAATGCCGTCTCGAGTCTGAACAGCAGACTGTATCTATATGGCTGCTGTCTCTGATGCTCTCATTCAGCCTTTCCGCTCGCAGCCAGCACGTTGGTGTCGCTTTCTCTCTTTTTTCGAACATTGTTTGAACCCTACGTCCCTTGTCATATTTGCTTGCCGCCCCTCCATGGCGCAACTCGTTCGTTCTTTCTAGTCTGGTCACTGAAATGTAAAACCCTGACCCTAACCCTAAAATCCTCAACCCTAAACCCGATCGTTGTACCGCTCACAGGTCAAGGTCTTCGCGTACTCCGTCTTCTACATCTTCTTCGAGCAGTACCTGGACATCATGCGGACCGCCGTGACCAGCCTCGCACTTGCCACAGGTGCGAACACATGCGGACAAACCCGTCAGAAATCGTAGCATTGGATTGGGACCTGAGCAGACAGTTGAGAGAGAATCCTGGTTTTGCTTGCTAGGCTTGCCGTCGTGATAAACTGGAAAGCCTGCTCAGGAACGTCTGGTCAAGTTGCGAGCTGTGAAAGCCACTGATTGCTTCGCTGTGTTAGTAGCCCACGTGGAGCCTTCTCATTGCTTGGCCCGGGAACACAGCGTCTTTCGTTTTCCTCAAAAGGGCGCGCTTTTTCTGCTGGGTCGCTACTATTTGAGCCTCGGTTCGCTCCGTCCAGTCAGGCCCTCCTTCAGCCCAGAGGCCCGTTGAAGTCGTTTAAGGATCAGAGTCAGGACACAACGACCAGTGGTTAGCCTGACTGTGTACAAAAGGAGAACTTCATTTTCTTCTGCTTGTGCAGCTGCCGTGTTTCTGGTGTGCTGGCTCATCACCCTCAGCCTTTGGACGTCAACGGTCATCATCGGCGTTCTTGCCGCAATCGTCGTCGACTTAATGGTGAGTTTGACAGTCAAGCTGTCCTCCTAGCATCTCACTTTTTTGCCTCGCTTTTGTGCCGTAGTCCAACATGATTGGGGTCTGGGAAAGATCCTGTTGCTTCACCTGGAAATCTGTTGCACGTGGTTCAAGGAGTCTATCTCGACGACAAGGTACTGTCGGAATGGCTTGCCTCTCCCGACTTGAATCTTCTCGAATGCTTTGATTCTCAAGATCTTTCTTATCTCCTCTTGTCTGTCAAGGGTACGCAGATTTGGAACATTTACGTGGGCGGTTGATATTTCAACACGTGTGAGACCGAACGGAACCCTGTTCTGCCCTCTCCAGTCCTGAAAAAAGAGTTCATCAGCTTCAAAGACCCGACAATCTTTTTTTAGGGCTGGGCTGATACCGAATGCCTTTGAAAGCGCTTTTTTTTTTAACCATGAAGCGAGGCTTGATGCAATTCTTTCCCTGGCGCAGGGGCTGATGTATCTGTGGGGCATCCAGCTGAACGCCATCTCCGTGGTAAACCTGGTCATGTCCATCGGGATCGGCGTCGAGTTCTGTGTACATATCACGCACGCATTCGCAGTAAGTGCACCGCTGACTCTCGCGTCGAGCGTCGCAAGACCACAACAAGCGTCTTACACGTTACCTGCCCGCGTGCTCTCTTTCAGAGGTTGTACGTATTTTGAAGCAATGTGCCAATTCATTGACTTGTCACGGCGAGTACATGCGTCATTTGAAAACCTGTGCGATTCGCAAGATTGCGGATCGAGTAGATTCGGATAAGATCTGCCACGCATTAAAGGGCACCAGTCTTAAGCCTGAGAGTGCCCTGTAGCTAAGCGCGGTCTCGCTTCCAAAAATTTGCAGCGTTGCGCCCTCGCTCAAATATATGAGCACGAAACAAGGTCACACGTGTCAGAGCAATCTGCAATGGCTTCTTCATGCTGGTTGAGCAGACTGGTATTCCCTGGTCGATTGCTCGGCCAATATCGTGACAAGAGTTGGAGTCGAAAGGATGCTTCTGGTCAAGCATTTTGCTCACCATGTTATGAGCGAAGGAGCTACTTTACATTGGGCTTGCTCAATCTGACCCTAAACCCCTTTGACCCTGGAACCTTAACAAGCGGAAAACCCTAATAAGTGTCCCGTTCCTTGTTGGTATAGGGCGCATACGGCACGCGGCAAGAAAGGGCGACGCACGCGCTTATGACGATGGGGTCTTCGGTCTTCAGGTAAAGTGCAGTTCTATTTCGAAACCTCTGACGTTCGATAAAGACAATCTGTCTATGAGAAAGGCGGATCGTTGTTCTGGCCCCGATCCGTCGCCCAGTCCCAAAAGACCATGCCGAGTCGCCCAGCACTGGTAGTGCTGAGCGAAGCAAATGATCCGCGTGCCTCGAAAGACTGGCTTGACAATGCAAAACAACGTCAGGCAGGGGCCATTCTCGTTCGCAATTCTGCGAGTCTAACCCTTAACATTCAGGAGAATCACCTCTTTTGCCGACCGAACGGCACTGCATCTGCGCCCTGTATCTCTCCGCGCTCTCTCGCTTGTGTTTTCTGGATTTCAAGACTCCCTGCTGGTATCATACGGACAGATTCCTCTGCTGGCGTGTTTGAAAAGCTGAGGCCTTTTGACCACTGCTTTGCATTCAACATTTACAGTCTTTCTTTGTCGTCCTCTGCGCGCAGCGGCATCACGCTGACCAAGTTTGCGGGAGTGCTCGTCCTCCTCTTTGCGAGGTCTGAGATCTTTGTGGTGAGAATTCCGTTCATCCAACCTGTCTGCATCGGACCGAAGGAGAAGCGATGCAGAGATTCTGAGCCCACTCACTGTGCCGGGCCGTTCATTCAGGATGAGTGATGCGATCAAGCTAAGTTTGTCGCAACATGTTCTAGAGAGGCGCCGGCCAGCTAAGCGGGCACCCCTCTGATAAAATGGTTAGGTTGCGCGTTGATTGTGATGGAATCTACTCGTGCTGCGAAGGCATGCTGGTCCGTTGGGAATCTCCGAAAACCGGTTCGTAGGAGGGTGACACTTGATGCAAATCTGGCAACATCTCGTGGATTCTGAATTCTAAAAGTGCGACCTCATTCAGATCACGATCGCACGCCGCGCCGCCTTGTTTTGTCAGCATGACGTCGTTTCCTCTTGACGCATTCCTCGCTCGTGACCGGTTTTGCAGATCTACTACTTCCGCATGTACTTCGGTCTGGTAATTCTGGGGGCCTTACACGGCCTCGTCTTCCTTCCGGTAAGACCAGAGGCTGAATCGTTCAATTCCGAATCTAGGAACGACAGGTGGCCCTTCGCGAGATTCCTAAGTTTTTTGCGAGATTGTCCTCTGTCTGTTGCAGATGCCTAACATTTTCTCAATCGCATAGCAAGATTTGATGACCATGCATATCTCAGCAACCATATTTACAAAGGAAAAGGCGAATCTGGTATCAATCTCGTCTTTTGATGTCCTCACCCGTTGAAAACGCGCGCGCAGGTCGTGTTGAGCATATGTGGGCCGCCCAACACTGCTCTCGATACGTGCGTGAAGACCTTCCGACAAGCCCTCCTTCCGCCTCCCGTCCTTTCTTTGGAGTAGGCAATTGATACCTTGAGGCACAGGATGCGGGCCAGAATGTTGTACACTGAAAATACTGTTGGGCGATTGTAGAGGAAGGTCGATTGTTCTGATATCGAGACTTTGTAACATACTGTGAGGCCACAAGATTGTGGTCCTTTTTGCGGTTGAGGTAGTCGAGATAAGCGCGGACTATATAGCTGGTTTGAGGCATCGGCTTGAGGACCTGCGGCACTAGTTGTAAAGGAGATTCAAGTCGACAAGATCAGATTTCGACTTGTGCGCTTCCAGTTCCGTTGCGAACTCGTAGCATCACGGGGCACTTGATTCGTGTACTTTCGATCAGTATAATAAACGTTTCGATGAGCCCTCGCAATTGTAGAATCGGAGTATGAGCGCATCATTTATGTGTGAGCCTGTCTCAGATCATGCAAATGGTCCCGCCAACTCAGTGCTCTACACTCCGGCATGCTTGTATGCGCCTCACCGCGTTCATATGACCATCTTCGATCTTGCATGTATCATGTGGACGGAGCGGATGCGGCACTCAAGTTGAACGTACATGCATCCAATGCATGGCCGGCATGGCATATCATGCAACAGACGGGGCACTGAGTGGGTTACTAGTACGAACCCGGCGCGCATTCGTGGCTCACACAAAAACGGGATTTAAGCAAGGTTTTGATTCTAATTTAAATACTTGCGTTATATGTTTGAGGCCTGCTGCAGCAGCAAATCTGGATATGAAACAAAAAATCTGTGGGCGGAGGGCGTGCACAAAGTTAGATCGCTGGATAAGCATATTGGAACGTCATGCAACCTGGCAAGCTGAGCAGCTAAGTCGCGTTATGCAGCTAGCTAGCAGCTAGACCACTTCAGTACGACGATTGAAAACTTGGCGCAGGCGGGCCCACGAGGCGCTAGTTCTTGCCATCGGCGGTCCGCGCGCATTTAGAAACGGGAGTCAATTGCGCTTAACGGGCAACGGAAGGGGTTCTTCGATTCAATTGCTATGTAGGATTCACTATACTTCATTTGACTTGGGCGGCAGACAGCCGCCGGAAGCTTCGTGATCAATGCATGGCCAACCGGGAAAAGGTTTCGGATCGTGCAGCACTCATTGTGGCACGAACTTTGATTGCTCTCTTTACATGTGGCAAATTCTGGTCACTTCCCGTACGTTGCAGTCATATGCACAAACATACTATAGTACCACTGGATTACAGGTACATTCATTTACCAGTCCATCCAGTGTGACTGACTAGGCGCAAAAAGGAATAGCTGGCTAGATACGTCGGACAAGTGCTTCACTTGCTGGTTCCAAGATTTCATTCACGATCACCTGGAAACGGTTTCTCGCAGGCCAATGCAGATTCTGCAAAAGCTCTTGAGTTGCACGGTTCTCCTCCAAAACCAGTTGACCCAGATGGCGGCCACGCCGCGCTGTTTGGGTCTTCTTCCGTGATCAAACAGTCTCAGTAGCCGCATTACTCGCATTACGTGTCTGCATTCTGTCGCGGATCTTTTCCAAAGCGGCATCGATTGCAACTTCGTACGCGCCTGTCCACCCAATAACTGGTCCCTGGTAGTCAGAACCTGCCACGTCCATTTTCCCAAGCAGGGTCCGCGCAACGTTTCTATACACAATCCGGGGCAGCACTTTCACTATACGCTTGCGTTTGGCTTCGATTTCGACATCGGACACGTTCCTTAGAAACTCGATGACGTCCGTTGCCCCGTTGATGACGTCATCTTCTGGAACGAACACTGAGTATCGGCCCCAGTCGGGCCGCAAAAAGTGGGCGTATGGGTTGATGGTTTTGGGTTGGAAGATGACGGGAATGCAGCCCGCCTGCACGTTTGAAAGGGGAGAAAACGTGGCTGATCATCCTTAAAACCGCAAGCTGGAAACACAAGGTTCTGCGCTTTCGACCCGAGCTTGTTGTAAATATGCTCGAGTAGACAGGCGTCTGAACGATATCCTTCACCCAAGCCTGATTGGTCTTAGTCAAGACTGACTCCCCTTGTGCCTGGTTGAATAAATATTTGTGCGCATTGCACTGGAGGTTCTGGCCTTTCACCATGGACAGTTAAGGCCTGCTTACCGGCTGCTTAAAAAGTGGTTATATGTTCAACAAATAGATTTGGAATGTACCCAGCTTTAGAACAAATTTGAAGCCCTGTTTTTTGCCCAATAACCTAGGATTCAAATCTGATTATCAGCCTGGTTAGCAGCCAAAACCTGTGCATTACGCGCTCACCTGTAGCGCATCAAAGACGCCTCGGCGGGTTGGCGAGTCCCCCGGCGGTTGCAAACAGAACGTCGACCGTAGATATAGCTCGAAGCTCTCCGCGGCGCCGCACACATTCTCACAGGCCGCCACGTGGCAGAAGTCGGGCGCGCGCGCGCAATGCTCCTGGAGCGCACCGCGCAGGGCGCGGCCGGAGTGGAGGCCCGGTCGTTTGAACGATCCAGCGAAGCTGACGAAGATCGGACGGTGGGAAGAGGCGACGAGAGTTTGGTGGGCGGCTATGTCGGACAGAGACACGGGGTGGAAGCTGGTGGGGTAGGGGATGCTGACCTGATACAGAAGAGTAGGAGTTTGATTGGGCAAAGCTTTCGCCGCCAGCAGCTGTTTTCTTGAGGACAAGGTTATAACAAGAAAGGCGCTGGAAGGTTTTATTAGAGGGTCTCGGGCGTACCTTTCTTGAGAACACCCCTTCCTAGAACCCCAAAAAATTCGATAATATTTTGAGCACGTCCATCTTGGATGCATCAGCATTCAACTGGATGTTGAACAATTTTAGCCCGGTAGTGGAATGTGGAAGACCGAAGATAGATCAAAGCGTGGCTCTCAATCAAACTTTCATGCGCAAACAGGAGTAGGGACCTACTTCGTCAACCTATCAAAGCTTCCGCGTACTTTGAGAGCAACTTAGGACACGCTTTGCAGAACCCGCAAGCTTTTCACTCGTTTGCGTGCAGAAAAGATCGACTGAACCTCTTGACATTCTCGCTTTTCTCCAGAAAGTCGAAGCCCGTTCATTTGCATCCGCTCGATTGCCCCGGTGTCATCGAAAAAACTTATTTAGCAATGGTTGGAATGAAGTGCAAACAAGAAACTTTTAAAAGCTCGAATACATATTACAAGCGGCGAAGCACTGGAGATGGGCTAAGAACGGATTTAGTGAACCTGAAAGGCTCACTTGGCGCTCTTCGTGTGCATACGCAGGCTCTATGCCAAGTAACGTCATGGCTCTCGTGTAGGCCATGTTCAGTAACTTGGATTTGCAGCAGGTGAAGTCTTCGACGGCAAGGTCAGTTACGTAACCCATCGTCGTGAAGTGGTCTCGGCCTTCATTCCTGCAGAAGTAACGCCAGATTCAGCTGCAAGTGCGTGCTGCGACGAACTCGTCAGAACGTGAAGCACGTTTTCGAATATCCTGATTTGGATGCGGTAGAGCACTCAAACGCGTTTAAAGAACGGGTGGGTCAAGATCGAAAGCACACGTCTTGGATCCGGCCAAACAAAACGGAAGCGCATGGTAGGTCCTCACGAGGTACGCAGCAGATATCGACCACGTGAACACTGTGAGGAAGTGAGATGGAGCAAGAACTTGGACCGGATACTGACGCACGAGAGCCCAGCCTGCGGTTTTCTTTGACGCCCAACTCGGAACCAGATAAAGCTGTAGCGGGAACGACAGAGTCCGGTGCTGAGTCGTCAGATTTTGGTGCGCCCCACAGAGGCGATTCGTCTCCTTGAGAAGGAGTCGGACCAAACAGTGAGAAAGCGACGGCGACTCGTTGCGGACATCTCATGCACGGCCAAGCAGAACTCGAGCGATCGCGCTGGTTCGAATCTCTTTGTCAACCTACCTTTCTAGGTACGGCATACGCTTGAGCGTTTCCTCGAGTCTATTTCCGAGACCTAGTAACGGTGACGGCTGTGGGCAGTTGTTGGTCGCACATTGCGCCGAATGGATTTGCCACAGTATGCCCGTGTACAGAGGAACGTAGAAAGCGGCTGCCGCTTCCGAGTCGTGCGTTCGACAGGGGTAGAGATTCGTCATGTACTGCAAATGACGAAGCGGTCGTTTTAGTCCGTCATTTTAGTTGAACGAGTGCTGTTTAAAGTGATGTAGATAGAAGTGAAGATCCGGTAGATTTTTGAGTGTGCAAACGTAGATATAGGGGTAAGCCAGAGTACAAGAGTTTCCGGGGCATCTTTGCTTCAATTTCTGGAGCTATTGACCGGTTTCTGCTCCGACGGAGTACTGGTTGGACTTTTTAAGGAGCACGAAACGAGGCTACAATCTGCTTCAACTTTCCAAAGACGGGAACGCGAAGCAAAATTGGTAGATCACGGTCCCAGAACGACCTACTGCGAGCGGCCTCACATCGAAACACTGGTGTTCATAAGGTCGTTATATCGATCTTTATATCGGTGTTTCTTTCGAAAGAGGACTTCGCAAGCGTCACCTGATGGAACATGACTTCAAGAGCGTGTTGTCCAGTATCAGCCCACATCTGAGGATCACTGCCCAGTTCCGCAAACTTCTCGTCCTTAAGGGGAGGTCCTATTCCCCAGTGCTCGGGGGAGTAGATCTGGCACGCGTTTCGGGGGTGCACCGCCCAAAACCGGTTTGTCGCGCAGTCGGTAGTGACTGTCGCCACGTTGAACTCCGGGGACAGATCGTATATGTATACGAGCTGGTCGGGGCGACAGCTGCATGTTAGGAACAGCAGTCACGGAAAACTAAGATGAAATCCGCATGAGCTGATAGTGTATCTCTCGTCGCTTTTGAAAAGAGGGGAGATTGGAGCGTTGGGAGATATCAATCGTTCGAGCAACTGGTTTGTCATAAGCGTGTGCCATTAATGGTTCATCGTCAAGTGCCAATGAAAGCGCTACTTTCTTAACGGCTGGTCTTGCTTTGGTCTGACTTGACAGCACCAACGCAGCGTGGACAAAGCGGAAGCTCTTCAAAACCTCGGCTGCAGAAGAGCATATCATCATTGCTTATGAATGTAGGGGCTTGGAGCCTTCAAACTGAACGAGAGTGGGTATTTTCTGGATCAGATGAACTGCTTTTGAATCACAAAGTGGAAGTCTTAGCTGGTGTAGATTAAAGTCCAAGTGTTTATTCCAGGAAGATTGGTCTGGCTGGGCAGCAGGTTATGTGCGCAAGGGCCAGTCTTGCAGATTTTAAATCTTTGCCCCTCACAGTTGCGCCTGTTTGCATGATCGGCCGGGCCAAATCTTAAAGCACCACAGCTTCTCTTCTGATCAGTCAGCGCCCTCACAGAGCTATTTTTAAATAAGATCTCCGCATTTAATCAGGGAGCTCCAATCTCTTGCAAGCAGTCACCGCCCTTAGAGACTTCATGTAAACATTCTCTCATCTCAAGCACAAAGGAAAAGTTGGATCCTCACCTGCTTATGTTCTTGGCTCCAGCAGCCTGCGAACGTCCCGGACCGAGCCCATCTAGAGCCAAGTTTCCACGTGCAACTTTTCCAGAGCTGTCGGTCGGCGGAATGATAATATGTGGTCTTGGCCTGTCGTCTTCTATACGACTGTCTATCTGCTCTGCATTCCAGTCTCGGAACACAACTTGTGCTGATTCTGTCTTTGCAGCAAGTTGGGGCAGCTTGGTTTTTTTGACGATCTCATGCTGGAAACGCTTTCTGAAACTCAGGCCCTTTGAATATGCGTTCGAAGGACTCCAGTGCTCGACCTCAGAGGCGTAACGCGTGAGGAATAAGAGCGAGCCGGCTATGCAGAGAACCGAGGGCAGCACGCTAGACTTCATCATGCTTGAAAAGAAGCCGTGCGACGTACAGAAAGCAATGCAGGGAGTAATGAAACTTCAGCAAAGGGATCACCCAGGGGGAACTTCTTATTAAACGGGTGAGGGGGGAGTGGAGCGAAGCTCTAATGGCATCTCACCTTCTCTCGCCTTGATGGAATGAGTCTGATTGAGCGAGCCTGATTGAGTGAGTCCGATTACACTGAGCCCTTTGATGAGGTCGTAAGAGCTCCTATCAACCAGGTCTTCTTTGCGAGCGATGCATCTACCTAGTTCACTTCTATTTACTCAACAGATTGGTGTCCTTGAATCTAGCAAAGCCTGTCACTGTCCTTGAACCCAACGTCAAAGATGGCCATGCTGTAAGCCAACCTCGTATCGTACATGATTAAAAGAATAGGTTTTGGTTGATTCCAATGAAGCAATTGCATCGGGCATAACATCAGCTGAAACTGGACTTTCTAGATGAGAACGGCACATGGTTTGGCGGGCGTTTGATCAACCAAGGCGGCCGTTACCTCAGACCGGAAAGCAATCAGGGGATTCCCGTGATTGACAAGCTTCGTTTGTTGCCCTGGTAGAGGATCGAACATGCTCACGACGGTAACTTTAACTCGTTGCGAAGTGGTAAGGATCTTTAACTTGAGCCTAGAAACCTCTGTCGCGGTCGAAGGCATCCAACAAGGTTTTAGGGTTTTATCGATAGGCAATTGTCAATCCAATTCTTTCAAAGACTTTTTTGCTTAAAAGGTCTAATTCACTAAAGCGCTCTCTTTTGCCTCTTACAGAAAGGGTAAGAAGAATATACACTGCAATTGCCTGTCTGGCAGCTCGTTGCACCGCTTCAATAGGCTGAATTGTAGTAAAAGCAACAATACTGTGTATAGCGCGTCTTCGACTGGAACAATTACCCAAATTTCTAATCGAGATAAGGGAGGTTTTGAAGCTTATTGTTCGACAGATGACTTTATTAGTGATAGTGAATGGAAATAGAGAGATTAGAAATCAGCCAGGAGATATTGCTCGTCATAGGCAAACTTTTTCTTATAGCAAAAACCTTTTATATGCAAAGCTATTTGCGTATTCATCTTTTTCATTACGAGTTCCATCTAATGGAAAAGAAATTGTATCTAATTGGATCTGCGGGTCCCGTGGATCTGAATTAAACGGGTTGTTGAAAACGAGGCTGTTGGATGCAGACTCACAAAGTCAATTGAGCCTTTCCCTAGTATAAAATTACGACATGATGCACCCTAAGCAGGCTCTAAACTGTAGAAGACAACTGCAAGCAGGAAAAAGAGGGAAGGTTTTCCCCATTGTAGACTCTGCTTCAAAGTAGGCGTTCAGCACGTTGTAAATTACATGGAGCGGAGCCTTAAAACGATACACAAGCTCCCTTCTTTGCTACAACATATCGTGCACGAAAAACGAGATGGTTCTCATTGCTGATAACGCATCATTTTCAATGCAGACCGCGTCCTTTTCAACGCCCCCAGAAATGATCTGTACCTTAAAAGCTGCTTAACGCACGCGACAGATCTTGCCGCGTTTTCTGATTCATCCCGATCCTGCAACTCAACATACACAAAGCTCGAAACTCTAGAATGATAGTTAAAACGAACTACAGCGGGCTTCAACTGACTTAGTGTCTCGACGAAAGAAGGTCGATTGACAAAGCCTGACCATTCTGGAGTAATTGCTACAGCTTCCAGCGCCGTCGCGTCGATGCGGCATTGGCAACCTTGATGAGAGTCTTTCCGGACTGCTGGACGATGACGTTTAGTAGCCAAACGGAAATACTCCAAAGACCCCCGGATCAGCGGAGTCGGCAAAAAAGGCTACAGATACTTTGCAGATTTGCGGACCTCCTATTCTGCGTCTGTCAATTTATAACCTGCCATTGGCTGGCAGGGAGAAATTTCGCCAAAGCAACCTCAAAGCAAGCGATCCATCATGAGCCTTCGAACACAGTCCTGCTCGGTACTTAGACGCCGGTCGCCATTCTTTGCTTGCTCACACTTGCTCATGACGTTTTAACGAGGAATGTCGCGCGAAAAAACAGCCTTCATTTAGTAGGCACACACAAGTATCCAATGCGCATGATTGAATGATGCATCTCGATCTAGCTAGCTAGCCGCCCGGCCGCCCGCAACGCGGCGCGCATCATATATGCGCATTGGCAGGGTTCAGGGTTTGGGGATCGGGTCGGAGACAGCTCAGGAAAAGTTGCGAATTAGGGTTTCAATCTGCAAAAACAAGTTTTCAACAGACCCTGTAGCCTGTAGCATTCAAGCATCTTTTAGCTGGCGGAGAGGTGCGCTGTGGCCCTGGGCCTTTGCTTTTGATATCATGACAATGCATGTGACATTGTGAGCATTTGTTTGGCCTTTGCAGATTTGGGCAAGTCTAGCAGAATTGCAAGTGTTGGTAGATGGCGGGAGAAAAAGCTGCGTACGAGGTCCGCAGCATTAGAGAAGAAGACCTAGAGTCCGCCGGCGCCGCATGCTTCGAGGCCTTCAACCACCTTGCACAGCAGGCGCGGCTTCTGACGCCGCACGCTGACTTTGAGAATGTGAACATCGCAGTTGGAGTGATTCGGTCCAAGCTTGAGAAGCTGTCAGATGGTGTTGACGGCATTGTTGCGGTGGATGCGGATGGGAAGGTGCTGGGGGGCTGCTTCGGAGAAGTCATGGGGTGAGCAGTTGCAGCAGTGACTTTCTGTGATGGACTTGAAGGGTTCTGTGGACTATTGCCCAGATTATTGACTGTGCTATGATTGCTTCTTGCTGGTGGTCACTTCATATCAATGAATGCGTGCGCACCAGGTGATGGGAGGTCTGTAGCTACGTGCATTCAATACAGAAGTAGTAATGAAGCAGGGGTGAGTCAAGGTCTTGTCTGGGGGACTTGCACTGTTCCAGTGGAAAGTATTCATCTTTCTGAAAGTGGTGTCAGTGCATCTGCACACCTTCTTTCTCCTGAAACAGTGTTGAGAAAGATGAGGACGTCCGACGAGCAGCTCTCACAGCATGATCTTCGTTCTGATAAGCAATGACATCTTGTCTCGTTTTGGGACCTTTGAGCCCGCACAACTCTGCAAGCCCTTTTCTAGGTTCATGCATGCAGATAACAACAGTAGTTTTACCCCCCTTTCAACCAGTTTCGAAACCTACAAGGAGTCCGACCTGACAAGTTCTCCGTTCACAAGGAAAATGTGTAGCCTCTAACTAGGTTTGCTCAACCCGGCAATCTCCCTCTTAACTAGTGCAGGGAGGTTGTCGCTGTCGGGCCCGTGTTTGTCCGCCCGGAGGCTGGGGGCCAAGGCATCGGAAAAGCGGTCAATGCGGCGCTGTTGAACAAGATACAAGAGCGCCAATGGTCATCAGTGCGGTTGGTGCAAGTGAGGAACGACGAATGCGTTGTCTTTTGCTGAGATGCTAGCCGGCAATTGCCTCGACTTCTCATGACCGCCCTGTTGCCAGTCAGGTTAAAATCTGTCCAAGGTTGCACCTTTGGGACTTGACAAGGGTTCTGCGGAAGGAGGAAAGCGTATGCCTGATTACATGCACGCCTCTTAAATATCTTTTTGGCCATCAGAACTTCTCAAGCCATTAAGCTGGTCTTTGCTCCGAGGCGCAGCTTAGCATCTTGATGAGATGGTGTACAGCAGTGACCACTTCTATATTTCTTGGTCCGGTGGAAAGGAGCCAAGTAGATTGAAGACAACTGTTAAGACTTAATGTTTCCTTCTACTGACCAGGGTTCTCAATCAGAAATATTTGCCACCATCACCTTGTCTCAGCAGATTCGACTTATAATGTCCCCCCAAAAGCACAGGATTCTGAAAATTGAAAGGCTAAACAGTGATTCACTAATTGCGCGCAGAACACCATGAACAACGTCAGCTTCCGGCTGTACCACTCGCTCGGCTACCGCGTCGCCGACATCTGGTCCTTCTTCACCGGGTTCGTCAAACCCAAAGCGACGGCAGCACACGCTAACCTCGGCGTACGGCGGCTAGAGGAGAAAGACGTGCCGGCATGCGCAGCCCTTTACACGGAAGCAACCGGCTTGCATCGGGAGCAGAACATACGGGAGGCTTCGGCGGCGTGGCCGTCGTGGGTGGTTACTGAGGGGGAGCGAATAGTGTGAGGACAGCTGGCCTTTAAAACGGGTGTCGAATTCGAAGCCCACGAATTGGGTTGTGTGAAAGTGATTAGTTGGAAGCGCAGACATCTGAGCTCTCACACTCAATGATGTGCAAAGAGGAGATGCATGTCGTATTCCCACTTTAAATCTATCAGAGATGGTGGATCGGCTGAAGATCGTAGCAGCTATCGTGGCTCCAGTCTCACAAACTTTCTGAGGCAGCGGTTGGAATTCGCGTTGATCTCGTGGCTCAGTCTCACAAGCTTACCCTTCAAGACCGTTTTGGGTTTGCTTTGAAATCAAGGGCGTTAAAATTGTCGCCTTGAAGACTGAGTTCCAGACGGAGTGAAGTCGTCGTGAAGTTGGCTTCTTCGGCCTTTTCTTACTCCTGCAGGAAGTAAGTGCTACTTGGATCAATCCCCATGAGGCTGCCGAAAGTCCCTCGTGATCCCTTTGCTGGTACAGATCTTGGAGGTCTGGAGACGGGCTTATGCCCAAGCCTCTCCATTGGTGAAACGCGCCATCAGTACTCCGGCTTTTCAAGAAATCGAAGCGAAGTCGGGGCGAATGTTGTTATGCCTAGAATTGCAATCTAAAGCTGACGGAACTGCCTTGCGCTCAACAGATCAGAACGCGTTTCGTGGGATCTTTTGGGAGCTCCTATCTCTGGATCCGTTGACGCCACTGCACACTTTCGCTCACAGAGCGACTACGTTCAACGGGGCGGCCATTCGTGCCTGCCAGCCGAAGTACTTTCTTCTTTTGGAGGCATATTGCACCAAAACGTTCAGATTTTACAAAGTAAACCACTTGAGATTTGCCAGTAAAGGGTGGCAGAAGGGAAATCGTAAAGCTTTTCAATCTTCACGTTTCCTCTTCTTCTACAGGGGCTACAGGACGTCACCCATCGTCACGGGCCACGGCGTGTTTGAAACGGAGGCCGCGTTTGCTGCGCTCCACGTGGCAGCCTCTAAGGAGTTGCGGGAGAAGGGCGGGCCCCCTCTGGCGATCCACATACCGTGTCGACTTTACCCAAAGCTGATTGACTGGGCCCTCCGCTCGGGACTCAAGCTTGCCAGGTGAGGGTCAAAGGCGGCATTCAGAAGCTCCACGCGTCGGGTCGCCGGCGGGCTCCTTGCGATAAGCATGGTTCGGAAATGCATATTGCCTAAGCATGGACGTCTGTCGCCGCTGGTATCCAATCGGATACTTCTCGATTTCAAGTTGGCTGAGGACACATTGACTGGTGTCGTGGTCCGGGGGAAAGTAGAATCAAAAGCCTAAACCTAGAGATCAAATGCTCCGCAACTGTCCTGACTCCTCAACCTGAACACCCAAAGCACCCCACCCGTCTTCCGGGCACTTCCCTTCGTCAGCATGACCCTTAGTAAACATGCATTTGAGATACCTCTCAATTGATCAGCAAGCGCTACCCCTAAGGTCCTGGTGGCGGGAATCTAGTACGTCACTAGGTCACCAAGCTCTCAAGGCAGTCAGAAACTGAGACTTGGCTGTCGTTGTCCAACTCCCCGGTGGTGTCGTCCGGGTGTCTTTGTCTTGCCGAGTGGCTTCGCTAAGCAAAACTGTTCTCTGAAAGGAGATGTGCCCATTCTAACTCGAAGACTCGAGGTCCACAAGATGAGAGTGTGCTTAGGAAAGGACAGTACATGGAAATTGGCGGGTTTATGAAAAGCGGGACTGAGACCTCTTGCGTTCATAGCGCATCTTCAATCAACACAACGTCCCTGCAAGGCGCTCAAGCTTCTGCGTACGCGTCGAAGTGCGGTCACATGGGGTAGTCGTCAGCTAAATCGTTACGTGTTTTTGACCCTGTTCAGTTAATAATGTCGTAGAGCAGAGTCCGTCTGATGGATCCGGAAGTGTCGCGGGTGGATTACCGTTGAAGGTGATTTTTACCTGCGATGTCTAACCATTCAGAAGAGGGGCTGCCTTTGTCAAGTTTTCAAAGACCTCTTTGACGTGAAAAATTAACTGACTGCTTCCTCTCCTTCTCTTCAGACAAAACGCACACATGGTGATTGGAGAATACAAGGACCCAAAGAGCCGACCAATATATAGTCCAAGTATAGAATGCTAGGATCGTCCCGTGCCGAGGATCAACACCTGCGTTGCAGTCCAATCTAGACACAAGGGCTTTAGACGGTCCTATTGAGTTTCAATATAGGAAGAATAGCTGCAATACCTGGACGGACGGTGGTCACTTGCCGAACAAGATTCCGACGGCCGCATATGATATATGCGATCAGTGCCGGACACAGAAGCACATCTTATTCACCGAGTTACTGGATTAGCAGGTGAAAGAGGACGGTCATACATGCTAACTGCATGTTTGGCAATAGTTCGATCAAAACCAGGCAACAATTTTAAGTGCAAACATTGTAAAGAAGGCTTGAGATGAGTTGTACAGATTGCATGCATGCCAGGCCCGGGAGCTAGCATAGACCATTTTTCAATCAGGCGCAAGCCAGCGGCATTGAACAGCCGCACCTGTTGAACGTGTTTACCGCCAGCCATGTCCAGTGGGCCCGGTGTAGCCAATGTTGAACAGGATCGCGCGGGAATGTGGCCCATGGGGCAGGGCCGCCGGGCAGGCCGTGCACGTTTCGATCCAGCGCACCGGACTTTTTATAGTGACCATCACATTACATTCAACGGGCAGCGGGCCCGCCGGCGCACGCGCAGCATCCGCGAGCAAACGGTGACTCCGGCCAGACTCATATACTGCGCGAGCTGCATTCAACTTGAGTTTTCCCGCTCATGGAATTCTTGCGGAACCGTTGAACCACAGAATTTGAAAGGCGCATGCGTTGCACTTCTGAGGCTATTATTGCACGGCAAGCTAGTCATATAAAACCTGAAAAACATTCGACGGAACCGTCCCCTGCTAGTATGATTTCGGCGCGGGCGCTATCGACTTCCTAGTTAAAGTTCATGTCACTGTCCAAACATAATGTGAACAGGTTGCATACAGCACTTCAGTTCGGATCACCCTAGCTAGATATCCCATCCACCTTGCGCACATGCTTCAAAGATGACAGCGCACTTCATGACTTGATCATCGACACGCGTTCATGCCGACCGGCCGTCCGTAGACTTGCCAACACGTCCTTCATTCGTAGGCGCTTATGTACATGGTCACCATCTAGACTCCACCTGCACTTCCTAGCAATTTTATGATGCTTCCGACGACTCCTTCGAAGCCCGGAACTCCTTACACTCCTGCTTGTGTCCGTTGTTCCACGCCGCTCTCTGGCACGCTTGCGAGCAATACTTTACCCGACTGCACGCGCTGCACGCCTGCACCTTCCGATCCCACGCCCCGCACTGCGAACACGCCTTCAACTGATGTACCCAACCGAAATTCCCTTTCACGAATCCGAGCGCATCGACCGCTATCCTCATCTCCCGTCTCCACTCCTCGGGCCAACTTCCCGAGACAAGAAACTCGGGAAGATCGACTTGTATTCGACTGGCAGCTTTCCCGGTTTGTGTTTCCGGTTTGGGTTCCCCGCCCGCTTTTACCGGGCGGTTTTGGTCGCCTGGACTGCCCGGTTGGTCTGCCCCCCGTGCGGCAAACGCCAGGAATCCGTGCAGGATCTGGTACAAGCCCTCTGCAATCTGGGTACCTTTGTCCATGGGCAGTTTCGTCGTATCAAACAGTATGTTCACGATGTGCAGTTTTCGTTTCGAGCTACCGCCCACTTTCTCGGTGCTTCCGGGCCCGGCAGACTTGCCTGGTGGTTTCTGGCTCGCACCGGTGGTTTCAGTAAAGATAACCGCTGCCGCAGTGTAGGGCCATCGGCTGGTTCCGGACTTCGTTGCCGCGTCGGGCATCAGTTGACCCGACTGGAAAACTTCGTCAAACATTTCCTCCTGCAAAATCAAGTTCCGAACGCACTCACATTGCTGCACAGTTCTCACGATGACAAGACAGTCGACTGTCTGACAAGCCCTGTTCCGGAGTCGAAAAGACCAACAGAACGGTCATGAGAACTGCTTGAGGTGCCATTGTAAGCATCCAGTGCTGAAAGCCCGATCCAAGTCATCGAATGCGCCGGTGGTTCTGAAATCTGGATAGCGGGCAGTTCTAATATTGGAGTTTGGGTTACTGTGTTTCTACGGGTATGATTCAGATGCAAAAAGGCTATTAAGCCCAATGAGGCTCATCTAGACATTAACTGTGCGGTATGTCGTTACCCGTTAAGCTGGGTATGCTGACTTTCAGGAATGACCAGATCAATATCTGTCTGACTGAGGGTTAAGATGAAGATTAGAAACCACCAGAAATGAGGGAGGATGGACATGTCCAGAAGAAGTTGGCTACTGACTGACACTGGGCTGTTGAGATCATGTTTACATAGCGAAGCGCAGATCGAAGAAGGCGACTCGGCACAAGTAGGCAACGGTGGATGCTTCAAGGTTGCAAGCAGAGATCCTGGTCCTTGAAAGTCACGAGATGAAGGCCGCAGCAGACCCAATCATTGTGAATCCTCCTTAACTAGGGATGGGTAGGTAGTCACCTTCATGAGCTCCTCTGTTGTAGCCACCCAGTTTGGCCAACCGTTCTTTCCTCTCTCTGGGCATAGCACCAGCAGCCGGACCTCATCGGTGGCGCTTCCGCCGGCCCGCTTGACAAAAGCTTCCGTGGGGAAGGGGACGGCATTTCCTCGGATAAAATAGTTTGCCTTGAAGTCGAGTTGAGCAAAGTTCTGGTCCCCAAACAGGGCGTGCGTCACAGCCTGGAAAAAGGAATCAGTTTGACTCAGTTTGAGTACTGCCTGGAACACTCAACATCCTGGAGAACTACAAGCATTTACTGGACTTGGCGTGTTCGAGTTCCATCGTTCTGAATCCTGGAGAGAAGAGTCTGAACCTCCGGGGAAAAAGAAGCCACGAGAAGACTCAGCTGGGGCAAAGGCTGTTCATCCGGGAGAGAGTTAAGGGTTGCGCACTTTAACAATGGGAGCATAGCAGCACAGGTCACCCGTGTGTATGAGGCCAAACTTTGACCACCTTTGTGAGTGGGTCTTTAATCTATAGCAGATGGACGGATGCTAAAAATGTTGACTGGCATTGGTGGATTCTCTAAAGCTGGGAATCAGCATAAACCTTCATTTTACAACCTTTATGTTCCAACCAGCAGGTTGGGAATCCCCAGAGTGTCGCGCTCTAGCTGGGGCTACCACCACATTTTTTCAAACGCCTACCTTCCACTCCTTCTCGGCAGCCTTACTCCTGGAAAAGGGCTCCAGGGCTCCCACAATCCAGTTCTTCCTTGAGTTGAGCTTCTCAACGTCATTCACCTCCGCTATCCCTAGCAGAGTATCAGGCCTCATTTCATAGGCCACCAAGGAATTTATGCCTATACCAGAGGAGCCAGAATAATGCTTGCCCGCTGGGGCTTGAAACACTTCTTGCCACCGAAGTTTTCGAGCTGGCTGGATGTAGGAGACAGAGTTGGGCCCCATTCGGCCTGCCATGGTGGGTGGTATTATCCTCCCACTGCTGCTGAAGTAGGATTTCAAATATAGAGACAAGTGTTGTGACACCAGCGCCACCTTTCTGCAATGGAGCGACAAGTACCTATACATAACTTAGTAGGTAGCTGGAACCTAGAGCTTCAAGTTCCTACTTTAGTACTTATTATCAAGTTATAATATGTGCACACGTTCACAAAGCGACCCTTGCTTTACACATCTGGCGGGAAAGGTGTTGGGGGTTCCTTTGATGAGAACTCACACACGCTGCGCCTCAGTTTCACGGTGATCTGCAAATAGGAGAGCCGCCTTCTCAAGTAGACCCTTTCAAAGTCTTGACCGTACGATGTTTGACGGTTTGCTCATCGATCGTCAGATGGGAGTATGCGCGCGCTTGTTAGGGGTTCTTAGCAGTTCTTAGTGGAAACAGACCACTGTATTATTCTGCAGATTTTGCTAGAAAACAGTGGCACCTCGTCCCATGACTCTGAGGCTGCCATTAAAGGGCAAAGATTTCCTAGCTACCTATGTAGCTAGGCTTATAAATACTTACGACCTAGGTAGGTATATGTAGGTACCAGAAAAGCGAGACTTACAATGCTTCTTCGAACCTCTAGCTTGAGCTCAGAGTGTGAGGACCTTTTCCTGGAAGCCACGTGTCTTCCCAGAACTCTTCTCACGTCGCTTCGGCTGACTGGCACGCCGGCCGAAGCTTGTGTTCGTCGCGCTTCGTTGCAACTGTCCGAAAAGACTAGGCTAGACGTCTCTTGAAACCGTCAGCTCCACCATGCAATGTGCGGCGGCCAATTGCTGACGCTGACTTAAAGTTCTTTGCTGCATCCGGCCACCTTAATTGACTGCCGTTTGTTCCCGCGGCAGCTGAGAGGACCGAGCCGGCTGGATCCAGCGATCCACTGTAACAAATGCTAAGTGGTCTGCAAGTGCACCGTTTACAGCAGTTTCTGAAGTGGTCTAAAATCTGCCAGGCTGGCACTTTAGAAGAGGAATTATCCCTAGTTAAAGCTGCCGACGTATGTGCAGAGCCAGACGACTCTTTGCCACGTCAGAGTCCAATTGCAAATGCACGTACAGCTTTAACATTGCACAAAATTTGCACGGAAATATAGGTCATCATTGTCGACTCGACAATCATGATAGCCTGCTGGCACTGCAATGAATGTCAACCGCCGGGCAAAATTACGTACAGAACAGGTACAATTGGAATAAGTAGGCCTCAATTTCAACCACGAAGTGCCCCAGGTGACTTCTGCTTAATTGGGGTTCTCTTTCTGGGAAGTGTGACTCCTACTGAGTAAATGCTAAACTCGGTTCGAGTGAGGTCTTCTGCGCTTGACAATTGTAAATAATCATCACAGTCTCATTGAGATTGAGGTCAAGACACCAAGGACGCGTTGATCAGAGGGTGAGAAAGCACGAAAAGTAGTCGCATTGCAATCAGAATTACAAGATCAGATCCGCCTAGCAATTGGGACACAGTGAAGGCAAAGGATGAGAGAAGAAGAGGGGCGTGAATCGCGCACAGAAAGAGAAGTACGAAGCAATGTTGTTGACTTGAGAAGATGAGGTGCTGACATGAAGCGAGTCGGGACATTGACGTAGGGCGGACCGCCGTCGACTTCTGAAGAGTCCAGTATAACTCTGCATTGCACAAGACTAATCTTTAGAGAGAGATTTAGAAGCACCAAGGAGGGAAAGGGTATGCAAAAGTACCCCTCAGAAGACAGCTCGTGGACTAGTGGGCCCGATCTCACATACTAGACATTAACTAGTCTCCCATTCCAGGTGCGCGCATACCGTTGGCAGCATGCGCGATCTCCACATAGACCGCTTAGATAGAACTAGACTAGGCCCTTCTATAGCAACAAGATGCCTGTGCAATTCGACCTGAGGGAGAACCCCGCCGCGGGAGTCAAGGGCTGCCTGCGTAACTGTGTCCTCTGCCCGTACCCCCACAAGAAGTGCCTGGTAGCGGAGCGGGGCATGGCGGAGCGGAAGCGCACGTGGCGCTGGAGAATGTGGCCCCGGGGGGTGGAGAAACAGCGGGAGCCGTGGGGGGACCGGGAAGAGGACGAGAAAGCGGTGGCGGAGCAGGCGTATCCCGCCAGCTACAACGTGCTGCTCACGCGGCTGGCGACGATGGTGAGTGACGTCACTCTGCTCCGCAGTTCGTTCCTCAGGCGGATTGGACCTGAGAACCGCAAAATCTAGCCGCCCTTGTTTGGCAATAAGACGGTCTGCGCGACAGTTTGGCTGGTAAGGCGTTTTTTCCTGTGAGGTTGAAAGGCGACGCGGTCCCTGTTGGGGAAGGTACGGCTTTTAAAATCGTTTCGAAGCTAAGCCCTGGGTTGAATCAGGATCATTGGCCCGCACCCCTGCTAAACCAGTTACTTGCAGCCACCCAGAGGCGCTGCGCAAAGTCAAATGTGAATCAGACACTTTTTGAGAAGCGGCTGCTAGAAGGACAGCGCACAATCCCGCCCCAACTTTCGCAGACTGTAACTTAAGGCTTGATGAGAAGCAGGGTCGCAGATTACGGATTGACAGCACACTGGGTTGAAATGCACTTCAGCTACAAGCCCTGGCGCTATGTTTGTTGGAAGATGGCGGGTATCCAGGGGTGACCACATCGATCCCGGCGATGGGTTTCATTACGTTGGAAGAGCTCTCCAGTCGCCTTCCAGATTGCAGCTGAGCTCAGCAATATTTTGCAGCATGCCGAGAGCGCCAGTTCCTACTTGCAGTTTCGTTGGCTTCGTTTTCTCTACGTCAGCGCCACGTTATATCTGCATCGGACCACACGTCAACTGCCCACCTCGGCGTGAATTTAAAATCTTAAGAGGACGTCTTGCTTCGGCCCTAGCCGGAGGAGGAGAAGCCCTACTTTTTGTGGCAATGAGATTGCTACTCAATCCCAATGTCCCTTATTTGAAATGAATACTTTGGGAGAACTCTCATGTAAGTTCGGAAAGACTTGAACTCCAATCTGACGACAGGCCGCCCTTTCACGAAGGCGCCCTTCGGCCTTTCCAAGCTCGTCCTGCTTTCAGAGTTTGCCCCTTCCAACACGAGACCTGGGAACGGGCAAAGATTTAAATTGGCAAGCCACGACCGTTAGTTTTATCTGCCGTACTTCTCTCGTCTTTCTGCGGATCGAACACTCACATCAGCTTTCGGGGCTGCCAACGCATATACCAAAGATCGGTGAAGCGGCAAAAAAGAAAGGTGCAAGATCGCCTCTTGCTTCGCCCACCAAACCCGGGCTGCCCCTTTCGTGCGCGCAGTTTCTGCTGACCGTTTTCGTCACGGCCGCCACTCTGCTGACGTTCGTCTTCGTGCGGACGTCATCCGTCGACACGGTCAACATTCTGGGCTACGGGTTACGCCGGGAGCTGCTTAACCGGGCGGCTGACCAGGTTCTTAACTTGCTGGCCACCCAGAACCAGAGCTCGGGGTCGTTCTCCCGCGCTATGGACCGCTGGTGGCTAATGAGCCCGGAAGATTATACGACGCTAACCCGGACGGTTAGTTCCCGTGACAATGCTTTAAGGTTCAACCTCAGCTAAGTGGATTCCACTGGTAGAACCAAAATACTCGGTACGCTGTGGAGCTGAGGATCGGTTCGGGCTGATCGAAGGGAAACGATTACAATTCTGTGCGGTCACGTTTTTCGGCAGACTTTTAGCATGCAGAAAGCGGTAAAATCTCGGCACCGCCGAATGCTGTTTTTTTGGAAACATCTCGTTCAGAGCCGAATCTGCATTCTGCATCACCCGTTCACGACTTTCAAAGGCGCACGGGATCGTTGTTTCTGAGACGAGAGTCACTGTCGCTTCGCAACATAACCTATTGTCCGAAAACTCCACGTTCGTGGACGTGGCGGTCTAGAAAAGTTTCGACGTTGATCTCCCCCGATCGATTACAGACGTTTCCTCGGTTGAAAACTTTCTGCTCATGCGCAGACCGTGTTTCATACCATAGTCTGCTGTTCGTTTCCGTTATTTCTTAAAGGTTGTCCGTTTGATCCCGTAAGTACGCCGTTCTAAAAGGTCAGCCGCCCCTTGCTTCCGCAGGATAACGAGATCGTAGGCACGTGGCTCCTCAACTGGGACTCCATAACCGGGGCGGGCGTATGCGCTGCCAGCGGCATATATCGGTACGACTACATAACGACCGATACGGGGAGCAACACGACGCGTTACCAGGCGATCTTCAGCAACGCCACGTCACCCCCGCACGTGCCGCCTGTCACGTATCAGGAGGAGCTCGACGTAAACACGTGGCAGCCGAAGCGGCCGCCAACGATTTTCCCGACCGTTAACGACTGCCGCGAGAAGCCTTATTATCTGAACGCGCAAAATTCGCCGACAGGTCGCGGCGTGACGCTTTTCAACGCGGTCGCGACGGGGGCCCCAACTCTCATCGCGTCGCACAATATTGGAACCGGGGAAAAGGGGGTGGTTACCATAACCATGGAGTTAACCTTCATCAGTCGGTTCTTAGCGGGGCTGGATCTGTTGAAAGGAACCATGTACATAACCAACGGCGCGACGCTGATTGCGTCATCCGACGGCTACGTGGGCTACCAATCAAACGTCAGCAGCGTCATCCTCGCGTCGGACTCCAGCAACCCCACGATCCGCGCGAGCGCGCGCTACCTGGGCGCGCTCGACGCCGCGGCCGCGGTGAACTCGTCGCGTGACGTCATGATCGAGGGGGTGACGTACTTCATGGACACGGAGTTGATCATGACCGGCGAGCTTAACTTCACCATTGTTATGCTGGTTCCCCGAAGCAGCGTAATGGGTGCTATCGACCGGAAGTTTACGCTAACCATCGCGACGGTTATCTCCGGAAGCGGGGGGATCGGGATCATCGGGTGTTTCTTGGTTTTGCTGCTAACCAGTCCGGTTAGCGAGGAGATCAAGTTGAAACGGGAGCTGATTTTGCAACTGCAAGCGACGCAGAAGGCCGAGGCGCGGAACGAAACCAAGTCGAGGTTCCTGGCGAATATGAGGTGAGCAAACCGCCCATATCGTATGCTAACATCCAACCGAAGAATACAGTGATAAGCTGTGGGCTTATTTCTATACCCGCTCGGATCGCGTGAGCGCACTACGCTCCTCTGGTCCTTTGTGACACTATCGCAAGTTCTGCAGCCCTTTGCATCCCCAACAGCGCGCGCGATCAGCGGCGGCGCTTGATTGAGACGGTCGACACCAGACGAAACCAGAGGCATTCGTACCTCGCAAAACACCAGAAACTCTGCCCTTATCAAGGCTTAACGGAAAGATCTTCTAGATGATCGCTCCTTTGACTTGCAAATGGCCGACCCTTCTCGAGCAAGCACCATTGCTTTCTCTTTTCGCTCCTTCTTCAGGCTCTTTCTCACTCTCGCTTCCATCCTTTAAGGAAGACGTCGTGGAACTCATTTCCCTCTTCTATCCTGAACTTTCAACCACCCAGTATCCTCTTATCCTCTTCCGTCCTCGCTGTCGATTACGCACTTTTCTCCCCCCCCGCCCCCCAACTCTCCGGCTGTTTCCTCCCCCCCTTTGCAGTCACGAGCTGCGCAGCCCCATGGCCAGCATCATCGGCCTCCTCGACCTGCTCCTGGACGACGACCTGACGTCACCGCAGCGCGGCAACGTCACGCAGATCCGCGAATGCGCGTCGGGCCTGCTGGGGCTGCTGAACGATCTCCTGGACATCTCCAAAGTACGTCGCCGAAGCATTGTTTTACTCGGCCGGTTTTTGAAAGTTCGAAGGAACGAACCGTCGAACTCTCAGATCAGTGACTATCACACAGCGCGCCCTCTTGTTGACAGCAAGAAAGGAATGTGAAGTTTTCAATGTCCGCCTTGAATGGATATGATCAGGAGGTTTCTTGACTTGTAAAGCAAGCAGCTCAAAAAGACAGGACAATTTCCAAGCTGCGGCACTCACTTGTCCGAGCCACAAAATTAGAGTTGCCCAACAAGCGTTTCATAGAGATCTTGCTCGCAACTTATCTGAGAAGGCCGCATTCGTGGAGACGCGATGGGCAGTTGTCTCTAGGACGCGGACTTTTGCTTTTGCTTTTGCTTTTCGGAGAAAAGCCTTCTTTTTCGAACTCGGTAGGATATGCTGCGTCGAACTCCAGAGTCAAGCTTTCTCCACATCAAACTTCTTGAAAGTCAGCCAGGTCCTGTCAATTTATCTTCCGACAGAAGACGGTCAGAATGCACGCTTGTGGTAGTGAAAAGAGGATGGGTTTCTGGGCCGATTGTTCCAGCAATCGATTTTGCGGGGGCGGTGACGCCCTCGAGCCGTTCCGCACATTGAGGTTGTCAGGAGGTTTGAAGGCGATTGCTGCCATTGTTAAGATTCAGAGGGCCACAGTTGAGTCCTGCCCTCATCAACATCGAAACATCCCGCCGGCTGCGGAGCGTGGTTTCTGACTGGGGCTGTCTCTGTTGGCGCAGATCGAGGCCGGAAAAATGACTCTGGAGACGACGGAGTTCGACTTGGTGGGTCTGCTGGAGAATCTGGTCGACATAATGAGCGTCCAAAGCGCCAAAAAGGGCGTCGAGCTGGCGCTAGACTTGCCCGGTAAGAGCCGCTTTTACATGCTGAAATCTACTGATTCTACGTTACAATTGCGAATTCTTGCAGCACTCGTTTTCAATTGTGATCCCTCTCTCTTCCGCTGTATCGTGGCCGTAGCGTCCTGGACTCAATTGTAAGCGTGAAAAGTCTGTTTCTGCAAGCTTTCGGCTCTTGAGTATCTCCTCGGACGGGAACGCCTTCTGATTGCTCTGTGCATTCGTTTCCCCATGGAAAAGACAGGATTCGCCTGTGAGATCATTAAGAAGCAACATAGTTGAATGTCAACTCCTGCGTTCTGATTCTTCTCGACTTTCTGCAGACGGGATCTTCGGGCGCATCGTCACTGGGGACCCCGCGCGTGTGCGGCAGATCTTTACCAATCTGATCAACAATGCAATCAAGTTTACCTCGGTGCGTGACCGGTGTGAAAATTTTCATTCTGAACCTTTTCTGGAGGCTGCTCCGCGGGTATATCCTGATCTCTGACGCCAATATGATTGAGCGTGCATGCTGATTGAGCGCTTCCGAATTGAAGTCACTTCTTCTTTTTCCCTGACCTAGAACCGACCTGAAGAACCGGAATCAAGGATCTCAGACTTCATCTTTTGACAAACTCGCTCATCGAAGCTGTTGGGTAATTCTGTTTCTGCGATGTTTCATGGCGACATTGAGGCTTCGCAACTAACTCTCAAAGCAGTAATTGGGACCTCTCTTCTTCTCGTCTCGTATCTCGTTTGCCTCGTTCAATGCTTGAACAGTAGATCCTTTTTTCCTTACACATAAGCGCTTGTCGCGTGCAGGAGGGCTATGTGCTCCTGCGCTGCCGCTCCGATCCTTCGCGGATCGGGTGGGCAATTTTCGAAATCGAAGACTCTGGATGCGGTAAGCTCGAAGCAAGCGCACGATTAGAAAGGAGACTCGAAGCAATCGCACACTGAGAAAGTGCACCTCTCTGAGCCTCTGTTGTCGAACGGATTCCGGATATTGAACGGCTTGATGTCGATAGAAGGATGAGATCCGGTGCTGCAGTTTTACTTTTGCGGCCCCAAACGAAACTCGAATATCGAACCGCTCAGGCGTTACCTGGTTAATATTAACAGACGCTTTGTCCACGTAGATAGAAGGTGCATTGATCTCACTAGCTTTTCTGGTCAAGGCCGATCATAATGCAAACCTTGCACTTCATCTTAAGTTGGCCTTTCTAATCACACTCTTCCGGTAGGGAAGAATGGAGACAAACCGGTGAGACGGTTGTTCTAGAGAACCTGGGTAAATCAAACTCAAGTCCCTACATGAAACCGCTCCCCGTAAGTCTTAAATCTGACTTCGCTTGTGTTCAGGCATTCCGAAGAACCGTGCTTTGTCAGTCTTCGAGTCGTTCGTCCAAGCGGACCAAAGCACGACCCGGCTGTACGGCGGGACCGGGTTAGGGCTAACCATCGTTAAGTCGCTGGTTGAGCTGATGGGCGGGACGATTAAGATCGAAGAGAAGGACACGCCAGGGGCGCTCTTCCGGGTGCGGCTCTGCCTGCAGGGACAGGACCTGGTGAGTTTCTACCGGGAATCCTTCAAGTATCGTTCACGGATTGTTTTTGGATTTGTTGCTCAAGGTAACATTGTCAATAAGAGCTTCTATTCCTGCAACTCTGAAGCCCATGCTCTGAAACTTTTTCAATACTGACTCTTTTGGGGGGAGGATCAATATTCTTGATTGGACGCACTAGGCGAGTAGTCTATTTCGCTCCCACGCGCGCGGGAATGATACTAGGGTGTTGATTATATTGGCGGGACTCCTTGGCGGTTCATTAGAAGAAGGTGACCGACTGGGAGGTCGCGACAGTCAAGAAAGGATGTGTCTGTTGTCCATTTCTCCAAGCGGGATAAGATATCAGCCAAAGGAGATGGAACGTTGGTACGAGTAGAGCCGGGCACCTCTCATCCGGTTGTTCTCACGCAAAACCTAAGCGGATCAGTGGGCACGTCCAAACACTCACCTTCTGATCCCGGAACATTTCAAAAATGCTTGCGTTTCCCCTCTTCTCAACGAGTCACTCGAAACCAAAATCCGACCCAACGATTCGGACCCCTTCAAGAAAATGCTTTTTGAATCTTCGCAGAAAGCGCTCGAGCCCATTCAGCACACTGTTCCGGCCGCTTCGCCAGGCCCCCCGAGCGGAGTTCCGCTGGTGCTCAACCTGCGGGAGACCTCCTTCCAAGTGCCCGGTAAGTACCGGCGGTCGAGCCGCACCCAGACGCTCAACTACCTGGACCTCGACCGGCCTGAGGTGGCCAAGCTGGGCGATGACGTCATCGAGCGCCGCGCGCGCGCGCACCGGATCGAGCGGCGCATGAGCCCGCTCGGGGGCGCGCGCGCGGAGCTGCGCGCGGGCGCGCTGACCCTCGAGGCGCTGGCGATGCTCCGGCGCCTGCAGGGCAAGGCGGCGGAACCGGAATCCGTTCCGGCAACGGTGCCGTTAACGCTTTCGAGAGCCAGCGCCCCTGGCGCCCACGAGACGCCAACGAGAGTGCGCGCGCTCACGAGGTCTGTGACGACGCCACGTGGCGAGATGATGGCCAGCCTGGAGGCCTTCTACCGGAGCATGAGCGTGACACGTGGCAGCCTTGCGTGGGGGCCCCGGGGTCTCGTTCCGCTTCCGGTTGCGGAACCCCCGAAACCCAGTGCGCCCGCGGTGCGCTCGCGCGTTCTGCTCGCGATCAAGGGGCGCATGAACGAACAAATCGCAGCGCGCTTCTTCCGCGACCGGGGGGCTGCGGTTATCGCAGTTCAGAGCTGGGGCCAAGCGCTCGCGCATTTGAGACATGGGCGGGGACACGTTTCGGGGGGGTCCGAACCGACGGAATCGAGAAGCAGCAGCGGGCGCAGCGTGGGAGGAGACGACCGCGAGGGGGGGACGAAAAGGAGGCGGGGGACCCCCCCCACGTCGCCACGCGCCCAGTCTCAGCTGGTGCTGGAAAACAGCGGGGAAGCGGCGAGTGAATCGCCGAAGAAACGCAGCAGCTCGGCCTTCCGGAGGAGCCTCGACATCTTCAAGCGCTCCAGCACGACTTCCGTCAGCAGCACCGAATCCGCCAGGATCTCGGAAGCGGAACCCAGCCCGGCGAAACCGGCCAAGGACGCGGGCGACCGGTTCTTCGATCTAGTTCTCTTCGACGTCGCGCTGATGCCCTGCGCGCTTAGTGACGCGGAGATGGTCGAGCGCTTATTGGGCGAGGTGCGCTCGCTTATGGGCGAAATCGAAGCGGCTGTTGAACGGAAGACCGGAAACCCAAGCAGCGTCGAGGACCCGTTAAGCTGCGAAAGTACGGAGGAAGCCCCCGGTTTATCTCCCCCGGTTAGCGCTAACGAGGAAAACGGGCCGGTTAAGGTTCCCCATCTCGTATGGCTTCTGGGTTCCGAGACGCCCGCGATCGTGCGCCGCTTGCTGCGCGATGCGAGCTTCGCTGACGTCATGCAGAAGCCGGTCTACGTCAGCCGGCTGCAGGCGCTCTGGGGAACATTTTCCGCTGACGTCAGCGACCCCCCTCGACGGCGAGAGCTCAGATGCGCCAAGCCCGCCAACATTGCGCAGCTGTCGATCTCGATCCCCGAGGAGGTCCCCCGGGTCGAAACGCCCCCAAGATCTTTAGACTTCCCCCGGCTACAAATCTCTGAGTCATTCTCGCCTAGAGAGTCGCCCCAGGGAACCCCGGTACACTCCAACCCGGTCATGGTACAGTTCTGCGCAGCCAACTACCGGGTCCTCGTCGCGGAAGATACGCCCGTGTTGCGTCAGCTCGCGAAGGCCGTGCTGACGAAGATGTGCGCGAGCGTGACGTCAGTCGAGAACGGGCGGCAGGCGGTGGGCGCGGTGCTGGCGGCGAACTTCGGGGAGTCGGCGGAAGGAGTAGAGGCGGCCGGTGACGTCAGCCGGCCGTTCGATCTCGTGCTGATGGACTGCCAGGTGCGCCCGATGACGTCAGCGTGTGGAGTGAAGGTCTTCGCGATTCGAACACCGGAGAGTTTTTGACGTCGTTTCCGCGGCTGTTCTTACTTCGCACGGGGCTTCGGGGCTCTGGAATTTTCAAGTTACTTTGCTTGCAATCAAAGAAAATTGTTTGGTGCGATCGGTTGTCCGTTGAGCGACGCTCAACGTCTCAAGTCGCCTTAAGAGAAGGCTTAGGCTTATTGCCCGCTTATTGGGTCCCCTCATTGCGTACCGTCTTGGACATCGTGCAATCGTACGTTTGAATGAGCTGCTTGTGGTGAACATGTGCCGATTCAAGGATCACTAAGCAGTGGAAGGCTAAGGAAAGAATATTGGCAGCTTTCGGCGTTTTGGATTGTTTGTCTTCTCAGTCTCAATCCACCAGTCCTTTCCAAGCGACCAATTTTGGAGCCCAAGAACGACTGAGGTCCGAGCCTCGCGGAACCCGGAGTAAGTTCGTTCAACGTCCATTCGCTGGCTGCTTTCTGGACCCTTTCTGGACGGTCAAGCCAACGGGGAATTTTAGACTTCAACCATTCACCAATAGTTCAACACTTCAACAACCCACAATTCAACAATGTAAAGCAGACAGGAGCGGTCCGAGATCACAAGAAGCTCACTTCGATCTCAGCCAGACAATCATGCTCCGAGTCACAATTTTAGCCCTCAACCTCTCAACGGATGTTCATCCTTGGACAAACGGATCAAGCTCGCAAGACAATGGATGTCCAAGTTACAATCCGATGCCTTGGGAACTCCTGAGAAATTCTCTCTGGTCGCGATTCTTATAATGTCGCACACGAGCACTTCTTACGATTATCCGAACCGTCCATTAAACCCTGCAAACCCCTTCTCAGATGCCCGTCATGGACGGCTACGCGGCCGTGCGCGCGATACGGCGCGCGGAGGCCGCCCGCGCGGCCGGGCGGCGGCTGCCCATTTTCGCCCTCACCGCGCACGCGATGGCGGAAGATGAGGCCAAGTGTCTGGAGGCGGGGATGGACCGGTACGTACCTGACGGAACCGTTCCTTTTCCGTTCCGCTTATTGGAATGTGTTTTGTGAACCGACGGCCTTGTTTCAGTGAGCAGTTCTTGCACTAGGAATCCGCATAGGACGGACGACTCGGCACGTCCGCATCAGACGCTGTATAAGAACTTTTCAGACGTCCGGTTTCCAAAGACCGGTTTACCGTCTGAAGAAGGCGGCAGAACAACCGCGAAGTGAGGGTCAAAGTGCTTCTGAATATTGTGGGACCTAGATTTGTGACCTCCGTAAAGGATTGCTCCATACCTGCCATGATTTATTGTGTGTGAATAGCACGCGAATTTGCTTGGTACCTGGTGCGAGGAAGTCCCAAACGTGCCCCGAACTTCCTAGAGCGTCCTAGCAACTGCGCTCTCGCAATTGGGCCTGTGCTCCAATCGCAAGTGGCAGATGCAAGCCGCAATTCGCGCCCAACTGTAACAGATGAAGCATTATCAGGTACGTTAAACAGCGGGTCATTTGAGGATATGATCTCTCCACTTTCCCGGCTCGGCTGATTTTAGACGATCTTTTTCTTCGACGACTTTGCCAGGTATCTGACGAAACCGCTCGAGCGGGTCAAGCTGGCGGAGACGATGCGCGCGGTGCTCACGGAGCAGTCGTCCGAAATCTCGCCCGGGTGAATAGAGCGGTAGCTTGGGTTATCTGCCCGGGTGAAGGGAGAGGGGGTTCGGTTACCAAGGGAAAGAAGAGGATGAGTGCCCGGGGAAAATGTCGTTCGGGTGAGACGAGCGTTGGCTTTGATCGAGGGACGGAGATGACTGCCCGGGTGAAGAGAAATGGGGTCGGGTTACCAGGGAAAAGATGAGATGGAGTGCCCGGGGGAAACGGAGAAGGGGCCGGGTTGCCAAGGGAAGGAGCGCTCGGGATAAGGTTGATGTTGCTGAGAAGGGGCTGCGAAAAACTATTGGGGGAGCGGTATATGAGTTGCTCCACTGGGCTCGGGAGAACAATTGGGAAAGGAAGATTGGCTTCGAAAGACACCGCCCGGATTTTGGTACCGAGCATTAAATGCGGCGACCTGTGCGTCACCTTCGCCTCTGGCTCTGGTGAAGGTGTGGGTTGGAAAGTGTTCGAGATTAGTCCGAGAAATCAGATCGCGCGACCGTCAAAAGTGGCCGTCACAGGCGTTGCAAAGACAGTCGACCTGCGCGCGACAGCGGGTGTTATTTTGGCAGGCAGCGCTAGAGACTACTTAGAGCAGGTGAAACGGCGGCCCGTACATGAGATTCCGCCAACAATTTTGTAGACTAGACAGAAATCGGGAGCCGCCATGAACTGCAACAGCCCAATCAGCTGCCAAAGACGTGCGGAGAGTTGATGTTGAGACTGCATGAATCATGACTAGACTGGCTTGTTACTACGTGTGAGAAACGAAGCGACTCTGGTCCGCTAACGCAGAGAATCAGGTCCTTATTGCATGTAGAGAGAGTAGTACATAAATAGGCTTCAGCACGGATTCGACTCCGAGACAAACTTGGACTGGACCGACATTCTTTGTTGAAATATTTTCGGATGACCCATCAAAAGTTGACAGTACCGTACTATACGGGTAGCAGCAGTCATGCACTGATCGAGCAACAGTACAATTTTGAGTACAGCCCTACCTAAACAGCCCAGGATCGTAGGAGTGAGGAACGCTGTAATAGGAAGTACAGACGACAGACATAAATTGATATGACGGTTGCATGCAGTACCACATTCTGTTCCGAGCACTTTCAGGCTTATAGCTTGTCGGAACGGATAGCTTGAATGGATCACCTACCGCCGGCTCCGACCACGAGGAGGAAGGACGGATCTCCAGGCTCATGCATCAAAGCAAGTACGTACCTAGACGTACGACGGGCACGCTGCAGCTACAATGATACTATAATTACCGCGGTCAGTACCAAGCCCTCTTACATTGATAACGTCCATATGCACGCCAGGCGGCGTCACTTACTCGCACTAAGAAATAGGGCGGCGGTAATGTATTAGTTGTCGATTGGCGGACGCATTCATCTTGGTACGTCACAAGGAACATCGCAAATACGGCGGCAGCTTGATGATTAGCACCAATGATAGCCTATTATGCAGGTATGTGCCGCGCGATGGTCGGGCCTATGCACATCATGGTGCACGCACCAATCACATGACAGACCTACAGCCATTGAGGGCCGGCGCCTGTGATTAAGCGTAGATAACCAAATCAATCAATTGATTCACGGACCCCACACAAGTCATGAAATAGTTCAAAGCGATATGATGCAAGTGATAGCTAGCCGGCAACCACACCCTTGATCTTTGAAGAAGGATACGCATGGTTTACAGCGAGAAGGAGTGGTTGCAGGAGCAACTGTTGCAACAAACTGCATTCTTTGAAGAGGACTGTAAAGCTTAAAAGCTCTTGTGAAGCAGCGACAGATAAGTGATTACTGACTGGAGTCTTCAGTTCTTGTTTCATCAAAGAATGTTTCAATTTGAGATCGTCAACAGAATCAGGATCTTTCAAGGGCTCCTCAGGCCCCAAGGCAGGATTGGGACCACCTATGCTAGGGTCCAGGTTTGATACTACTAATTTACACCTTGGCAGCCGGTCCTCGCTACAGACGTGGGGCCACGGCTTCTCATTACGAACCTCGGAGGCACCATGTAGCTGATACAACTAGTAGCCGTGGAAAGAAACGTCTCGTCTCCATTTTCTTAAGACCTAGAGTACAACTAGCAACACGACTGCCAGCCTGTTCTTCGCCACTGCCCGCTTCACACCGACCGCGCACCACGTATGTACACAAACGACTCCCCGTCTCAAACACCACCGATCAGGACGCCCCGCTCGCACGTTGCAGCTCCCTATGACTACTTATTGGCCTCATTCGGACACACCCTCGCTCGCTCAAACACCCCCTCACGAGTGATGCAAGAACTCCTTTCGAGGCGGCAATTCGCCCCTCAAAAGCAGAGAGTCTGCGGCCCCCCCGTTGCGGTTAAGTAACTACCTCCACTTAACCAGCCTTTGAGACCCGCTTTTGAATGCGGTAACCGGCCCCGCCTGGGCACGGCAGTGCGGCTTCGAGGGGCTCTTGAGGGCGGGGAGAACGGCTCCAAAAACAAACCCGCCGCTTAGGCTGTCCTTCTGCTCCGTTGTTGCAGGCTTCGGGCAAGGAACCTCCGGGCACAGAACGTCTGCCAAGACCTGACACGAGCAGAGAAAGTCCCGATGAGTGGGGGCTACCTGACAGGCAAGCGTCGGCACCCAAAAGACGCCCAGACGGGCCAATCAGAGAGGAGCTTTAGCCAGAGCCATTCGTTGCTTCTGGAAAGGGGGCAAATTGAGTAGTTTTTAATGAGCATCTAGCAACCTCCCTCTGTTCAAATACAACAAAAGTCGGGTCAATGCCATAGTCAGCGCAAATCGCTCTTAACAGTCTTGCTACCACAAAAAAATGACGCAACAAGTAACAGCAAGTTCCATTGCTTCTCTGTTGAACACTTCCCTTCACCTTCCGACCCAAAGCAAGTCTTGGGCTGAGAGTTTGACTCACCTTCGCTTGACTCTTGACAGTTGTGTCGCCCGACGCATCCAGGATGTCAGACGAGAAGGTAATCATATCCATGGTGAAATGGTCCACCGAATACTCGGACCCCGCCAGAAGCGACACAAACTCCGCCATATACACAGCCTGCACACACACAGAGAACCTTAGACGAGTGTCCAATGCTCGATCTGCCAGGGCAAACATGAACCCAGAACCCCTCCTCTTCAGGAGGAGACACTCCAATCTATGTGAAAGCCAGTGTTACCATAGGAAGGTGACAAACAATTACTCGGAAAGTTGAGGTGGTAGGCCCAATTGCCGTTGCCTTGATCACAGGGCAATCAGGATCTGCCAACTTCTCTGCGATTCAAACCCACTAACTTCTGCACAGAGCCCACCATTATCGACAATCCTTAATTCACTCCATAATCACCTGATATCAAATCATCCCACTTGACCAAGTGATGCCTAGCCAAACACTATTTTAACCCCGAATGTTTGATTGAAATAATACTACAAACACAGCCACCCGAGACACAAAGAGCTATGCTCACCTCCGATGCCTTTCCGGTAGCGCGCACTAGCTTCCCCCACAGCTCTCCCACGTCCAGCCCGCTCGCCTGCCCCCCCACGTCCAACAAACTCATCACCTCCTGCTGCTGCTGCCGGATCATCGGCGCCCCAACCCAGCTCTCCTGTACCGCCGAAAGCGAACAGAACTTTTCCAGGGGGATGGGGGCCCCCAGCTGAGCGGCGGCAAGATATAGGCAGGTGAAGCCAAGTCCCCGCGCGCGGTTGACGTTCTTCTGGCCCAGGGGGCGCCACATCGTTGCCAGGCAGAGGTCCATGGCCAGGACGGCGAAGTAGAGCACGGAGGGGCGGAAGGAAGCTTCACTTGCGGCCTGCAAGAAACAAGGCCCGACAGATTCGGACACGGAGAATGAATGCATAACCGAGAACCTGGAAGGTGCGAATGAAAGCTCTATGTTACACAGACTATTGCACCGGATACGATATGCTACATCACAGAACTGGGGGTATCAGGAACTGACAGATGGTCCCAAACAATCAGGAGAGGCCCTACAGGTGGAAAGGAGAAGAAAGGCTTCATTTGTTGCGATGGCGAGGGAAAGGAAAGAGCTCCATCTACATGAGAAGAAGTACAACGGGGCTGGCAAGAACAACATTGTATAGAGACGTTAGACAACATGTGAGGAGATTGGATTTGCGACAGCCACGTAAGGGTAGACGCACCACAACATACAGGAAATTAAATGCAGACAATGTTGCAGACATGAAATTTATGCAGCGAGAAAGGCAACCGAACATGCTGATCTTGCGCCTGTATCTATAAGCTTTGATAGAAAGAGAAAGTTGCTCGCATTGCCACAGAAAGAAGGCAAGAACAAAGCATGCAAGCAGATACTATAAGAGAAGAGCACAAATACAAGAAAGTCCGGCATGTAAGCAAGGGCTTAACCACAAAGCCTGGCATGACCAAGAATCCATTACCATAACTAAAAAGGATCACATGGAAAAGCGGGCTTAGCTGAAATCAGACACTTCACTCCGAGAAAAAGTGCCATACTCAGAGGAGCAGGACACATCCAGATTACTTTCAACCAGACAATCAAACTGAAGTCTAACCAGAACACATACATCTGAAAGACAATGAATCCAATATTCCCTGCCACCATTTCCATGACAGGCTGTAATTAAACAATGCTTTGTGGACTGTAACCTAAAATCCCATAGGAGTTTTTCTACAGGCCTTTCTTGCTGCAGGCAATTATGTTGATCGGGGCAGAATCTACACCCCGAACGCGGCACACGAAAGTTCAAGCCGTGCACTCTGAAGCAGCCCTTACCTCAGACATGCGTCCAATGACATCCGTCCTCTCATCCACCGACGCTTCTTCTTTCAATTCTGTCCCTTGGTCGAGGACCGCAACCAAACTCTTCTCCGTTGCCACCCCATTGCTTGGCTTATACACCCCTTCCATCCGCTCTGCCGGCCAGAAGCTGCTCTCAGCATCAGACTCCATGTCAGGATCCACGCTGAACCCCGCCCTAAACCCGTCGTCCGACGACTTGGAAGAGTACCCTGGCTCTCGGTCCAACGGCTCCTTCCCTTCTTCGCTAACAAGCGTCCTGTCCACACTGTGAGCAGGGACTCCTCTCAGGCGGTGCAAACTGGCTCCATTTGACACCGACCCCGGCTGGAGAGTCAGCCTGGCAAACGGACTGCTGCTGAACTGAGCGGAAACGGCGGCGCCGATCACTGGCGCCGGTGCTGACCTCGCCAAGTGCATGAAACCCTGGTTGGGAACACTTCCTGAGATAACCAGCTTCCCTACGCGGTCCTTGCACGCCAACCGCGCACGCTTCGGAAGAGACCCCACCGCAGGATCCCCAATTCTTCTGGGGCTGCTGCCGCTCGAGTTGGCGGATAGAGCATCCTCCAACTCAGGCTCATGAGCTTCTTCCCCAGCCTCCCACTCCACCTTCCTGGTAATCCGCAAGGAATTGGATGCAGGAATGGCAATGCCCTCGCTTTTCCAGGGGACGGCACTGGCCATCTGGAAGGTGGCCGAGGTCTCTCGAAAGGGTGGCATCTAGGAGGGTGACCAAGATGCGTAAGGAACCGTTATTGCGTTGTAACGAGCCGATATGAACTATGCCTCTGCGTGCATTATTGCCATTGACTAGCGAAAAGAAACCAAATGATGAGCCTACACCAAAGCTCGCTGTACAGTCGTCTAAAGACTCCTTATTCAACAAGTCGCTGGGATCAAAGGACAGGTAATGGTGGACTGTTGCCTCAGCTAAGATGGCTGAGCATTGTACTCAAGAGGCCCCTGCAAAGCCTTGAAACCCTTGCAAGCAGGAACCCTGAATGCGCACCCAGCTTCTGTATCAATACTTGGAAATCAAGCTCTACCCTCGACGGGTCACCAAGTGCACAGCTGACGTCCTAAAAAACTTCAAGCTTCGACCTCCTCTGTCAAATTCTCACAGATGAGTGCTGATTGAGCACCACAGCTACGCCAAAGTCTACTTGTCAAACATCCGCTCACACCCGCCTGCCAACCATTCCCACCCGGTGCGTTTCAATCTTGACTGCTACGATCCTTCCTTCTTCCACCAGCTCCCCACCTACCCAAACCGGCCGCCCAAAGCCTTTCCCCAAGACACGTGCGCCTTTCTAATCCCCGATGCAATCAACAAAGAATTCTCGGATGCCACCACAGCTGGTGGCGAAAGATGAGCGCTGCTTCCGTTGACCACTTTCCAGGAATGAAAGCACGTCAAGGAAGAAGGGACACCATTCCCTAAACAGTTGGGGCGGGAGGATGGCGCATGGCTGCCCAGCCATTGGCTGTTGCCAACCAGCAAGGTTCGCAAGGGATGAATCTTCAGCGCCAGGTCAGAATCTTCGAATCTGACGCGTGGATATGACTAAATTCCAAAAATTCCGCTGTTTGTTCGCGCCGCATTCCGGATCCCCACCCCAAATCGACATACAAGCGGATCGATACCGTTCGATCGTTCGTTGGCAGGATCGAACGGCTGATAGATGGACGTCAGGGGTGGGAAAGGCAAGTCCCGTGACCTTCCAGAAGTCCCCGACGCCTCGGGGATCTGTTACGCGGCGAGGCAAATTGCAATTTCGCACGTTTTGAGGTTCCGCCGGAAATGCGCAGTCCGCTCGTGTGCATGACTATATACAAAATGCACTTTTTGGTATACGTGGCGGAATATTGACCGCCAATTTGGTAAATGGAATGTTTGTTCCGCTGACCTCCGGCTCGAGCCGGCGGACTGCTTCGCATGCCGGATTTTAAGATGCGCATCGGATCTACCGTGGATTTACCCGGGAAATTTTCAAAGTGCTTGACAAAGTGCTTGAGTACCTGTAGGCCCGTTCGTAGTATACTGTGACGTTACCGCCAGCTTTTAAACCTGGCGCGCGCGAATCTATGATTGGCCGACCCGTTCGAGCGGAGGATAGGTATTAGGAACAGCATTTGCATGCGAGTACTCGAGACTCTGGTTCTATCGTGTTAGTCCCAATCGAGGGTTGAATTCTAGCGATACAAATCCGCTATTATTATATTAGCACGTGCGACAGGCGCACAATAATTTCGTGCCAAGTGGCATCCGTAATCATTTTCAGCTGCCTCGTGGTTCAATGCAACAAGTATGACGAAGCAAAGGTTGGCACGGCACCATCCGACAGTCCGCTAAACACCTTACAAACAATGGAAAATTAGTGGTTGATTGAAGTGTTAAAAGAGGGAGTGATAATACTTTTACAAGTCATGCCTAGTATTCAAACGATAGGATCACGCACCCATCACGCATGGCCAATGATATGACTTCGGCAGTTGGATGGGAGGACCTTCGCTCAAAAGGTCAGGGAGGTGGGGAGGATACTACATGGTCAAACAGCATGGTACACAAACGCCCGCATTTTACATCCTAGATAAAGAGTCTTCGATTATTGCAGTCAGCTCGATGGTCCTCAAATCTGTCGCTGCAAGATGTCCTCCAAGGCCTCTTGATGCTCGAGGTTGAATTCTTGAAACCGCAGACTGCACAGACAGATAGATTTGGGTTTTAAAATCGAGAATGCTGTCAATATACCTGTATCTAACAACTTGAGTATCCAAATGTAATTGTCATGGGCGAGAAGACACATCAAGAACCTCGTAAGGCAATCAGAAGTCACCTTGCTGGATCTCTTTGCAAGCGTCGACGATACGAATTGAGCTCAAAGCGCGACAAGCTTCCGTTTCAAGGCAAAATGGGGAGCCCGTCCTGAAAGCCAATCATTGTCGGGCGCGGTCGTGTAAGACACCGACTGCTACGTGTAACTATTCTTCTCATTCTTCGACTACTGTGCTTTCGTTCACATGACACATGTTAAAATTTAAAGTATGGCAGTCGAGTGCGCATCTGGTCTAGCGTAAAGGGCATATGGAAGATGTGTTGGGAGGTTGTTTACACCATTAGTTTGTTTCCCAGATCTGAAAAGGGAGCCTCAAACAGGCTATGCAACGAATGATAGCCTGCAGAATCGAATTCCCTCGAAACACAGACCGATCTAGAAAATTCCCGCTAGGAGAATTCTGTAAGTGACGACTCTGACTTAAAAGACGGCAAAGATCCTCCTTGTTTCCTGTGCTGCATTCGATCGCGCTGATGTGCAAAGCATTTCGATCGAATTTTTGTCTTTTTCCAGGCGTGGCGTCAGCAGGATCTCATGCAGATGCTTTTCGGAACTCATAGTGCTGCCATAACACGCAAACTCGGAAAGAAAGTATTGCTCGAATTGAGTCCTGACCTGGCCCCAGGTCTTGTCTGCAGCGCAGCGCTGCTGGATTTCGAAGCACAGTCCTCTGCTTGCTGCGCGAACTGCCGCCGGGCGTCTTTGTACCTGCAACGCTGGTCAGAGTCAGCCTTTCTCGAAAGAGGGTCGTCTTATGTGTCCAAGCAAAGTGGATTTGCTGACCAGAATTTCACGCTCCAAAGTCGAATTTGCACAATAAAAAACCTGGTCGATGAAAGTGGATGCCTGGGCCGACCTTAATGCCTGTCGATTCAGAACCTGGCACTTGCCAGCTCATATCACTTAAATTCAATCGAACTGGAGGTTTCAATTTATTGTACCTTCAGGTGGCCTTTCTTAAGGGGCAACACTTTCTTTCCCTTACATTCGTGCAGAATTTTCAATCAAAAAATAACATTCTGCCAATGTTTGGGAAGGGGCAAGAACAAAGTGGAGGAGGGATTCAAGGTGGGGATCTGTCCAAAAACTAGTCGAATGCCTTACATGACAGCAGCATATGGGTTGGCGGGCGACTCTGTAACAATACTATGGAAGACATCGTGTATGTACTTCAGGAGAGAGACGATGTATCCCTGCATCGAAATGGCAGAAACATGAATTGGTGGACACTTATAAGTTTCATGAACACTCTCATAATCGATTCTTCATATTCAAAGCCCAAACCCCTGCAGTTGCTCTGTGTACTGCTCGGGTTAGCAAGTCTTTGGTTAGCAAGTCTGATTTTCTGATGGAGGCCCTGAATGCTTCAAAAGGCAGATTCATTGATGACGCAGGTGGTGAGCAATTGCGGACAACTCAGATGGTAGTCTTCAAGCTGATCATAATCTGGCAAAACAGGTTTGACCAACGCGCAAGGTGTGAAGCTGAGGACTCTCGGAATATCGGTTGCAACACTCAGGACAGGGAGACACTCACTTGGACAAGCGTCTGACCCTGCAGCAGTAGTGTCAAGTTCAGAAACCCTTGCGAGTCTACTTGTGGGTGAAGCAGTGGGGTCGTAAATCTGACACTAGGCCACTCCTTCGGGTACCCGTCTGGTATTCTTATTGTGAATTTGAAAATCCCTCCTTTGTACAGGCCTTGCCTCACAAACACAGCACCTTCCCAGGCTGCACATGGAAACCATTGTTTGGAATCCGACCAAATCATCATTAGAACATCGGGTTTGATAACAATTCTCAGAAAGATTGTTTGTGAAGAGATAGAGCTTCTACACTGTCGTCGTCTCAATCAGTTCTGCCTTGATGAGGTTGTCTCGGCGCAGACACTTCAAGCGCTTGCATGAGAAGGACGAGCTATGGCTGGGCTACAATGGACCGGACTGTTCGTATTGGCAATAGAGAGCAAGCTGCAGAGCATGATGGAGCATGGAGGATGGAGGAGTGTGTGACCATTGGAAGAGCACCGATTGAGGAGAGTGTAACATCTCACCTTGTAAACTCTCAAATGATGGCATGACATAGACACCCGGGGGTGCATGGTACTTCAGGTTCCTACTGCAGTAGATAAGGGCAAACCTTTGTATACATACCTTCAATCCTCTAACAACAGTTGCTTGCTGGCATCTGAGGCAACCTGGAAGCAGTTCTTTTGGGTGACAAGGGTAGGATTGTTGTATGAATGACTGCCGGAAGTAATGGTCAAGACTCGAGTTCATTGTTGAAAGGTCAGTGCTTAAATTGGTGCTCCAAGTAGTTCCTGGACCACCGATGAGCGTAAGAAGAGTCGGGAGTGCAGGCATCCTGTCTCTTCTCCTTTCCTCTACCAGCGGAGTTGAGCTACTATAAATGCAGCAAAAGAGTAGTGACTAACTTGATGCACCTACTATTCAATGAGAAGTACAGCTTCTCGCCCATGCTGAGACTGCAGACGGGGCTCAGTTAGCCTCCCTGAGGTGGATGCAGTCGGAGGTAGCCTTGATTCCATCTGCATTCTGGCTGCCGTTTGGAGATGCCAGCTGCTTTAGATGGAAAGAGGCCAGATGATTTGCCGCGTCTGTAAACACAACTACCTCTGAATCCTCTGCCAAAATACCACTGGAGATCACTACCAATACTTTCTTAGGCGTCCAATGCGTTTCAGCGAGATGAGACGCCACAATCAAGTAATAAGCTGTCTGTGTCTGCAAGCAAGCCACTGTAAGACCCGGTATGTCTCCCTACGCCCCTCGCTGAAAGAAACACAGAGCTCTCAATGTCAGCAAAGAAGCTGAAAGTTTAGAGCGTTGCTGAGCAGCGAGGCACTGCGCCTGGTCTGCATATCAACAAGTTGTCTCGGTCAATGCCAACAATGACAATGCCAACAATGGCAGGTCACAGGCATGGCAGCCATACTTCAATCTTACTATGTTACTATGACAATGTTTCTGTCAGTGTCAGTCAGTGTATCATTTAATTGCTTGCTTTGATGTTTGGACATGCACTGATCTGCAGTCGCTGCTGACTCCTGAGTCAACCCGAATGCAACTTCCCAAGGGGCTGAATATGCCCTGTTCTCAAGACTGCTCAATTTAAGCATTTTTGCGCCAAGGAGTCCAGACCCTGCGATGGACATCTTCAGGCTCATTGAGGGCTACGATGCGATTTGATTCGCAAGAGGAGAAAACCTCTCAACAAGAAACAGTACCCCGCAACTTCAAGTTCAAGCGACATTCCATTCAATCTGGCTGGCCGACAGCTGGCCGCTGTTGAAAATCTTGCCCGACTCCGGCTCTGAGACTGACTCTGAGACTTGAGTCTCAAGCTTCTCCCACACACAGCAACGCCTGATTCCGCTGCAGAGAAAAAGAGGCGTTGGCAGGCGTTGGTCCAGCTGTCGGATAGATCACGTCTATTAGTATTATAAGCAGAGGGGTGCTCGAAGCAAGGTTTTTTTGATGCACTGGGTGGTGAGTCTGATACTGAGGAGCTGTCCCAACGTGGGTGCACACAGCGGCAACGTCTGCAGAGAAAGTAGCTAACAAAACTGGTCCGTGCAGCTGATTGACCCTGCCCGGCATGGTTATGGCAACAGCGGGGGCAACAAGGGAGACAATCACTCTCAAGGGCTCAACAGCGATTGTCACGGAGTTCTTTGGTGAGCAGATTTAAATTGTCAAGATCATCCTCCAATGGGACATGTGCCTACCAAGGTCGACTAACTGCCACATCTGTTTCTTGGTACTTCCAAAGTGCTGCATTTGAATGCAGTTCGTTTTAACACTGTCAAAACAAGCCGAAGCAATTGCCGGCAGATGATAGGAAAGGACGCATCTTGTGGATCTTCCTACTGCGGTTGATTGGCATTTGAGATGTTTGAAAGGAGCATTAGTCAATTGCAGTGGGTGATAAGCAGATAAACTCATCACATTCTGACCGTCATCTTTTCTCTTGCAACAGGCTATGCTGTAGACAGGTAAGGCGGCAAGCCACGCATAAGCCTTGAAGGATCCGGAGAGGGAAAGTCGGAAGCTCGGACAACTTTGTACACAATGCTTCAATCCTAGTGTTCAAGAGTTAGGCGCAGGTCGATGGAGGTCAACCATGTCATGAAGGTCTTTCTTCTGGTTTAGTGTTAAAGCATCTGGCAAGTTGGCTAGAGTCTGAGGAGGCTTGAACGAATGCACAGACAGTAAGGGGTTTGGCCAGTACTGGCGATGCTCTAACCTGACATACTCTGAAAAACTGGCTTGGGTACTTACTAGCAGACTGGTCTCATACATTTGAGGAACCCTTATGGAACTTTGTCCGCTTTGATGACGCTTGCTTTTGCAGTATACTGTACCAGCGGGGTATCTACCCCGAGGAGAACTTCACCAGGGTCAAGAAGTATGGCTTGTCCATGCTCGTATGTACAGATGAGAGGGTGCGGGACTACCTTAAGCAGGTGCTTTCGCAAATATCAGGCAAGCCCCGTGACTTCTGCCAGGCACGTGGCGTCACATCTCTTGTTGATTCTTCTTCAATGATCCAGATATTGGTTGTTTCGGTCACGGAAGTCAATCTCCAATGTCAAGGCCTCCACTGTTCCCGCCATCTCTTTCGTTGGGCTTCAATTCCTCAGAAGCGGACATGGCTCCACTCAAAGTGATGCTTGCCCTGACATGTCTGCTCCAGCTACCTTAACAATCTGTTGGCAAGTTTAGCTTAGTCCCGTCACAAGCATTACTCAATTCAAATCGGGCGTCCGTGTTTCATGACACCACAAGCAACTGTTTTCCCCCTTGTCTTTCAGATTCCTCTCTCTGCTTCCTGCTTCTGACACCTAACTGACCCCATCCTCATTCCCTCGTCTGACTCAAGCATGTCTGGTTTTTGCATTGCTGCAGAATGGCTGCTGACAGGCAAGTTGCAGAAACTGGTCCTGGTGGTCGCAAGCGTGGCCACCAAGGAGGTCCTGGAGCGCTGGGCCTTCAACATCGAAACGGACAAGGAGTCAGTGCAAACAGGGTAGGCATCCCACTTATCCACCACGCTTTGTGCAACATAAGCATCTGTAGTATGCTATAGCTATCGCCTGGCTGCCAACATTCAGCCCTGGTGTTGCGAACCGAGTGACTTGACAGCTTGATTTTACCTAGGGGTGTATACCCGAGATAGGTCAGGAAATAGGTCAGAGATAGGTCAGATTTCATCATGGTCTTGATGCTGATCAAGAAGAAAACAAGGAACAACTCGTTTTCACTAGGTCAACGCAACAGTATGATCTTGATTGACACAACATGGGTCTTGTAAGTGGGTTTTCGTCTCAACGAAAGGACAGAGAACAGGGACTCTTGGCGGACTCCCTAGGGACTCCCCTGCACTCTAACCCCTCCAGTTGATGGTCATTATTAGTGGATCCGATCAATCCAGACCGTCCAATCTGAGAAAACTACAGCCTGAGTCCTGCGTCGGCTCGGGAGTCCACGTTCTGTCGTCTTCCGTTTTGTCTACTAAAGATGCTCAAAGTCTACAAGTCTGAGTTTCTGCATCAGACGCGTTGATGGCCATGAAGCTCTTCAATTTTTGCAGAACTTCTGTCTGTATCCTCTTATGATATCTTTGAACAGTCTCACGGCGTCCAATCACTCATCGCAAACATTGTGTCGTGCTCTCCGAATTCAATTTTAAGATGGTCAATATCGGACAATTGCAAATACGGTGCGGGTACTGTCAGCCGATCTCAGAAGTCGTCGGTGGGAAAGTTCATTGCGGTACTGAGCTTGTGACAACTGTCACCAATGCTGCTTTTGTAACGAGTGCGCTGTCCCCTCTCTCACCTCAGGACGACTCGAGAGAAGTCCGACAAGGAGATTATGAGCGAGATCCAGGCAATCGTCAGGCAGATTACGGCGAGCATCACCTTCCTGCCTCTCCTCGACGAGACATGTAAGTCCACGATTGTGAGAAGAAGCCTTTTTGCTTTTTCCTTGTAAATTGAGTTGATTCCGCTAGCACGATTGCTTTTTACCGTTGCTCTGACCCGGCACCTTGTGAAGATCCAGCTGCTTCGTTGAGATCCGTCCAACTATGACCGCTCCGTCTAGAATAAGCAGTTTGTTATACAGATGTCAAGGCGGGGCAAAAGCTTATTGGTGCGATACAACCATTCTCGTTTATGGCTAAGCGGCATCCACAATCAGCCGGTCCCCAGTATTCCAATGGCTCTCTTGAGATGGTTGAGACTGACTTTCCGCCGAAAATAGACCGCAGCAACCTTCCTGTAGGTACATTCGACTTGTTAGCATACACAGCCGCCGACTCAGCGGTGCCGTCAACATGGGAAGAAAGTGACGCACGTTTGATAAACAAGTCCGCGGAAGTCAAGCTGCGGTCCTTTAGCACCAAGGTGAGCGGCAACGTAATCTAGCCTCTTCCCGACCAGGTGGTAAAACCAGAAAAAAGGTTCAGCAGTCCTGCTATCTCAGGTGCACGGAGTTAAGGTAGAAGCAGATGGGAGCCGGATTGAAGTCCTTGTTTGGTCATGTGAATAGTGTCGAAGACTTTTTGGAAGGATGGCAGCGTACTCGGGAAGACCAGCACGTTCCGTTTCAGCTGCGCAAGGCCTTGCAAAACTCTGCCTGCCGGGACTTGGTGACTTTGATGCGGGAACGGCTGCACGCTCGCATGTAGTTCCGCCTTCTCGTGTTATCAAGCCTTCGAAACGTGTGGTGCGGTCCGAGACGCGCTCTCGGACCAGACTGATCGGTTTTCTGATCCTGAATCAGGCTTTGAGCCAAGATTTCTTCCTTTCCCAAAAAAGTCATTAGTTCTGAGGCCAGTCGGCAGGACCAGAGCTAGCGCACATCGATTCCGAGTCTTTTGCCATTAACCCTTTGCAGGTGCATCAAGTTGATGCTATGGTGGCCTACAAGAACGATGATGAAGGCGACTAAGGACCAGCATTGTTGGGCTGCCCGGTCACGTCTTAGCATTACCAAGTCACATGTTGTCCAAGCAGTTACCGGTCGTTTCATCGCTGCCCAAGTTATTGACCAGGTTGCTTGACTCCTCTGAAAAGCTCCCGTTCTACGGTTTCCACTCAAGGTCAACGCTCGCATCCTTTGCTGCCATGTCAGTGGGTAAATGGGGAGGATCGTTCGAAAGTGCGAAGCAGGTTGAAGGTGCTCTGCTGCGCCTCAACGCATGTCATTTTCACGCACGCAACAGACCTTTGCATGATATCATGAGCTCGCCAAGTCCATCGCACACTTGCCGGACATGGGCGGTACGCGTTTTCAGGGCGTGATTGCATGTGCTGGTTGGAGCCTAAGAGGTTCGCGCCGGTCACAATGAATGCTGGTCATTGCTCAAGTATCACACGGTATCAAGGGCAGATTAACTTATAAACTGGCCCGGCTCAGCGCGAATCCCGAATTAATGTCTGTGCCTGCCAAGGGTCGGCTTTTATGCCGCCTGGCGAACAGATACGTGGCCTGAGTGCCGGCAAAATGGCCGTAGGGACCACGACTGTGCAGATTGCAGCCTCTTCATGATGAGCACTTCTTGGTAGTCACTCGCCAGAATGCACGTACACATGAGACATGATGTCAATCAGCCTATAGGGCGACCACATGGCACACACCGTATACGCCCATGTTTGACATCCAGCCCAGCGCCCGGTTTGCATGCGCATTACGCCGGGTACGTGCACACGCCGCTTAATTTGCAGATCTGGCTTACGATTAGACTTGTCGGAGTGGACGCACATGCGCGGCCGCCCGACCCGTACTTCCTAGGCGCCCGGCCGGCCTTGATTGGGTGTTCAGAAGCCTGCAGGCCATGAATTTGTAGTGCTACGAACGTACGCCGCCGGGCCCGCTGGCGCGTTTCGACCGCGACTTGCCGCCCATCGGCCGTTGCCATCTACAGTAGCGCGCTGGCGCGCAAGCTTGCAACTTTGGTAATACCCCCTGGGGACTCGCAGTCGTATTCAGTGGCATGAATCCGTATCACATCCGCTTCACATCGTGACTGTTGATATTCAAAATTTTATGCACTCACAGAAAGTAAGAGAGTCAGATACCTGCATACTATCAGCAGCATAAAAACAGATCCAAACAATGTACATGAAAGAAATTGATAAGCCGCCCGTATCTTTCTTTCTCGTGAGCCCCACACACAAATAATCAAAAACATATGTTGAGCAATAAGCACTGCTTCAGCCCTCATTGGGGTTCGACTCTTAAAAGGAAACGTTGTCGGGGTATCGAGCCCTGGCATACTCAGGCTTTCAAGAGCGTTTAGCTTCATCATGGTAAGGATTTTCGACGGCTGCAACGGCCCCTGGCATCACCTACGATGTCCGAACAACATACCGTCTAGAACGGCTGAACAATCTCGAGGCAAATCTCCTCAAAGTTTTTCTCCCGCCTTAGCTCCGAAATCATTTCCTGGATCATTTGCCAATAGTCCCTCTTTTCCGCGACGTATTCGTCGTAGTTCGGGTCCCATGTACTGGGAGGATGGTACCCGATTTGAACCCTGCGGAGGGTGGGAAACATATCCGGCAGCCATAGAACTTCTATCTCCGAGAAAAGGATCCCGTGAACGCCATCGATGAGGAGAACTACTTCCTGCAGAAGAGGAAGGTACGCGTCTTTGAGTAACTGCTAAGATGGACTTTCGCTACATAGCCCAAAAGTTCAGCGAGACCTGGCTGCAATGCGATTGTTTTCTGCTTACGAGGGAACCGTGACATCCTTTGGGAAGACAGTAACGGATCTCGCGAGTGGTTCCTCGTTCCGTAGCAAGAAGGTCACACGAAGCAAGTATCTTTTAATGTTTAGTAGAAACTACGTTGAGTAGTCACGGCCCGGGGGACGGGTGGGGTTGGGTTTAGGGCCAGTAGGGGGCCAGTACGGACGGCGCAGCACACTCTTTCTGGATTCAACATTTCAGTTCTTGAGAGCGGGGGTACTACCGTAACGTAGGCCTGACCCATGCAAAACCCGGCCTTATTCACACCGGCCCACCTCTACGGAGTCGCTGGCGAAGCACTCGCAATGCAAAATTCGAGCTTATTCACACTTGCTCACCTCCACGGAGTCGCTGGCGAAGCACTCGAAACGGAGAACCTGGACTTATTCACACCCGCTCACCTCCACGGAATTGCTTGCGAAGCACGCCCAACGCCAATTCCGCTCTTAGTCACACCAGCTCACCTCTGCGGAGTCGCTGGCGAAGCACTCGCAACGCGAATCCCGGGCATATTCAGGCTCCGTGACGTAGCAGTACTGGCAACGCAATCGTCGGAAGTATTTACACCGGCTCACCTCCACGGAGGCACTGGCGAAGCACTCGCGAAAGACCGGGCTCTGCGTGGGGTCTGCTGCGTCCCAAAGACCAGGATACATGTCTAGAACCAGCCGCTTCAAGTTGGTGAAAGTTTCCCCGGGGGGGTAGTTCCTGCTGTCCGGGCGTAGAAGGCTCAAGTACGGGGTGTGAATACTCCGGAGATCAGGACAGCCCCGGCTTAGTTCTCTGACGTCCGAAGCAACCGGTTCCTCGAAACGAACGAGAAACGGACACGCTTTCATAACGAAGCGGGAGAGGGAATTCCGCCGCAGGAACGCCTCGTGCCTGCCCGGATCCGCAAAGTCTTTGCTCCTAGCTGGAACCTCCAAACTTTGCAAGTGCGGGCAATTTCGGCTGACGATACGGAAGAGTCTGTCGGGTTGACCGCCGTAGTTGGGACCCCTTCCGAAGTAGCCCTCCAACCGTTGGCTATTAGGAAACAGAGGGAACTCGTAGCTCACTGTCAAGTTCTCTAAGTAAGAACCGCAGAGTTTCAGAAGAGTTTCTAGAGCTTCCGCCCTCGCCTCGGAGACCTCTTGCACGACGGACATGATCCAGTAAGCTTTTCGGAAGTCGGCAAGAGCGTCGCCGAGAATGCACTTTCCGGTTGCTATGAGTTCGGCGCAGCGGCAGCTCCGAAGAATTTTCAGAGTCCGGGTTTGGCTGCAGCGTTCAGCCAGCCAGAGCAGTGGCCGTCTAAAGATGCGCTCCTCCATTTGGACCGTCCTGGAAAAGGAAACGATTCGGATCAGCTTTTTCAGCGAAGCGGTCTGACGTTCTAGGATGCCGTTGCGACTTGAGTGCCTTTCTGGCGACCTAAAGGCTGAGCAAGTCGTGTCTGGTCGCCCAGAAGTCACGTGCCGCCAACATCGCCACAGAGACGCAGTCGCTTTCTGATCGTTGTACGTGGAAGGCACGCGAAATTTGTAAACGCTCACTTCAAGCATTTCTAAAAGGGAGTCGAGTCGCGGCTAGAAAATCGAAAAGGATTCTGAATGCTTGATAGGTAGCCAGATCTACAGAAACTCAGACTGCCTCCACAGTACGTTCAGAGGGGGCGTCAAGAATTTTCAGCCCAGAAGACGAGTCGCACTCATTCTCACGATAGAAGCTGTCTTTTTTACGCCGCGGCGGTTTCATTTCAAGTGGCATAGAAGCACAGAACCTCAGAATCGTTTGAACCGTTCTGGTCAAAGACAGACCTTGATTTTCTGCCCCTGTCACCCGAATGGTTCGGCAGCATTTAGTCTCTACTAGAACTCCGCACTCGAAGTGAGATCATTCTGTGGGCAGTTGGTATATCTGATCCGCATATAAACAGGACTGGAATGGACCGTTCCGATCCCAACCAGACCAATGCACACAACTTTGCTGACCTGATTCAGTTGACATGATCCACTGAACAATGATGCCAACAACCGCTGTAAACACCTAAACTGGATCAACTCATTGAATGTCAAGGAAGCAAAAGTTGGCAACAAGCATGAGCTCGGAGGCAGCTCTTACGAAGCGCTTCTTTCTGGTATGTTTCAGGGAAGCCCTTTTTTATCCTGCGTACCTGTAGAGCTCCGGCCTCTTGCATGCGTGGTGGAAGAACTTGCTGACGGCAGAAAGTCTGGCAAAGTCTTCGAGCCACGTCAGCATCCTCAAAATCTGGGGGCACTCGCGAACGACCTCCTCCAACCCGACCAATCTATCCTCCCCGCAAGCCAGAGCGGCATCTCTAGAATCTGCCATGGTGTCCTGACAGCTTGATCCTTTTTGCAATCTCTATATGCATACCAAGCGTTTCTAGTAGGAAGTGGCAGAGTTTCCAGCGTAGAATCTTGGCTTCTTTTGTTCAAGTACAGTGTGCAATTCAAATGGTGCTGTGTGAGTACATGCCAACCTGCTGCTTTAGTCCTTCTCTAGTAGAACTTTTAATCTGCGTGACGACATCATTGAGTTGCTCAGGTTCTTTAGCGCTGGAGCGTTTCTCTAAGCGTTTCTCTTACATGACTATCCTGCGCCTAGCTTCACCCACACACTTTTTCAATCCTACAGGCTACCACTTTAGAAGCTCAAGCTCAAAGTTTGCTGTTCGGCCAACCTGGTTCCAAGCTTTTGAACAAAGCCCAAATCGGAAACCCGCGGTGTTTGTTCAAAACCCTTCTCGAGGTCCGCGGCGAACGGGTTTCGAGTCGCATTGATCACCAATGGCAAGCGCTCGCGCCGTCATACAGCTCACCTGTTGCAGCCTGTCTGTGGAGCAATGACGATGGAGGAGGATGATTCGTCAATTCTGCGGACGAATGCGTGGATCATGCCATGATTCGTACATTGGCTGCTGGTGACTGGTGTCCGGAGAGGCTTCCTCCCGCTGAAACGTGGCCATTCGATCACTTTATGAGCATCCATCGTACGGTGTTGCTTTCGCGAGCAGCAAGGCTTGTCCCGTTCCGTTCAGCGTAGGCGAAGTCCGCCGGATCCGATCGAATACCGGAAGCGCGAAGCTCCGATCCACTGCCAGACAGAAACTTTAGGGTGTACGTTCAGTGAAGTTGAGAACGTAGAAGCCCAGTGGATAGTACGTACTTCGTCAATCTTCTTGATTTCGATCCACTATTTGAAATTCAGTCTGCTTCAAATTCATAAGGGCCGCCAAACCCAGATTCAATGCGCATGCAAATCATTGGCGTCGCGCAAGGCCAGTTATAAGGGAGCGCGTCCAACCTGTGCCCGCACTATGCCGCGCCGATACGGCACTGAGATCTATATTCTGCTGCGCTCGAAAGCCCAAACCGTATCATTAATGTACTGTTGCCGAAGTACCCTTTTCAGTTTGCCATGTCGGCCATGGCTGGCGTGGAACTGGACAATTTGATAACCGCGGGTCGAATGGATTTGTTGAATTGCGACATAAGGTTTGTGGACAACATTCGCGTGGCCTCAAGTAGAATTGAACCCAGCATAGTCAGGAAGATCAAAGGCATGCTTAATCTGACATACGCGCGCGGCGCCAATTGCAATAAAGGAGCGCATCCTGTACGGTGACGTCAACCGCTTTACTGATATAGTATGCCACGTAAGACTGACGGTTGCACTGGCTGCTACCGTCGATCAGCAGCGCCGCGCACTACAAATAATGCTGGAAAGTCGAGGCCGCCCAGCTGTGCACACAGTGGCGGCTATACCTCGCATGTTCTTGCACCGTGCCTTGAAAGAGGCATGCATGTGGGCACAATTAGTAAGGACCCCACGCCGTCCCTTCGACTAAGACATTGAAGGAGCGGCAAACTGGCAACCTCTTAACATTTGCAAACTGCCGCCGAATGGTCATATAAGAGTAGATTGAAACGTACTGCCAGTTGACCACAGGTACGGCCGCGGCACAGCTGCACCAAGTGCTCTTATCAGAACCCGATGCATGCCCGCTTCAAAGGTCTACAAGCAGTCGTCCTAAGGTCCTGGTGCAGTGCAAGATGCGCACAACTAGCCGCTCTCGGTCCAAGTTGCCAGAGTGTCTATTCAATGTGAGCAGACTGCTCTTTTGCACAAGAGACGGATAATCACAAGATTCTAGTAGGACTAGCTTGAAGATACAAAGCCACGGAACGCAGGGTCGGACGTGGCGACTCCATTCATTCCCGGGTTCATGGACCAAATCGTCCAATTGAGGGCGGCAGCGACGGTGACCCTGCAAAAGATAAGCGCGCGCATGCCGTGTATTAAAATCGCCAACAGAACGTCCGGATAAGGGCGAATCTCGAGCAGAGAAGAAGGCGAACGCGTAGGCCTGGCTTGTCCCGCCCCAAATCGACGATGACAGTAGATTTGTGATTGAATCGTCTTCGGCATTTTCCGAATGGAAAAGGGAACCCTTAAAGTGGCTTTTCTCACCTCCGACAGAACTCGTATCGCTATCTCAAATAGCTCTCGTCTCGTCGAAGGTAGAGTCAATTGAATGTCTCATATCAAATGCCGCTTTCAACCGGTCAAGCAGACGAAGTCGTTTCCGTTCCCGCGAGATGCTTACGGAGGCCCTTTGGCAAGGGCCAACTTGGTCGCCGGATTGACTTCGTCACTTTGAATCAGAAGCAGCCGCCGGATACTCCCCACAATTGAAGTAGAATAAGGTCAGAAACGACGACGTGACCTCAGCACGCAGTCTGAGGAATCAATGTTCTTTCGTCGAATTCGAATCTCGATCGCAAACCTTAGGCCGGCTTTTGTCGGGCCTTATAGAAACTTCAAGCAATCTGCTGGATTGAAACCCCCTTTTCCGAACCATCCACCAGCTTGTCGCTAGAGGGTGCTCAGGCAAATGCAACAAGACTTCTACGCATTATCCCTGGTTCAAAACATCCGTGGGCTTGTCGCTACTAAGAGAGTGCTCAAAGGAAAGTGATAATACTCACCACGCAATGTACGGGGTCAACAGATAACCCGCCGTCGGATCCACGCTGTGGAACAGGTAGATCGTCGCAGCGATCGACAGCCACAGTGCGATGATCTCAGCAAAGGCGATGTCCTGCAGGGTGCCGTCAAACATGAGCAAGATACTTTCCATAGAACGTCAGTGGCGGTCAGCGAAGTCTTGCTCTGTACTTTCAAAACGGCGACCTGATCCGTTGAGCTCGAACGAGAGACTTCCGGACAGACACAGTATGACAAGTCGGGGACCAAAAATTACTTCGGCCAAATTTCTATTCCCCTGAGGCTTGCGCCGTCTGCGTTCATTGATCGTTCCAGCGACCCTTTCCGTGAAGCTAGCACGCTGAGGTAGACTTCTGGACCCTTCTGATCATTGCCTGTCAAACCCGTAGAAAGCAATACGTGGACTCGAATCGAGCTTCGCTGAGCTCCCTACTGTCCAGGACCCCTTGCGCACGCGGGAGATGACATCATCACGAGCTTTGTGGAGTCCACTGAGGATTGCTGATCATCCGCTGAGTACCTAAGTCCAACACTGGACCAGAAGACTCGCACTTTGACGTACGGATCACGGCTGTGCAGCGAAGCGAAACAGCGGCCCGAGTTGCTGCGACGGAATGACGTCAATTCCGCACGCGAAGAAGTTTCTAGACGTAGGGGTTTTAGGGAGGTGAAACTGAGTCGCCGCTCTCCAACCACGAATTCTGACAAAACGAGCCCACCCTCTAGAGAGAAGCGCTCCCTTTAACGCACCAAACAGACGACGGAGCCTCAAGGTGTATGCTTGGCGCGACAATCTCTCAACAGACCAGTTTTTGTAGGTCAAATATAACGGTCTAGATTTCCGAAGATGGGTAAATCGAGAACGCGGCTTACCATTCGGTGAAGTCCGAAGAAGAGGGGAGTCCAGGAGAAGTTCAGTAGAAGCTGCAGCGCGTAGACGCCCAGAGGGAGTGATTGCGCCTGAAAACCTGACAGGGAAAGGACCAACAACCAATTTAGCAGAACAAACCTGCGAGGTAGAAGGAACACCCGCCAAGCTTTAGGAGAAGGCACTCTATGAGTTTCAAACTACCAGCACTTAGATCCACTTTGGTGCACCTAGTAGAATCCTGTCAGCTGGCCCTAACATCACGAAGCAATCGTTGTTTCAACTCCTTCATCTAACTGTGAATTTTTTGCCGTACCGGAGTCGTAGGTTAATCAGGTTGTCCAGTCGCTGAAGGCATGCCTACAAGCTTCTATCAACGCTCAGAGGTCTGCTGGCGAAAGAACGACCTGCGGACAAACTGACTGCAACCTCAGAGGCATCGTTAGAAGGAAGAGACGGGGGGAACTGTCTGGTGATTCAAAACTAGGGCGAAAGTCGATTGCTCACCTCCTTTCTTATACACGAGCCACGAGGCAATGCCCATCAAGAGGTACAAGGTGGTCCACATAACGGGGAACACCCAACCCTGCACGCAAAGGGGGGGGCGCTTGAGCACGTTGAAAGGAGGGGTTCGCTCTCGCCAACGGACAGACAATACCAAAAGCTTTGTAAGTTCTCTGCATCGTTAAGCCCCCATCAATTCTTGGAGTTACTGCTTTCGAAAGCAACAACCTTTAGAAACCACTGCATTGACTCCTAAAGAACCAAAAACGCATGGCCCGCCGCGGCCCGCTCTCTTCATCCGCCCTTGCCGCGCAGCGTAGAGGGAAATTGTCCCCAGCACTGTTTCCAAGTCAGCTTTTTCAACCGCTGATGCTTCAATCCGTCCCATTCCAAACCCAGAGGACCAAAAACCAATGTTCACTCTTTGAGATCCTTGCGAAGGTCGATGAAACTTCGATGTCGCACTCACCGGGGGTGTCCAAGAGGGCTTGTCTAGGTGCTTGTACCAATCTGCAGACCAGAACAACAACAAGTAAGCCCAGACGAGTCTACAGAAATATGGTTGTAGGCAAGTCCCAGAATGCAGTATTTCAATTCCAGATGATCTTTGCCTTTTGCGAGTTCGAAAGATGGACGTTTGAGTTGTGCGGGGCATCTGGAAAATGCAAGCAAATTGGCCAGTGGCCACTGCTGTGAGCGGGCATAAGAACGAAAAACTTCAAAAACGCTCACAAGAACGAAAAACTTCAAAAGAAGAAGCGGGAGTGAGCCAACTTAGGCAGAATTTGCAGTAGGTATGGAGCGACACACTTCTGGAGCAGGAAAGGAATATAGGGCTGATCAAATTGCAGGGCGCCGAGACTGTTTGGACTTGCAACTAGCGGTAGACAAAGAATCTGATTGTGCACAACTTTTTGATTGACTTTGTAGCAAAAAATCTGAAAGTACAGAGAAGGGGCAGTCCTGTGTTCAGAAGCACAATGACTCTCACCGTCTGGGCTCCCGTTAAAGAGTGACCCTAGGAACCCGCCTCCGACGGGGATCGCAATGGCGACCGCCAAAGCCAGGTACTCCGTCCAAACTGCCATGATTGGGTGATCTGCAGTATTATTGAAGAAGTCAAATGCACGTACAAACTGCCTGGGGCAATCAGCGTCAACCAATGTATGGCAGAGGGGTAGCATATGTCCGGCGTGCTGACCAGCGCCCTTGCGTACGGGCGCTGCATGTTTTCTGTGCCTATCTCAAAAAAAAGAATCACATCATGTCTAGCGCCCCCTTTTTGAAGCGGGCTTCATGGTGGTCAAAGCCGGAGGCCATAGCTAGTGCGTCAACCAGAACCTTTAGCTTATGTCAAAAGTCACCGTTTGCAATGCCGATTTCAGTATCATCACTTCTGCAGAAAATGTGCTCACGCCCATGCTAGATGGGCCATCTTCCAAAAGAAGACATCTAGGAACAACGGCGGTCAATTTGTATAAGCCCACAGAGCCTGATCAAGGGCAGACCGCTCTTGCTTAATCTACCAAACCAGCCAACAGTCAAACAGCATTCTCCATGCAGAGAGCTAATGCATGCTGGCCTAGGCAAGCAGGTGTTCGACCAACGACTTCCGACTACTGAGAGGTAGGCAGGGGACTCGAAATCTGGTGAAAAACACGTCAGTTGCACGGCAGAATCAGTTGCAATGAACATGAGCGTCCACTTGCAACAATTGAAACAACTCCAAGTGTCAGCATTGCCATTTAATTGACAAGAGCCGCAGACTGTTGCTGAAAAGCAAAGGACACAGCTTACCACCGAGAGCTTTATCCAATTGCGGCAAGCTGCCAGCAGATATTGCTGCACCGCTTGATCAAAAGCTCGCCTCCAGCAACGCAGCAGCTGCCAAGCTCTCTTCCACTTAAAACTCTAGAGCCTGTAGAGAAAGCAGCAGATGCCGCTCCTGCCCGTGCTGCAATTTCGATGAGCAGAAGCGCGTAATCCCCCGTCCTCCAACCCCCCTGAATTCGGTACATTCAGGTTTGCGAGCTGGCCTTGACGGTCGATTATCTGCAGCGGCGGAAATGGACGGTTTCAAAGCGTGCTACGGCGCGGCCTGCCAGAGCCAGGCACTAGTCTTTTCGAGCCCGGGGGGGACTTGAAGCACTCCAGACTGCTCTGGACGCTGGACAGGCTTGTCTGGCTGCCAGCCAAGCTGAAACGTCCCCAACTGCTTTCAAAGTCCGCAGACTCGTGTTCATGCTGACCGTCGATCTACGCGAAGCGCTTCACGCGGCCGCACCTAGTACTTTCACTTGCGCCGCCCGGCCGCGCGCCCTTGCCGAGCTGCATGAAAGCCTGGTGCCTTCATGTACCTCAATCAATCAATCAATTTATTTTATAGTCCCGTAGGAGCCATGGGTGGCTCATGAGACAAGGTCTGAATGTAGTCTCGAGTCCTAAACGCCTCTCTAACAAAGCTAGCAACCCTCTGTTGGTTCTCCTGACCTATAGAATGACGCAGACT